TTGCACTTTGACGTGCTTTTGAACTGCTAGGTTGGCAGGAGCAGGGACCGAGCAACTGGAGCTCACCCCGTCGCAGGGATTCGAACCGTTGACCTTCTGATCGGCCAGTCCTAGGCTCTGTGGTTTAACCCACAGCGCCACCCGTGTCCCATTGACATACGTACACATTAACTCTATCTACCCCCCCCCCCGCAATGGGAAAAAATGCAAGCCTTCATCAGGAGCTCATGGCTTTCGAAGTCGCTCATGATACAATTACAATTACAATCTATGTAACCTAGAATAAGTTTTAACAACCCTGCAATGGTAGTGTTGTGCAATGCGGAGGGATGAGGAAGCTGCTCTGCGGGGGCGGTACTTTCTCCCCCAACTTTTAATCCTGATCCTCCTCCAGCAACTCCCCTGGTAAATTGTGTGCATGCGTGTAGGGAAAGTGTGTTTGTTTGTGCAATTTCCCAACTGGGTCCAGAGAGCAGGAAGCCAAAGTCAGTGCCGTCAGGTCTGGTTTCCACCCGAGCACAGGCAAGAGCTGCTCTTCGACTGTATTCGAAAAGGATCGGAAGCTGGCAGGAGGGGAGTTCGTGGGGAGGGGGGAGGCGGAGGAGGAGCATCGTGGACAATGACCCACCCCGGCATACAGGTATTGCGGGAAAGGAAGTGGGAAGAGTGAGCCAGTAGATATCATGAACATGCAGCCCACTACCAAAATCAGCACAATAATTTTTGTGACTTTTGTGATTTGTCCCAACAAAACACTTCATCGCAATTTCTTCCTATCTATTCAAAGGGCCTTTGCTGCACAATACCAAATGTAAAAATTCACTGATAAATGTACCTATGTACTGGCTCATTGGGAAAACTTCAGAAATTCATATAGACAGGTGAGCTCAGCTACTCAGCAGCTCCTCTGCCTGAGGGATAATTCCTGGCATCCTGATACCTGAGTGCCAGACAGGTAGCCATTCCAGAAATAACAAACCCAGATGAAGACAAAAGGGTGGGATTAACTTGGCTGGGAAACAGGGAAATGTAAATATCTCTTTTGTTATTCTTCTGGGCCGGCAGGCAGAGGTGGGGGGCAATGCCGCCCCCCCCCCGGCCACGGAAAAAACGACTAGGCCGATCGCCCTAGTTGGAAGCTGTACACCCTAGTTGGGCCCGCGCCACCCTCCCAGTGCCCCCCTCCTGCCATTCAAAAGCAAGCAGGCCGCGGCCTTGCTGAAGCCCTGCGCTGCCCGCCTGGGTAGGAAGGGGCACCGGGCAGGCGGCGGAGGGGAGTGATGCCCCCACCACCACCCAAATGCAAGCAGCCCGCGGCTGCGGCCCACACCACTGCTGGCCATCACAAAAAGCTGGTAGGCCGACCTAGCGGCCTACTCAGGGGCCGTGCTGCCTACTCTGGCTGGCAGTGCCCTGGGCAAGCAGCTGCCGGTGGAGGAGCCAGCTCCCCCCCACACTGCTGCCAGGGGAAAAGCTCCAAAAAGGCCACAACGTGCCTAACCGAGCACGCTAAAATGTGGCCTAGCCTGGCGGAGGGACAAATCCCTCCCCACCCAGGCAAAAGTAAAGAAGGCCAGTTACTTACCTCAGTCCAGCCACCTGGATACACTCCTGATCCTGATCTTGATCCTGGAAGGAAGAGGCTTGAGCCCAGGAGTCAGCCTCTTTTCTTTTGGCCTTAGGCCCACCCCCAGCCAGCCGTCCATCGTCCTCCCTGGCCGAGGGCGGGTCAAAGGCCAGCTCAAGCAGGTGGGTGGCACCCGACCAGGTGAGCCTCGCTCCGTGCCGCAAACCCCGCCCACCTGTGGGGAAGGGAGGGTGGATATTGTTACACTTGATGGGTGTTTGGTGGAGGGCAAGGAGAACCATGGGGCAGGGTCCAGGATGCTCAGATTACTGCCACCAGACCTCCCCTTTTATGATATAACCATGATGTATGAGTGATGTACCGTAGTTTGGGGGGTGTAACTTGGGTTTTAGCAGCTAATAAAAATTTGGGGGTTCTTTTGTTTGGGGCTTCCATCTTGCTTCGTCTTGCAGTGAGTTGGAATCCTGTCGTGACAGTTTCAATAAAGACCAAGCCTACTGGCTGCTCTTTTGGTCTGGTATTCCTGGCTGGTGTCCTTGTTTTTTGTCCAAGGGAGCCCTCAGATTTCTCCATTAACAGTTGGCAAAGAGCAGTGCCAGATTTATGTATAAGCTAAACAAGCTATAGCTTAGGTACGTTTCTGAGCACAATTCAAAGTGTTGGTGCTGACCTTTAAAGCCCTAAACGGCCTCATTTCTGTATACTTGAAGGATAATCTCCACCCCCATCGTTCAGCCCGGACACTGAGGTCCAGCGCCAAGGGCCTTCTGGAGGTTCCCTCCCTGCAAGAAGCCAAGTTACAGGGAACCAGGCAGAGGGCCTTCTCGATAGTGGCACCTACCCTGTGGAACACCCTCCCACCAGATGTCAAAGAGAACAACAACTACCAGACTTTTAGAAGAAGACATCTGAAGGCAGCCCTGTTTAGGGAAGCTTTTAATGTTTAACAGATCACTGTATTTTAATACTTTGTTGGAAGCCACCCAGGGTGGCTGGGGAGACCCAGCCAGATGGGCGGGGTATAAATAATAAATTATTATTATTTATTTATCTATTTAATTATTATTATTATTATTAGGGCTCCACTCTCTTGAAGGCCCTCAAAAAATTAAAGGGGAAAAAAACCTGGATGTACATTTCCAAAATATAAGATAAAAAACAAATAAAATAAAACCTACATACAGCAACAGTGTTTTGTGTTGTGTAGGCTCCTATGATGCCTGCTTGCCTGCTCCCTAAAACATCCCTAGTTTGCTCATTTCTATATATAGGATGCCGACATTCTGTATGGACTGGTTGCATGGCAACAAGTGCAAATGGCTTTAGATACCTATTAGGTCCATAAATTACCATGTAGCATATATTCAACACAAGAAACAGTGACAATTTGTTGTTGACAAAGGACAGCTGGACATATAAAGGGCCCCATTACCTTCAGTAGCTTAGGGCCTCATCAAACCTAAATCCGGCCCTGGCAAAGAGGGCTGGGAAACAAAGGACAAAGAGACCCTGCAAAAGAGCTCCTTTTTTGGCAGGGGCCTGGATCCGTGCAATGCCTTCTACATCCAGGCAGGTGCGCAGAAGGAGCAAGAAAGGAAATTGCAAAAGCGAGTGAGGCGAGGAGGATGAGCAGAGAGGACAAAGAAGTAAAGATGCAGCGTGGGGGAAGGGGAAGGATGAACAAAGACACCCCCCCCAACTCCCCAAAATCTCCTTTCTTGCGGCCTGGATGAATGCAAACCAGCTGCAAAATGGGGACCCAACACCTGCAGGGTTTGCATCTCTTTTGAACCTCCCCCCCCCCTGACTCCACACATTTCTTTCTTCCCTGGAAGCCAAGAGATGAACCTTTGTGGGATCGAAATGTGATGTACGCCAAGGGACAACCCCATCGTCCCCTGTCCTGTCTTGGTGGTGCACATTTCTGGGTCCCTCTTGGGGGGGGGGGGAGTCCATGCCAGGGTTAATAATAACAATAAAAATAAATTTTTATTTATATCCCGCCCTCCCCAGCCGAATCCGGGCTCAGAGCGGCTAACAACAATAAAAGTAACACAGCATTCTAAAATCAATTCATTCTAAAATCAATTCAGAATCAAATTAATCAAATTAATGGCAACCATTGGGCTAGAGTTCTATGAGGATTACCAAAGGAGGGAGGCAGGCTGTGCCTTGGCCAAAGGCCTGGTGGAACAGCTCTATCTTGCAGGCCCTGCGGAAAGATGTCAAGTCCCGCAGGGCCCTAGTCTCTTGTGACAGAGTGTTCCACCAGATCGGGGCCACAGCCGAAAAAGCCCTGGCTCTGGTTGAAGCCAGCCTAACCTCCCTGTGGCCCGGGACCTCCAAGATGTTTTTGTTTGAAGACTGTAAGGTCCTCCGTGGGACATACCAGGAGAGGCGAGATTGTGTGCATTGCCTGGAGAGGTCTGGAAAGAGAACCTTGAAAACTGGAGTCCATTTCCCTCACCCTTTCAGTCCTCCCTGGAAGCAGAATCTGCTTCCCCTCTATAAGCCCCAGGCAACAGCCTGGCCATTGGTCCACCTGGAGAGCAGACTTCTGTTCGACTTCCAAAGCGTGGCTTCTGATTGGCTGCAGGAAGCTCCTGCAGCCAATCGAAAGCTGTGGAAGCCCCGTGGGACTAGAACTTTCGAAAACCCAGAACACTCACTTCTGGTTTTTAATTGTTCCCAAGGTGTTCAGGAGCCGAGGTATGACTGTAGTTGTAGCTCAACACACTATACACCTGGGTCGCAATATCTTATAGGTAATCCCATTTGACTTTATGATATCAGGATTTCCTCACAAGTAGTCTCAGTCATGGACAATCACCACAAATCACGTGAAAGTGCTTCACAAATGTGATGCATTAAAATAATAAAATAATAATAATAATAATAATAATAATAATAATAATAATAATAATAAATACATACACTCATACATACATACATACATACATAAATTATTATTTATACCCTGCCCATCTGGCTCGGTCTCCCCAGCCACCCTGTATTAAAATACAGTGGTCTGTTAAACATTAAAAGCTTCCCTAAAGAGGGCTGCCTTCAGATGTCTTCTAAAAGTCTGGTAGTTGTTGTTCTCTTTGACATCTGGTGGGAGGGAGTTCCACAGGGCGGGCGCCCTGTGGAAAATACAGAGGTGAAATCCTGATTCTTCTAGAAACTGCAGAGCATGAAGTTTATGTCTCACCAAACTAAGGAAAGTTCTTTTTCTTTAGAATATGACAGCGGTAGAGTATAAAGGGGCAAGCTAGTGTTCCCCACATAATTTTTATCGTTCCTGTTTTTCTGTTTGTTCTGGACCCTATAACCTCGATACCAGATTCATAGAATCGTAGAGCTGGCAGGGATTGCCAAGGGTCATCCAGTCCACCCCGCTGCAATGCAGGAATCTTTTGCCCAATTTGGGAATCGAACCCATGACCATGAGATTTAGAGTGTCATACTCTACCAGCTGAGCTGTGTTGCAGCTTCAATTCCCGTCAGCCCCAGCCAGGCCAAGTTGTCAAGGATGATGGGAGATGATGAAGTCCATTTGACATCTGACAGAGGCCTGCACATTTCCTTCAGGCAAGCAAGAGAACATTCCAGCCCTGGAGAGGTATCCTGAGAACTATAGTTTACCCACAACAGAACTACATTTCCCAGCACCCTGAGCAAACTACAGTTGTCAGTATTCATTGGGGGGGGGGGGAGTGTTTTGAAAATATTGTGTGAATGCAACCCAGCTAGGGCTGGGCCACAGCTTGTTCTCAACATCGCAATATATCGGGCAGCTAAACATTGTGGCATTTTAATATACAGTCGTACCTTAGATCTCAAATTTAATCCATTCCGGGAGTCCGTTCGACTTCCGAAACGGTTCGAAAACCAAGGTGCAGCTTCTGATTGGCTGCAGGAGCTTCCTGCAGCCAATCGGAAGCCGCGGAAGCCGTGTCGGACGTTTGGCTTCCAAAAAAAGTTTACAAAGCGGAACACTCACTTCCAGGTTTGCGACATTCAGGAGCCTAAGGCGTTCAGGAACCAAGGTATGACTGTATTACAATATCTGAAATAAGGCTGGGGCTATGTAGAGCTAAACATGCTAATGACCTGGCAACTGCTAATACTTACGGGTCTAACTTTAAAACTGGTAAATTTTTGCTAACCTTTAAAATATTGTTACAACTCTTGTGTTATGGAACTACCATACCAGTAATGTTTGAATTAGCACATTTTCTCTAAAATTAAAGCTGTAGAAATAATCAGCAGCATAGATATCAAAAGGTGAGGTGAGATAATGTTCCCTAAAAATTTAATTACATTACTAAACAAGAAAAAAGCCAATTCAACATCACACTTCAAGATATTCAAATATAATTAACTATTGAGTCTTAATTGAACGTGTGTACATCCCACCAGTTATCTGTTTGTTAGTTAATTTTCTTTTCTAAACTAGGCCAAAATAGAAAGAAGGGAAGGGATAAATTTTAACAGAACAAAAGTTTGTTAAACAATATTTTTATTGCCAAAAATGTGCATTTTTTTAAATAAACCAGGCCAAACCAGAAAGAATGATTAAAATTTTACAGAAAAAAATATTTATCTATCTATCTATCTATCTATCTAGGAAAATTTTCTTTTCTTTTACAAACCAGGCCAAACTACAAAGAATGGATAACATTTCACAGAACAAAAAAATATATTAAACAATATATATATATTTTTGCAAGGAAAATGTGCATTTCTTTTATAAGCCAGGCCAAACGAGAAAGGATGGATAAAATTTCACAGAACAAAAAAAAATATTACATGAAATCTATGTTTTTTGCAAGGAAAATTTGCATTTCAGCATTCTCTGGCAATAGAGATGACCTTTGTCTTTGAAAAACATTGCCAGCCGTGCTGAACACACTTTCAGATGGCACACTTGTCCCTGGGATAGCCAAAAACTTCTTTGCCAGCACCTTCAACATTGGGAAGGAAGCCTCGTGTGCCTTCCACCACGTCAGAGGACATCCATCAATGTCCACTCTTGGCATAGCTATATACTCCTTTAGCTCTTTTTCTGCTTTCGACTCACCATCTGCCACTGCCAGGTCCTCCTCTTCTTCGTCCAAATCAAAAATTTTCGCCAGCCCCTTTTTCTTTTTGGGTGGAGCAGGGCAAGTATTTGGCTCCGTAGAAGCAGAATGCAGACTCCCGTGCAAGTCTGTCATCTTCTTGATGGCCTCCTGCCTGACGGCCTCTGGCGCCTCTAAGAAACGCAGGCGAAACCTCGGGTCGCACAACGAGGCCAGGCCTAAAGTGGTTGCCGTGGGAGCGCTATCGTACTTTTCTGACAGTGCGCCTAAAACTGCACATTTAATGTCCTTCAGCAGCACACTGTCTCCCTCATCAGGCTGGAGGCTTTTCTTAATTTGCCTATAAAGAGGCAGAACGGTTGACGCCGCGACATAATTGCTTCCACTTAGAGTTGTGGTAATGTCCTCCAGCAGAGTAGTTGCAGACACAAAGTCCTGCACGGCTGAGACGTCGCCCCCTTCCAACATCAAAAGTCTTTTAGATGGATGCTCCATGAGTACCTTGCAGAGTGGAACTTGGTTTTCGAGAAACCTTTGGCACAGCTGAAGCGTACTCCACCATCTTGTGGGGCAAGCGCTTGGCAAACTGACTTGGTCCATCTGAAGTAACTCTTGAGCTCTGGCGAGGTCCCTCCTCATCTTCCAGCTGCAGCAAATGCTATTTTGCAGACCCTTCAGTTTCCCAATTGCCCTTTTCAACGGTGTCAGGCTTAAAGCTCGGTTAACCCCGATATTTATATTCTGGGCAAAGCAGGAAATGTGCTCAAAACCAAGCTGCCTGACCGCTTTCAGAATATTTGAGCCGTTGTCCGTTGTGCTGCAAAATATGTTCTTCACATCGATGTCCCACTCCGATAAGGTGTCTGTGAGCATTTCACAAAGATGATCTGCAGTGTGGTCCTCCAAAAAATGCTTACAGGCCAAGCAAGCGCTTGTCAACTTCCACTCGTCGGAAATGAAATGTACCGTCACAGCCACAAAGGGAGTGCCTGCCACTGACGTCCAGCTGTCCGTAGTGATGGCCACTTCACTCTCACTTAGCCGCTGTATCTCCCCCTTCATTTTCTCCATGGTGTCACTGTACAGTTTTGGAACTCCCGTGGTTGTGAAGTATTTCCTACTAGGCAACCGATACCTCGGGTTTAGAGCGTTCACCATCTGGATAAATTTTGGGTGCTCTACAGTGTTGTAAGGCTGCATACACGTAGCCAGAAACTGCGCGACTGCCTGAGTGCAAGTCCTTGAGGTCTTAGAAGGGAGCAGCTGGGAATCCAATGCTGTTTTTTGCTGTCGTCTAGAACTTTCCCTAGCAGTTCTTGCCGGCTCAGCAGCCCTAGCTGTTGACGCCGTTACAGCTGGAAGATCGTCTGAATTAGCAGCAGTACGTGAAGAAACGGAAATGCCTCTTGATGAGGAAGGTACTGCCAGAGGTGTGGACAACTCCCTAAATTTCAGAGGGTGGTGAAACTTGAGGTGGCTGCTTAAATTGGAGGTGTTTCCGCCTTTTGCTGATACCGAATGCAAACATATTTTGCAAATGGCGCCATTGTCAGTCAAAACACGGCCGCTCTCATCAGCAGGCAATCCAAAATGCATCCAGACAGCACTCTTGGTTTTTCGTTTTTCTACCAAATGGTGGTATTTGGGAACATCTACAGCACGGTGATGACGAGGCATACTGAAGACAAATAACCTGGGGAAACATTGAACAACAATAAAACTCTTAATTTTGATGTATTTAATTGTATGAAAATTTACTCAATGATAGCATAACAACAACAACATCAGTCATTTTATTATTTATACCCTGCCCTTCTGGCTGGGTTTCCCCAGCCACTTTGGGCTGCTTCCAGCAAATATAAAACATAATAAAATATCAAACATCAAAAACTTCCATAAACAGGGCTGTCTTCAGATGTCTTCTAAAAGTTGGATAGTTGTTTATTCCCTTGACATCTGATGGGAGGGTGTTCCACAGGGCGGGCGCCACTACTGAGAAGGTCCTCTGCCTGGTTCGCTGCAACTTCGCTTCTCGCAGTGAGGGAACCAGCAGAAGACCCTCGGAGGTGGACCTTAGTGTCTGGGCTGAATGGTGGGGGTGGAGACACTCCTTCAGGTATACTGGACTGAGGCTGTTTAGGGCTTTAAAGGTCAGCACCAACACTTGTGAATGTGCTCAGAAGCATACTGGGAGCCAGTGAAGATCCTTTAGGACTGGTGCTGTATGGTCTCGGCGGCCACTCCCAGTCACCAGTCCAGCTGCCACATTCTGGATTAATTGTAGATTCTGAATCACCTTCAAAGGTAGCCCCACATAGAGCACACTGCAGTAGTCCAAGAAGGAGATAACCAGGGCATGCAGCACTCTGGCAAGACAGTCTACGGGCAGGTAGGGTCTCAGCCTGCGCAGCAGATGGAGCGGCTAGACAGCTCAGACACAGAATGGACCTGCACCTCCATGGACAGGTGTGAGCCCAGAATGACTCCCAGGCTGCGCACCTGGTCCTTCAGTGGCACAGATACCCCAGTCAGGACCAGGGAGTCCCCCACACCCGCCCACCCCATCCCCCCAAAACAGTCCTTCTGTCTTGTCAGGATTCAACCTCAATCTGTTAGCCGCCATCCATCCTCCAACTGCCTCCAGACACTCACGCAGGACCTTCACCGCCTTCACTGGTTCCGATTTAAAGGAGAGGTAGAGCATGCTTCAACTATACCATTACAGATTTCAGAGCAATAGATCAATGTTAATATATTAATTTGTTATTAATATTATATTAATTTCTGTACAACAAATGTAAAAGGTTAAAAGTAAAGGACCCCTGGACGGTCAAGTCCAGTCAAAGGCGACTATGGGTTTGTGGTGCTCATCTCGCTTTTCAGGCCAAGCGAGCCTGCGTTTGTCCACAGACAGCTTTCCGGGTCATGTGGCCAGCAGGACTAAACCGCTTCTGGCGCAACAGGACACCATGACGGAAGCCAGAGCGCAAGGAAACACCGTTTACCTTCCCGCAGCCACGGTACCTATTTATCTGCTCGCACTTGCATGCTTTCGAACTGCTAGGTTGGCAGGAACCAATGCATGAGAAATCAAAATGGTTGTGGGGAGAACTGAGAAGAGTTCTAGGGCAGGGAGCGGCACTGGAGGAGAAAAGGGGCAGCGTAATGAGAGGGAGGGGAGAGACACAGATGGGGGGAGGGAAGAGCAGTGTCTCAAACGCAGAGCCGAGTCTGTCTCTCCTTTCAACTATGAAAAACATTCTAGCAGCAGTGACGGTGAGCGCCCACGGTGAACGCAGCACAGCGAAGGGGCTGGATCTGTCGGCTTAGTTAATAATAAAACCGGTGAGGCCGAGGGCTGCTTCCTTCGCAGAAGCAAAACCCGGGGAGGGGAAAGAGAGAGAGAGAGACAAACACACACAGAGACGGGGCAGAGGAAGAGGTTCAAACGGGGGCTTTGTTTGTTCATGGTTTTAGGGGAGAAATGGGTTCCGGAAGCCAGGACTTGTAAAGAGCCAGCCCTGACCAGCCTTCTTAAGCAACCTACCAGATTTGCTGCAGAGAGATTCCGATTTTTTCTTTTGCCAGCCTCTCTCTCTCTCTAAAGCTGCAGCAGCTGCTGGGGGCGAGGCAACCTGGAGGCGGAGGAAACGCTGCGCTTGGTTGCTCCATCCTTTCAGCCGCCGCCTCGGATTCGCAGGGAGGAGCTTAGGCGGAGTTAGCGAGGGCTGCCCAGCAGGAAGCATACAGCTTTTCCAATACCGGGCTTGATGCACGATAATTTGCCATGTCTTTATAGAGAGAGAGATAGATATATAAGGTTATCACGATTTTTTCTAAATATCGGTTTTAAACAATGTGTTGATATGTATTGCACAGGCCTAAACCCGACACACACAAAACCACCTCTGTCGTCGTCGTCCCCCTCCGCCCACCGCCCAAGCCCCTTGTATCACCTGGCAGCCTGGGTGGATTTCCTGGGTTGACGACTGATGCAACGTCCTTTACCCCAGGGAAGCTTTTAATATTTAATGCTGTGTTGTTTTTAACATTCGATAGGAAGCCGCCCAGAGTGGCTGGGGAAACTCAGCCAGATGGGCAGGGTGTAAATAAATAAATAATTATTATTATTATTATTATTATTATTATTATTATTATTATTTTCTCCAGAGTCTTATCAGCTGGTGCAAAGCAGAGTATTCCATGTACTGGGAGGTTGTGTAAATCGCTCAGGGGGCCTGTGAAGGAAGAAAGTCAGGACCCACCAGTGGGGGCACAGCGTCTCCTTCCTCCTCCTTTCCCAGCCATGAAATGCCAGGGGATTGAGACCAAGGAGTGGGGCTGTGGGCTTTGTGTAGGCGCCATCACTGCAGGGGGCAGGGGAGACGTAAAGTTTGGCTGACAATGGTTTTGTGGACATCCATTGTGCTCCCTCTGTGTGTGGAGGGGATACAAGGAGGTTCCCTCAGACCACGGTTCAACCTTGAGCTTATCCAGTGCCTTTTCTTCTGGGGGGGGGAGGGAAACATACCCCTAAACATTTTGTGAATCTAAGTCTGGCCTCATTGAGGGGCAGTATTTCAATATGAGTAGGAAAATTAGGTAAAGATAAATGGACCCCTGACCATTAGGTCCAGTCCTGACCGACTCTGGGGTTGTGGTGCTCATCTCGCTTTATTGGCCAAGGGAGCCAGTGTACAGCTTCTGGGTCATGTGGCCAGCATGACTAAGCCGCTTCTGGCGAACCAGAGCAGTGCACGGAAACGCTGTTTACCTTCCCGCCGGAGCGGTACCTATTTATCTACTTGCACTTTGACGTGCTTTCGAACTGCTAGGTTGTCAGAAGCAGGGACCGAGCAACGGGAGCTCACCCCGTCGTGGGGATTCGAACCACTGACCTTCTAATCAGCAAGTCCTAGGCTCTGTGGTTTAACCCACAGCGCCACCCACTTCCCCATGTAGGAAAATTAGAATACCCCTAAACATATTTTTTTTTAGAAAAAAAGCACTGAGGTTATCTATATCCTCTGCTCTTTTAAAATGTGGGGTTTATTTTGATTATGGATTTTGTGGTTTCATATTTTGATTTTTATCTATAAACCACCCTGAGACCTGCAGGCATAGGGCGGTATATAAATTCAGTTATTGTTGTCATTATCATTATTATTATTATTATTAATAATAATAATAATAATAATAATAAAGAGATCCAGGGAAAGCTAAATGATTGCTTTGCACTGCAGGAAATAGGCCAGAGCCCAATGCATGAGCTAAGCTTTGCCGGGGGAAAGTAATAAACTACCTGGGCAAAGGAATTGAGGAGATTATCATCAAATTTGCAGAGGACACCAAACTAGGAGGAGTAGCTAAAGCCGCAGAAGACACAATTGGGATTCAGGATGACCTTAACAGATTGGAGAACTGGACCAAAACTAACAATGTGAATTTCAACAGGGGCAAATCCTATATAAGATTTGGGGAGGGGACGACTACGAGGACCACGATGACACCTGCCTTCCCTGTAGTACCATGTGAAAAGGATTTAGGCGTCTTAGTGAAGGAGTTTGTAAATAAACGCAAGAGTGAGTTTTGCTCTTTGTAAACTGACTTTTGGTGAGAAATAAATTTCTGCAGTCCCCCCCCCCCAAAATGAGAGAGGTAGCTACCCTTCCCTTGTCCCAACAGCCCTTACTGTCAGAACGTCCTTCTGAGGTTCAGGGACATGATGCCCCTCAGGGGTGCCAACTTGAATAAAATATTGGGGTGGTAAGCCCCGCCCTGCATAATTGATCACACCATTTGAATGACAATGTCTATCAACTTTATGGGGACGGACACCCTAAAATATTTTATTGGGGGTGTGTGAAGACCCCCCGGGCCCCTAGGAGTTGGCTCTTAGGATGTCCCTCTGCCAGTTCCAGTTCCCCATCCCCCTCCCGCGGCAGGGATCCCTCCTGGCTCTGCAAGTGCGGCGAAGGGCGCCCGTGTTGCAGCTGGCCGGTCCCTTTTGGCTGAAGAGACTTGAGAGAAGGAGTCCACGAAGGGGTTAAAGGAAGCGAGAGAGGACTGGGTGCCTTGAAAGGCCCGGAAAGGGACACTCCCTTTGTCCCTCCCCGTCCCCCCATCTGCCCTCCCTTCTCCGCTCGCCTAGGGTGGTCCCTCCAGATGGAGAGGTTGGTGCGCTCGGGAGAAATGCGGCACGGAGAGCGAGGGGTGAGCTGTGCCGGGGGGGGGGGGCCTCTGGGCGCAGGAGAGACTCTGGGGAGGGGGTCTCCTTCAAGTCATCTGAGAGAGGGAGCCTTGAACACTGGGGTCCACTTCGCCCACCCCTCTCTCCCTTCCTGGAAGCCGAACTCCTCCCCCTCTATGAGCCCCAGACAAGCCAAGTCAGGCCATTGGTCAACCTGGAAATAGAGGAGGGGGAAAAGGCAGGAATTTTCCTACTGCAGAGGAAGGACGGAATGAAAAATCCTCCTCCAAAACGGCTCTTTGTTTCTGGAATTCCTTTCACAAAGTAGCCAAAACCCTTTTCCATCTCCCATGTTTTCAGTTTTCAGTGTTATTTCCCTTGCATGGTCAATGATTCCATACACCATTCCAAAAATATGGATGGAGGTACTATGGAAATGTTTCAGCATTTATATATAATATACATATTGAAAGCATTTCATTATTTTTGTTTATTTTTTGTTTATTTTATTGCATGCTGAGATACAATCCATCAGCATCAAAAGGTAATAGAAGCCTGCACCTTCCCAGTCTGGGTTGCTTCAAGGTCAAAGGACTCATTATCATGATAGACAATACCTGTGGCTGGAGGCTCTACACAGAGACATGTGCATATTCAGGCCAAGGATTGCCAGTATTATAGGCAAGGTGTGTGAACTTGCCAAATTTATAAATGCTGAGTGTGAGAGAAAGTGAGTGGGTGGGATTATAGTATATACTGTAAGGTAAAGGGACCCCTGACCATTAGGTCCAGTCATGGCCGACTCTGGGGTTGCGGCGCTCATCTCGCTTTACTGGCCGAGGGAGCCGGCGTACAGCTTCCGGGTCATGTGGCCAGCATGACTAAGCCGCTTCTGGCGAACCAGAGCAGCGCACAGAAACGCCATTTACCGTATTTTTCGTCCTATAGGACGCACTTTTTCCCCTCCAAAAATGAAGGGGAAATGTGTGTGCGTCCTATGGGGCGAATGCAGGCTTTCGCTGAAGCCAGGAGAGCGAGGGGGGTTGGTGCACACCGACCCCTCTCACTCTCCAGGCTTCAGGAAGCTATCCGCAAGCCGTGGGAGCCCGCGGGAGTTCCTGCCGGGCTCCCAAGGCTTGCGGACAGCAACCTGCAGCCCGAAACCCGGTGAGTGCAGCGGAGCGCACCCCGGGCTTCGGGCAGATATCCGCAAGCCTGGGGAGACCGGCACCTGGGGGGGGAATAATTTTTTTTCTTTATTCCCCCCCCCCCAAAAAAAAACTAGGTGCGCCCTATGGGCCAGTGCGCCCTATAGGGCGAAAAATACGGTACCTTCCCACCGGAGCGATACCTATTTATCTACTTGCACTTTGACGTGCTTTCGAACTGCTAGGTTGGCAGGAGCAGGGACCGAGCAACGGGAGCTCACCCCGTTGCGGGGATTTGAACCACCGACCTTCTGATCGGCAAGTCCTAGGCTCTGTGGTTTAACCCACAGTGCCACCCGCGTCCCTAGTATATACGTTAATGATGTCCATCCATAACTTTTCATGAGTTTATATTGTGATTCACTTGTGGTACACGCTCCAGTATTACTAATATACTTTGCTGTCCTTGCTTCAAAAGGTGAAAAGGTTTTAACATTTTAACTCTGCAAAGTTTGCAGAAGAAGTCACAGGTTAATGGCGGCACCAGATACTTTGCTGTCTTTGTGTCAGTGGATTAATACAGTAGTTTTGAATATTTCTACATTCACGTATGGCACCAATAACACTTCTGCTTTACTTATTCCATTTAGGAGAGACTCTGATACACAAGTCTCAACTCATTTCCTTCCTTGAGACACAAAAATACAGAAATGCATGAGAGGCTGAGAGGCATTTCCCTTCAGTATGCAGTGAGACTGTCTCCTTTCAGTGTGTAAGAACAAATGAAGAAGCCTGCTGGGTCAGGATGATGACCCACCTTTGGCTTGTCAACTGTAATTTCGTCCATTTCCCCACGTCTCTCTGGAGAGACTTTGCCTCCAGTCCTGCCTTCCCTGCTGTTACGGTAAAATCTGGGTGCGGGGTTACTCTGCCACCCAGCTCGTCGGACTAAGTCCGCGGGTCCCTGCGGAAGAAAATGAGCTCAGCCGGAGACAGGAGCAAGTTGCTGGAGGTCCGAGTTTATTGCGCAACAGGTTCAAGACGAGATTGAACCCCGAGAAAGGGGTGACAGGAGTTTTTGAAACTTCCCTCCATGTCCCAGAATACAGTGCGAAACACGTCATGAATGCATTACAAAGAGGTTGGGTTACACGGGTTACATCATGAATATTTTACGAAAAGGTTGGGTTACACAGATTAACATATGGAGCAGGGAGGGGGGAAATATGCAGAGCTGAAGATATGCGTAGATAAGCACTTCCTGAGTACTGGTGATGAGAAGACAATAGTCTGAATATGCAAAGTCTGCCACCTGGCATTGCCCGGAGGAAGGGCCGGGCAGAGTGATCTGACCGGATTAGGGTCTTCCTGAGTACGTGACTCCTCGCTCGAGGGATTATGGAGGCCGAGGAGGTATCATGGAGTCCTGAAGAAGCTGGGTTGATTGACACCAGAACCAAGGAAATCGGAGCTGTGGTTGATTTTATATGAATTTTAGAAGTTTTAGTCCACTCTAGTCCATTCTTACACTAATAATTGAAATCGGAAACAAACTGGATACATTGTAACAAGATTTGACACTTTTACGAGCTTAACTGGATACATTGTAACAAGATTTGACACTTTCACGAGCTTAACTGGATACATTGTAGCAAGATTTGACACGTTTACGAGTTTCGATTCCATTGTTCTCTCAGCAGGGAGCAGTAAGCAGCTTGTCAAGAGGTTAAATGAGGCGTGCAGAGGCTCGCTGAGCTGGTCCTGCAGAGTGGATGCATGGTTCTGATTGGTTAAGACGCGGCCATTGGAACAAATGGGAGCGTAGTTTGACACGGTCAACTCATGAAAAAGGTGGAGCGAGAGGAGGGAAAGAGACTTGAGAGTTTGGGCTTATTTCGCCCGTGGAAAAAGGGGGGAAGGGCACCTTAAACTTGGAGTTTGGGTTGCGTGTGGTGCTTGTGCGACAATGAAGAGGCTGGGGGGGGTGGAGTATAGTGGGCGCCCTTGAGGTCATCGCCTCGGACGCACGAAGCCAGGGATAGGGAGGGCACCCCCCCTTTCCTGTATCACTGCCCATTGCTAGGCTTTTCAGACGCAGTGATAACTACATCCCACTCCTTCTCTCCATCCCACCAGGTTTCCATTATTCCCACCATATCATCTCCCATGTCTGCAGGGTTTAAGGGAAGATTGCTACTGAGTTATTTTTTATTTTTTGGAGGGGTTGTCCAACAGTCTGTTGCTATGATTTATTAGATTTTTTGATCACTTTCTCTTCCTCAGGGCAACCCAAAGCGACTTGCAACCAAACACACATCAGCAAGATTAAGTAATAAAAGTCCTGATCTTAGTGACCAGCCAAGATCTTCTTTGCCATGTTTTCTGTATTTTGGAAGGCAGAGAGAAGGCTGTTCTCAGGGCCTGCTCCACCATGAGGCAGACTGAGGCAGCCCCCTCAGGCAGCAGATGCAGAGAGGGGCAAGTGGACCGAGCTGAGTGCCATTTTGTTGCTGTTTAGTCGTTTAGTCATGTCCGACTCTTCGTGACCCCCCTGGGCCAGAGCACGCCAGGCACTCCTGTCTTCCACTGCCTCCCACAGTTTGGTCAGACTCATGCTGGTAGCTTCGAAAACACTGTCCAACCATCTCGTCCTCTGTCGTCCCCTCCTTGTGCCCTCCATCTTCTTGTGCCATTTGGCCTGCCCTAATTTAACCTTTAATTTACCTTTAATTTACCTTTAATTTAACCTACTGTCCTCTCATCCAGTGGAAGGTGCTGTCCCATTGCCAGTGCCCTAGGCACAATGGAGCAGCCTTGGAAAGTAAATGGTGCAGGATTAGGGAATGCGTGCAGTTGATTGGAAGATTTTGGAAGGATATTACAGATCATGGAGGAAGGAGGGTAATGGATTTCCAGTGGAGGGGAAAGGTGACAATGCTACGTCCCTCCAGATGTTGCTGCAATACAACTCGCATCATTGCTGGCCATAGGCCATGCTTGCTTGGGTTGATGGTAAAGGTAAGGTAAAGGGACCCCTGACCATTAGGTCCAGTCGTGACCGACTCTGGGGTTGCAGCGCTCATCTCGTTTTATTGGCCGAGGGAGCCGGCATACAGTTCCGGGTCATGTGGCCAGCATGACTAAGCAGGGATTCGAACCACCGACCTTCTAGTCAGCAAGTCCTAGGCTCTGTGGTTTAACCCATAGCACCACCTCGTCCCTCTGGGTTGATGGTACTTTGAGTCTAACCACATCAGGAGGGCCAGAGGTGCCCCACCTTATCATAGAAGTTTTCTTTTGGTGCTCAGTGTTAATGGGAAGTTCAAGGTGGAAGTGGATACTAAGGGTCCTTGAGACAATTTCCCAGAGTGGATTATGGATATTTATTTAAAAAGACAATCCAACAGTGTAACTGTATTCTAAGATAATGTGGCTTAATAATAATAATAATAATAATAATAATAATAAATTTTATTTATATCCCGCCCTCCCCAGCTGAAGCCGGGCTCAGGGCGGCTAACAACAATAAAACAGTACAAAAGTACAGCACAAACAACACTCTAAAATCATTCATTATAAAATTAATTTACTGATGATGATTGAAGATCAGGAAAGTTTGAAGAGATTTTACCATTATTTCATTTCATTTCCTAACAAATCAGACCTATGTGTGTTACTTTCCTTTATTCTCTTTCTTGAAACCCTTACAGGAATTTTGTTACACTTCCACCACCTCTGAAGCAAGGGAGAAAGACAGAATTCTGTGAGCACACTTAGTTCGTATCCCTGAACTCACAAAGAAGAGAAACCACAAGGGATGGAGTGCGGAAAGAGTCTCACTGATTGTAGAACACTCAGTAAACACCAGCAAACTCATACGGGAGGAAAACAGTTTGAATGTATGGTATGTGAAAAGAGCTTCACTCGGAATGAAAGCCTTGTTACACATCAACGAACTCACACAGGAGAGAAACCATTTCAATGTGCGGAGTGTGGAAAGAGCTTCAGTTGGAGTGGAAGCTTTAATTTACATCAACGGATTCACACGGGTGAGAAACCATATGAATGTATGCAGTGTGGAAAGAGTTTCAGTTGCAGTGAAGGCCTTAATTTACATCAACGAACTCACACAGGTGAGAAACCTTTTAAATGTATGGAGTGTGGAAAGAGCTACAGTCAGAGTGGAAGCCTTAAGAAACATCAACAAACTCACACAGGGAATAAACCTTTTAAATGTTTGGAGTGTGGAAAGAACTTCCGTCAGAGTTCAGACCTTACTTTGCATCGTCGGACTCACACGGGTGAGAAGCCATATAAATGTATGGAGTGTGGAAAGAGCTTCAGTCAGAGTGGAAACTTTAATAAACATCTACAAACCCATACTGGGGAGAAACCGTTTAAATGTATGGACTGTGGAAAGTGCTTTTGTCGGAATGAAAGCCTTACTTTACATCTACGAACCCACACAGGTGAGAAACCATATAACTGTATGCAGTGCGGAAAGAGCTTCCGTCAGAGCGGACAGCTGAGAATTCATCAACGAACTCACACAGAGGGGAAAACCATTTAAATGTATGGAGTGTGGAAAGAGCTTCATTAAGAGAAGAAGCCTTAAAAACCACCAACAAACCCACAGTGGAGGAACTGTTTAAATTGAAGGAGTGTGGAAAGTGCTTCAGCAGTGATGGAGCGCTTACAATCAGTGGAAAAACCATTCAAATGTATGGAGTGCATAAATTGTTTTCTCTCAGAGTTCACTCCTTCAGATCAGCAAATTCATATCGGGGCAATCGGTTGTAGATGCTTCGGGCGTGTATGATGTTCTGGTTTTTGTAAAGTTGTATAGACATGTTTTTAAGGAATGAACTCGCAGTAGTAAGTATAATTTAAGATTCATGTACTGTTAGATAGGGAGGGGGAGAGTGAATCTGTAATGCTGGTGGTCGGGGTCAGCCGAATTTTGATCTAGAGAGCTAGAAATGTCAGATCACTTCCTATTGAGATTCATACTTTAGGCACGTAGTCCATCCTTGAAGGCTATTTGATTTAATGGGCTTCTGAGGGGATTTTCCAGTTGATATGACTGGTGCTACCGTCGAGTCAGTTTACACGTCAGTTTTTACTTACAAACTCTTTTGCCGAAACGTCTAGATCCTTTTCACGTGTACTACTGGTAATCAAGTGTCCCACAACTTAAATTTGTGTAGCTGGTTATTCCTTCCTTGGTGTTGAACCTGATGTTTATCCCTCTTGATAAACCTTTAGCTAATTTTGGCCCAGTTCTCCGTTAAGTTATTCTCTGTTATTGTCATCTTCAATCCCAATTCTCTCTTCTCCAGCAATAGCTAACTTTTCCAGTTTGGTATAATCCCTTTATAAGCTTTATATAATTCTTCAGACTCGCCCCCTGCAAAGCTTAGTTCATGCCTTGGGATCTGCCCTACAGGCGCAAAGAAATCATTTAGCTTCCGCTAAATCTCTTTACAAGTAACCTCAAGTTTTTGTTTTTTTAAAAATGTTTTTGTTAAAAGGTTTTCTTGGGGATCAACAAAACATGTGGGGGTCTCCTTTTTCCAAGTCAGAGTGAGGCAAAAGAGAGAAGGGAAGTGAGAGGGTAGGGAGGGGGAGAGACAGTAATTTTTCATTATTCTGCATAGTATATACATGCTTTTTTGCAGACGGTTGGTTGCAGTGTGTTGCTGTCTGTGTGGCAGGGGTGTAGCTGGGTCAAGTTTACCATATTGATTGGTATGTTTCCAGGGTCAGTCAGTGGACTGAGTTTGAATCCTGACAATGCAGAAGTACTGTTTCTAGGGGACAGGGGGTGGGTAGGTGGGGGACGGGATTCCCTGGTCCTGATTGGGGTAGCTGTGCCCCTAAAGCACCAGCATCAGAGTACCATATTTTTCACACCATAAGATGCACTTTTTTCTTCCTAAAAAGTAAGGGGAAATGTCTGTGCGTCTTATGGAGCGAATGTGTGGTCCCTGGAACTGAATTTTTTGCCCAGGGGCAAAAAGCAGTGTTCTCAAAGCTACCAGCATGAGTTTGACTAAACTGCGGGAGGCAGTGGAAGACAGAAGAGCCTGGCATGCTCTGGTCCATGGGGTCACGAGGAGTCGGACACAACTAAATGACTAAACAACAACAACAAAAAGCAGATCATGCTTTTTGCTTTTTGCTTTTTTTGAAAGAGGGAAGTGGGTGTTGAAACAAAGCCGCTGATCGCAAGCGATCGGGAGCGAGATAAGGGACACTAGCAATAAAGGAGGCTGGCAGGGAGGGGGGAGGTAAAGACAACAAAATTGCAAGGAGAGGAGACAGGAAGACTAAATCAGTGAGGAGAGAAATTAGAAGAAAAGGAGGAGCAAAGAACTCGCCAGCTAAGGAAAAGACACTAAGGCAAACAAGAGGGAAGGGAGTGTTGAAAGGAAGCAGCTGATCGGGATTGGGAGAGAGATAAGGGAGGCTAGTGGAGGCTCCCTGGGAGGGGGGAGGTAAAAGCCCATGGATCCTAAGGATTTTTACATTGGTTCACCCCAAATTCACCATCAGATCACATAGCATGTCCATTGCTACAGCCTGCACCAAAAAAATCACGCCACTGTTTCCTGGGGCTGCAACGGTGGAAAAATGTGCTTACAAAGCACGGATCCACATGGATTCTCAGGATTTTTGCATTGGGCTACCCCAAACTCACCGTCAAATCACATGTCTGTGGCTGCAGCATGAACCACAAAAATCATAAATCTACTGTTTCGTTCAGAATATTTTTTTTCTTATTTTCCTCCTTTTAAAAACTAGGTGCGTCTTATGGAGCAAAAAATATGGTGGTTTTGTGTGGCAGTTAGACTTTTCCAGAGTTACGCTGGAAGAGAGCCCGGGTCATTTGACCCTTTAATTAGTTCCCTTTCCCCTCCTATAAAAACTACGCAAGACACTCTCTTTTAAGGTTTAAATAGCACATAACTTTTTTACGCAGTGTACTTGCCTGTGTTAGATTAAATACACAATGCAGGTAGCTGTTCCTTTACGTTACATGTGGATTAACTCTTGAGGCAGACAGCAGCACAACAGAATTTTGCTGCTGTTGACTGTTAAAGCTGTTCAGAACCGACATCACTGCGTCAGACGTATGACACCACACATCTCCTTAGCCCTTGTGAGCATTAACCCATTAACTTAGCATTTTGGCTATTACCATCCTACATTTTGGACTCGCAAAGAATTGCCGGTAAGTTGTAAAGCTTTCCTTGCAGAAACTTGATAATAACCCATACAATGGCTAAAAACAGAAAGAGTTTCCTGCTTAAGTATAGGACAGGCTGCAGCAGTTGTCCATCTTCCCCCTTCTGGCAGAGTTGCCCCAGCTCCTATAATGGAGGCATCCGTGAAAAGGATAAAGGGCTCTAGGAAAGAGCTCTCAAAATAGGCTCCGTTCAAAACTAAACAGCATCACCTTTGACATACTTTGGAAATCTGAGGTAAAATCTCCACCCCGCAACAATGCTTGCGGCAGTTCTGCTCTTAAGCTTCCTTTCCTCCATTTTTAAAAGAAACATGTCTTTTTCATGGGCCATCTTGCCCTCCCTTTCTCTTTCTTTTTCCTCACGAGCTGCTCTGCTCTCTCTCTCTCAGCCTGTATCTGTGCTAACTGAACGTCAGCTGCGATTCTGGCTTGTCCAGCTGCTAATTTTGCCTTTTCTCTTTCTGTTTCAACTTTGTTTTTCTTTCTCTGCTTCAACTTTAGCCAATTCTAATCTTAGCCTCATCATTTCTAATTCAGTACAGTGGTACCTCGGGTTAAGAACTTAATTCGTTCTGGAGGTCCGTTCTTAACCTGAAACTGTTCTTAACCTGAAGCACCACTTTAGCTAATGGGGCCTCCTGCTGCCGCTGCGCCGCCAGAGCACGATTTCTGTTCTCATCCTGAAGCAAAGTTCTTAACCCAAGGTACTATTTCTGGGTCAGCGGAGTCTGTAACCTGAAGCATATGTAACCCGAGGTACCACTCTATTAGATACAGCAGCTGGGTCATCCCGAGTCTCTTTTGCTTGGTGATTGCTGGCCATTTTCTGATAGAATTTTTTTCTTTTTAAAATAAAATAGCCTCAATACTTTATCAAACTAGGTGTTCTGTATCTCTGGGTACATTGCTGTGTGGGTTTTAACTTCGTATCATGGCGCTTCCACCAATTAATATGTGATGGCGCTACAACCCTTTCCCCTCTTTCACCCACCTCACAGAACAACAGTTCCACAAATTCCCACAAACTACCCCAGATTATGTTGTGGGGGACTTGTGTGAGAGAAAACTTAATAATTTGCAGTCTCAGGCAGGATTTGATCAAATAAACAATAAATATTTTATTTAACAAAGGTTGTTTATGAGGGTCCTGACCTTCTTTCTTCACAGACCCCTGTGTGATTTACACAACCTCTCCAAACCTGCAACACCCCACTTTGCACCAGATGATAGACTCTGGGGAAAGGGACATTGCATCAGCCATCGGAAATGAGGCACCAAATTTAACCACATTGCAAGGAGAAAATCCACTCAGGCTGCCAAGTAATACAGGAGTCTTGGGGGGGATGGGGATGGGGGACACTTGGTGGTGGTTGTTGGGATTTCAGCACCCACAAGCTGCCAAAAGCAGCAAGAGCTGTTTACATCAGGTGCTGTTGGGACAGGAAGTCTGCTCAGGAGAAATTGGTGTGCTTTTCTCAAAGAGACAAGTCGCCTAATTATCAGTCTCTCTGGACTGAAAGAGGATTCCTGGACAAAGGCTTCGGGATGCTGGCATTGCTCCCGGGCGGGCGATAATCCAGCAGTGGTTGTGTGTGTCCAGTTGCACATTTAAATATTATTTCTCCCTCCTCAAGAAAATGAATCCCGACTATGGTAGTTTGTGAAGGTTGCTGGGAATTGTAGCTCTGTGGTGGGTAAAGTACAGTTCTCAAGATTCTTTTGTAATAAACGAAAATCTGCCCTTATTCACTTATGGGGGACACAAGACCCCTTATAGAGTCCTTTGCAGGTTCTCCATCGGTCAGAGAGAAAATAACAGAGGCCAACCAGAGAATACGGAGAAGCAAAGCAGCTAGTAAGCCTAGCAGCTAGTGTGCCCCCTTCACACACAGGAAAGGAGGAGGACCCAGAACCAAAGTGTGCCCGCCCTTATATAGACATTTTAAATTGCCAGCCCTGGAGTCCAAGACCACCCCCAGAAACATCATACCTATATCACAGAAAGGGTGGTCTACTAGAGAAATCTGAGTGCATAGTTTACCTCCTGTCTGGCAGGTTACCTGTTAATGCTTACTTGATTGGATACCCTGGGGAGCCTGGCCAGTCTTTTGTAATGATAAATACTTAGTTCCTGAGCCAGGTCACAGGCTCACCCTATTCACACACAGACATACCCTTAAGACAGGATTTCTGAATGAAAAGACAATGGGGAGGCTTTTCCATTTTCCTTGACCTTGCAGAGAAATCATTTGGACAGTTTGGGAGTCAAAATGGTTTCAGGGCTGTTTTCCTGAGCTGCTTCAGACATGTGGTTTATATATTTATGTACGTGTTTGCTTGGTACATTTATGAACACACACACACACACACACAGAGAGAGAGAGAGAGAGAGAGAGAGAGAGAGAGAGAGACATATATATATGTGTGTGTGTGTGTGTGTGTGTGTGTGACCTTAATTTTTTTATTTCACTTTGAAGGAAAGGATCTGTTTTAAAGGACTTGGGATCAGTGCGTTTTGTTAGACGGCCAACCCTGCAGCCCGGGATTACTATGCGGAATTGTAGATATGGGAGGGTCATCTAGCCCAACCCCCCTATAAAGCAAATGTTATTTGCACTCAGTGAGTGCCCCTTCCCCACAGGGGCAGATGGTCTTTGCTTTACTACGTTTCAGACTCTCCCAACAGACGTGTCTTGGCCAGGGGAACCGCTCGCCACTTGAAAAGCCTCTGCTGAGCCCGCTGCTGCAGTTCCTATCCTGACCGCCCCCTTCTCCCCCCCTCCCCGCTTTTGCATGCACGGTACATACATCCGCGTACATGAAAGGAAGAGCAGCGCAGGCTTTGCATTTTGTTTCCTTTTCTAGGCGGACAGGGGCGCTGCCGCAGACTAGCCTTGCAAAAGGAGAGAGAAGCTTTCTGCAAACCTGGCGGGGCTGGGGGGGACTTTCCATCCCTTCCCCTCCCTCCCCCCCACCCCGCGCGAAGTTGCCTTAAGAGTTAAAGCCAGAGAGTGCAAGCTGCTAGAGAGAAAAAGAGAGAGAAGGGGATGCTGGATACTGACCCCCACCCACTCCGCCCAACCTCTTCCCTTGGGAAAGGGGGCGTGGCTTAAGCGGAACAGCTGGCCCGCCCCCTCTGCCGTCGCGCGCCGCCTTTGCCCTGCAAGGAGTCGGGTGAGTGCAAAGCGCCTTGGGGTGCAGCAAGCTCCGGGGTGTGTGTGTTTGTGTGTGTTCAATGCAATGCAATACCCGTGGAATTGAGGGTGGGGTTGGAGAGAGAGCAGGCAGGGAAGCTGCGAGTCAGGTGGGGGGGGGGTTGCAGCTGATTCATCCTCGTTGCATAGAAGAGACAGGGGTTTCTCCCTAAAGGTGCTCTCTCTCTCTCTCTCTCTCTCTCTCTCTTTCACTCACACACGTGTGTCTGCATGCACACACAGATCACGTGAAGAGCCCTGTAGTTTCATTAGGCCAACGGCCCATCTAGTCCAGCATCCAGTGTTAGAATCACAGAATCGTAGAGTTGGAAAAGGGACCCTGAGAGTTATCTAGTCCAACACCCCCCCCTCTTCAAGACAGGAATCTCAGCACTGTGTCCTTACGGTGGCCAAGCCTGCAAAGAAGAATTGGATCCCAAGAGCATCTCTCCCCTCAGGTGGCTTCCATAATAATTTAATAATAGTAATGATTATATCACCTGTATTTTAAATTGGTTTTCTCTCTCTCTCCCTCCCCCCCCCCCATTATGTTTTTATTGTAATTTTACTGGTGTTAGCCGCCCTGAGCCCGGTTCTGGCTGGGGAGGGCAGGGTATAAATGAATTATTATTATTATTATTATTATTATTATTAATATGCCACCCATTAGAGTGGGTTGCCCCAGCCACTCTGCGTGGCTCCCAACAGAATATGTGTTCTAAAAGTAAGATTTTTATTTCCTTGACATCTGACAGGAGGGCATTATACAGGGCGGGCCCTCTGCCTAGTTCCCCGTCGTTGAGTTGATACAGAATAAGTTGAGTTCATATAGAATAATAAGTTGATATCCTAAATTTTCAGCTTCTCTCAAAGAACCAGGATCAGGAAGTTTTTAATGTTTGATGTCATTTTTTAAATATTTTGCTGGAAGCCACCTGCGTATATTATTATTATTACCACTTGTTCAGTGCATTTGGAAGCATCCAAATAACTTGAGGTAATATATTCAAACAAAACATTCACTCCTGATTCACCGTGTAAAAGGTACTTGCACTGGCGTGCTTTCGAACTGCTGGGTTGGCAGGAGCTGGGGCCGCCGACCTTCTGCTTGGTTTAGACCACAGCACCACCTGCGTCCCTGTGTGCAATCCTACCGGCTGAATTTTATCTGAGTCCTGGGATAGCTCAGTTGGTAGAGCACGAGGCTCTCAGGGTTGTGGGTTCCAGCCCCACCTTGGCCAAAATATTCCTGCATTGCAGAGAGTTGGACTTGGTCCCTTCCAACTTTGTAATTCTGTGGTCTATGAACCTCACTTATGAGGGAACCACCACACTTATTTCTTTTCTAAAGCAAAATTTTGTTAGACGTTCCGTAGCCCACCTTTGCGTAATAGGAGTTTGCCCTTTCAAGATTGGAGAGTGAGAGGAAAAGGAATCTCAGAGTGGGCTATTTTTGTGGGGGAGGGTGGAACAGACATGACTTTTCTGGTCAGGGGGCAGAAGGAGCTTGGGTTGATCCCTAGCTAGAGATCCTCCATCCCCTTGTCTTGGTGCAGATTTGGATCTCTGCCTCCTAGGAGAAGGAAGTCCCTACTTCTCAGCTTCCCCCTGGTGTCCTGTTCCCTAAATCTCACCTGCTTTTCCTTGCAGACTGCAGACCCAGTTTCCTCCTCTGCTTCTTTGAAGGCATCTTCCAGTTTTGCCGGGGGGGGGGGGACCTTTGCAAGATCCTAATCTCCTCCTCACCCTGTCCCAAAGTCACACGCTCCTACCCTCCAGAAAGAAGGCGGTGGTGGAGGTTCTGTGCTGGAGGCCAAGCTGTTGTGGAGCTCAAGGATGGAGGAGCAAGACTCAGCTGGGCCTGAGGCGGGAGAAGGTCCCCACATCGTCCAGATTGGGAGCAGTGGGGCCATCTGGGGGGACTTGCCACAGAAGTGCTTCCGGGAGTTGTGCTACCAGGAAGCTGAGGGTCCAAGACAGATCTGCGGCCAGCTCCGCTCACTGTGCTATCAGTGGCTGAAGCCGGAAAGGAACACAAAAGCCCAGATGCTGGACCTGGTGATCCTGGAGCAGTTCCTGGCTGTCCTCCCCCCAGAGATGGAGAGCTGGGTCAGGGAGTGTGGAGCGGAGACCAGTTCCCAGGCGGTGGCCCTGGCAGAAGGTTTCATCCTGAGCCAGGCAGAGGACAGAAAGCAGGAAGACATGCAGGTGAGGCTTGTGGCTGGAAGGGGAAATGATATATAATGAATTGAAAAGGATGTTCAAAATAACTTTTCTTTAAAAAACAAGAAGTTTTTCTTTTGATAATTATAGGTACAGAACTACCTAAATTGTACAGAAATTTATTTATGCATGCAACTACAGCAGCAAGAATGTTACTTGCCCCAAAATGGAAAGAAGCAGAAGTCCCAGTAAAGGAAGAATGGATACAGAAACTTAAGGGAATAGCAGAAATGGCTAAACTTTGCCGGAAGAATAAGAAAGCAAGATAACAAACTTTTTAATTAAGGAGTGGAAATGGTCTATTATTTACAGATAAATTGTAAACAGATAAAAACATTAGCAGGATTATTGCAATAACTTGCAGTTATCTAAAAGTATATGTTTACAGTAGATAATTAAATGAACAAGTTAAATGAATTTAGATATGCAGATGATATTAAAAAATAAATTTAAGGAACCATGGAAAGAGGGGGGAAGGAATGTTAAATGGATTGTAAAACTAATGAAATGTATAAATTTGAAAAGTATATTAAAAAAAAATATTTATTATTTATACCACCCTTCATCAAAAGATCTCATGGTGGTTTTCATATAAAGTGGTACCTCGGCTTACATACGCTTCAGCTTACATACGCTTCAGGTTACAGACTCCGCTAACCCAGAAATAGTACCTCGGGTTAAGAACTTTGCTTCAGGATGAGAACAGAAATCGTGCTTCAGTGGTGTGGCGGCAGCAGGAGGCCCCATTAGTTAAAGTGGTGCTTCAGGTTAAGAACAGTTTCAGGTTAAGAACGGACCTCCGGAACAAATTAAGTACTTAACCCGAGGTACCACTGTAATAATAATAAATATGAATTGCAATTGATAATAAAGAACAAGTATTTTCTCCTCACCCTGCCTGAATGTCATACTTAACAGTCTGTATATTTGAAAGACAGCGTGTCATTCCTTTTAATAATAATAAAATCCTCAGTGGCGCTGCAAGAAATCTGCTAGCACATTTGCAAAGCTAAGCAGGGTCCGGGATGGTTTCAAATTGGATGGGGAACCATTTGTTGAGATTCCTGCACTGCAGGGGAGACTACACGGCCCTCAAGGTCCCTTCCAACGCCCCCATTCTGTGAGTATTGGCTGCCCATCTACTACCAAGGCAGGTTCAAGTTCCCTGTGTTAATTTACAAAGCCCAAACTTAGGTCCAAGGGAACCTCAGAGATCACCTTCTGAACCCTTATATCTCAGCTGCATCACTGACATCATCTGCAGCAGCATCGCTGGTCGTCCCTCCAGTTGGCGAGGCTCATTTGAAAATAACAAAAACACGAGCCTTTAGTGTCGCCGGATGAGTTCCTGTGGAACTCTCTGCCACTGGAGATTCAGCAGGCTGTTTCCCACTTCAACTCTTAAAACGTTTGCCTGGAAATCCTCTATTCCGCCAGGCCTAGGAAGGCAAGCTAAGAATACGGACTTCAATGCTAGTTAGCTGATTTCAGCATTTTCGTTACGGTTTGACGTGCAATTCTTGTAACCTGCTATGATCAATATTTCCCCCCCTTTCCAAATCTCTCTCCCCTCCCTTCTCTCTCCCCGGGCTCGTTGCCCTTTTCAGCTGCAGGGCTTGCTAGCCAAAGGGGCCACAGATTTCCCAGGGGCCAAGGAGCATCCGCCGGAGGCTACGCGGAGGCTGCTCTTCAGGTGGATCAAGCAGGAGGGGGACGGAGGGCCCCCCTCCCTGGGTAAGGACCCCCATGGAGGACCCCCCCATGGTTGTTCCTGACTCACATGAACTAGTACAAATAATAATAATTAATAATAATAATAGGGACGCGGGTGGTGCTGTGGGTAAAACCTCAGCGCCTAGGACTTGCCGATCGTATGGTCGGCGGTTCGAATCCCCGCGGCGGGGTGAGCTCCCGCTGCTCGGTCCCAGCGCCTGCCAACCTAGCAGTTCGAAAGTACCCCCGGGTGCAAGTAGATAAATAGGGACCGCTTACTAGCGGGAAGGTAAACGGCGTTTCCGTGTGCTGCGCTGGCTCGCCAGATGCAGCTTTGTCACACTGGCCACATGACCCGGAAGTGTCTTCAGACAGTGCTGGCCCCCGGCGTCTTAAGCGAGATGGGCGCGCAACCCCAGAGTCAGACACGACTGGCTCGTATGGGCAGGGGTACCTTTACCTTTAATAATAATAATAATAATTTATTATTTGTACCCCGCCCATCTGGCTGGGTTTCCCCAGCCACTCTGGGCGGCTTCCACAGAGACCAAAAATACACTAAAATGTCACACATTAAAAACTTCCCTGAACAGGGCTGCCTTAAGATGTCTTCTGAATGTCAGGTAGTTGTTTATCGCTTTGACATCTGGTGGGAGGGCGTTCCACAGGGCGGGCGCCACTACCAAGAAGGCCCTCTACCTGGTTCCCTGTAGCTTTGCTTCTCGCAATGAGGGAACCGCCAGAAGGCCCTCAGTGTTGGACCTCAGTGTCCAGGTAGAACGATGGGGGTGGAGACGCTCCTTCAAGTGCGAAAATACTCCCCTTGACTTTTGTAGGAGGTGAGGCAGTTCTGTTGAACGTGCAAAGCTGCCTCCTACCGAGTTCCCCCTGGTCCGAACTGTCTACTCTGACTGGCAGCTGCTCTTGGTGCTTTTAGGGAACTTGGATCAGACCTTGGGCCTCCCACATGCAAACAGATGCTCTCTCACTGAGCCTTCCCAAATAGAAAGAAACGGAAGCTGTCTTATCCCGACTTGGTCCATCTAGTTCAGTAGTGTCTGCACGGTCTGGCAGCGTCTCTCCCAGGTTGCAGGCAGGGGCGCTTGCTGTGAGAACAGGACGCCATCCTTAGGCTCTAACGTTTTAACGTCTTCCTCGTAGAAAGTGCAACAGTCCTCAGAGATGGGGAGACGGCGCTGGGGGTTCCTCCTCTGACGCCTTCTCTTTGCAGCCAGCTGGAAGTGGCTCCTGTGTTACCAGGACAGGTAGGTATGGGGCGGGATTTGGGGGGGGAGGGGGCGAGGACACCCTCTCACCCTAGTCTCCTCACACCCCTCTGGGCCTGGAGGAAATAGCATTGTCTTTCTTTGAAAGCACAGATCCTGCAGGAGAAAATTCAGCTGGCCTCCACCTTTGCTATCTGTTTGTAGGCAATTGCATTTTCTTCTGAATTTCTTCCTTTCTCTCTTTTTAAATCAGGGTCTGGCACCCTTTGAGAAGATGTCTGTTCATTTCATGGAGGAGAAGAGGACTCTTCCAGAACCAGGCCAGGCGTCTCTGCACAGGGGATCTGCGGAGGAGAACACTGGGGATCTGGTCTTTCTGGGTGAGGCTCCTTTTTTGCCTTGTTCACTGATCCAGTTCATTCGCTGACCAACTTTCAAGCCCCCATTTATGTTCTGATATATTTGCTGTTCGTAGATGCCGATAGCGGGGCGGGAATTACTTCTGCAGAAGCCGCGTTGATTCATCAGCAAGACTGGTCCTTCTGCAAGCACAATATAACATTATTTGCCCCAGATTCTCAAAGTCTCTCGCTGAGATTGGAAAATCTCACTCCGGCTCCAGCATTTTGTGAGATGGGCCCTGCTGCTTTCAGGACTATTCCTGCATTCCAACATCTGACTCACTATTGGAGCTCTCACACAACGCCTGTCACTCTTGCCCTGTCTTTCGTGTCCTCTTTGTTCAGAGCTCAAGATTACAGCTGCTCTCTGCCTTCCGAGAACTTAACTGTTCTCTCTCTATGCCTGCTTCTTCTTCTCCTGTCAGCACCTGAGCTTTGCTGACAACCGCCCTATACCCGGAGGTCTCAGGGCGGTTCACAAACAAGACCACAACATATAAAAACAAACCGAAAACAATAACCCAATAACCCGCCCTGCCCCCAAGCCACATTCTAAAAGGGTGTTGGATGTGAAACAGATCAACCAAAGGCCTGGTTAAAAAGGAACGTTTTTGCCTGGTGCCTAAAGGTGTGTAATGAAGGCGCCGGGTGAACTTCCCTGGGGAGCGCATTCCACAGATGGGGAGCCACTGCAGAGAAGCCCCCGTTCTCATGTTGCGACCCTCCAGGCCTCTTGAGGAGGAGGCACATGAAGAAGGGCCTCAGAAGATGATCTCAGGGTCCGGGTATGTTCATATGGGAAGAGGCGGTCCTTGCGATTTATGGATTTATAGGTCAAAACCAGCACTTTGAATTGGGCCAGTACAGTCAGACCAGGATCGGTGTAATATGCTTAAACCGTCTTGCTCATAGAACTCCACAATTCTATGACCTTCTCCCTTTATTTGGAAGAGTTTGCCTCCCCATTAAATATTTTCTGCTCTGTTGATCTAAACAGTGTTGAGCATCAGCTCTCTTCCCTAATTGAATTTCTGGTTTTGGTTCCCTCAGGTAACGGGCAAGAGGATCGCCAGCAGGACGAAGGGCAGAGAAGGGCAGCTGAGGAGACGCAGAAGTGGGGGACCAAAGCCTTTGTGTTCGAAGGGGGCGAGGCGGATGAGATTCCGATCGTGGAGGAACGTCCTGCAGGGAAGCGCCGGTACGTCCACGGCAGAGAGAAGCCCTTGAAATGCTCCGAGTGCGGGAAGAGCTTCAACCACCAGGTCCACCTCCTCAAACACCAGAGGACCCACATGGTGGAGGAAACCTACCGGTGTGCCGAGTGCGGGAAGCAGTTCAGCCACAGCTCCTACCTCAGCTCCCACCAGAAGATCCACACGGGGGAGAAACCCTACAAGTGCCTGCAGTGTGGGAAGACCTTCAGCCACGGCAGGAGCCTCAACTCACATCAGATAATCCACACGGGCCAGAAGCCCTACAAGTGCTCGGTGTGCCCCAAGAGCTTCAGCCACAGCAGGAGCCTCAAAGTGCACCTGAGGATCCACACTGGGGAGAAGCCCTTCGGCTGCTCCGAGTGCGGGAGGAGCTTCAGCCAGTGCTCCAACCTTATCAAACATCAGAGAATCCACACGGGAGAGAAGCCGTACAAGTGCTCCCAGTGTGGGGTGTGCTTCAACCAGAGCATCCAGCTGAAGAGGCACCAGATCGTCCACACGGGTCAGGATCCCGTCTATCAGAGCATCCAGCTTAAACGGCACCAGATCATCAACACGGGGTAGGATCCTGCGAGTCCTGAACCCAACCCCTTGCTTCATTTTGGGAGAAAAGCACATGGCTCCCTATAATTGATGTCGTTGAACCTGCCAGAGAACTACAGATGAACTAATTAAATAAACAGAAGTTTAGAGTTGGAAGGGACCCCAGAAATCATCATCTAATAATAATAAAAATAAATGTTATTTATACCCCGCCCTCCCCAGCCAGAGCTGGGCTCATTGCGGCTAACACCAATAAAATCACAGTAAAAACATAATTGGGGAAGGAAAATTAAAAAAACCAATTTAAATTACAGGTGGCTTAAAAGTCTGCATCAAGAGCATTTCCTTTTAACTAAAACAAAAAACCAAAATGGCACCTCTCTGCCTTGTCAGTTTTGTGCAATAATGCTGAATTAAACCATGTGATGCCGTCTGCTTCTGCAGCCAAATCTTTCTCAAAAATCGCTCCTCAGCCCGTCTTGGGCCTCTGAGTGCATGCAGACACAGGAAGCGGAAGCGGGCTGAGTGATTCATCTAGTATGGTCTGCACTGGCTGGGGAGGCTTCCAGGTACATTGGGGCAGGGGATGGGCCTATTAATGACTGCATATAATTAATGGTGCAAACGGTTGCAGGGGTAGGGGGCTGAATTATGAATTCTTTTCTAATTCATTTATCGTCAGGCATTCCAAAGCGACTCACAATGCAACAGATTTTGCCTGGGAGAGTCACATGTGTAAAACCCATTGAAATATTTGCATATGTAAAAGATAAAGAAGAGTTTGGATTTGATATCCCGCTTTATCACTACCCGAAGGAGTCTCAAAGCAGCTAACATTCTCCTTTCCCTTCCTCCCCCACAACAAACACTCTGTGAGGTGAGTGGGGCTGAGAGACTTCACAGAAGTGTGACTGGCCCAAGGTCACCCAGCAGCTGCATGTGGAGGAGCGGAAACGCGAACCCGGTTCACCAGATTACGAGTCTGCCGCTCTTAACCACTACACCACACTGACCCCTGGACAGTTAAGTCTAGACAAAGGTGACTATGGGGTTGCTTTCAGGCCGAGGGAGCTGGCATTGTCCGCCGACAGCTATCCGGGTCATATGGCGGAAGCCAGAATGCAAGGAAACGCTGTGTACCTTCTCACCACAGCAGTACCTGTTTATCTACTTGCACTGGTGTGCTTTAGAACTGCTAGGTTGGCAGGAGCTGGGCCTTTGGGGGTGAAGTCCAACTGTGGGCAGCTTGCAACACCTGCTGTCACTTCATCATGTCATGGGCAAATGCTCAATGCCGGCAGAGGGAGGAGCAGCTCCAGATGAACTCTGCTTTCAGCCTCCTGTACTGCCAGCTTTCTACAGATTTCTGAAAGATGGGCCAATTACGGGGGCACAGAGATTCCTCTCTCCACAGGGAAATGACTCTCCTGAAATCACTGGCGATGCCCACATTTCCCTGTGCCACCTTCCCTCCCCATGTTGGTTGTTCCCCTCAGCACCTCCATTATTCCAGCTGCCACCAGGGATTTGATCCACTTTGCTGTTAATGTAGCCATGAATGAGAAGGAAAGGTAAAACAATGAATTTATAACAGGGAGCTGGACTAGATGACCCTTGGAGTCCCTTTCAACTCCACATTTCTAGGATTCCAGAGCCAATCCTGCTTCCTAAACCCCACTGTCGTGCTCCATGTGACGCCGCAACAGCACTTTTCACCCTGGCCTTGTTGGGCCGGTCCTCACTTAAATAGAGTGCGACCACCTCATAGTATACCAGTAACACGAATTTCTACAAATTACCCTAGATTATCTAGTGGGGGATTTGTGTGAGGGAAAACTTAATGATTTGGAGTCTCAGCATTTGCTCAAACAAACAATAAAGGTTTTATTAAACAAAGGAAGTTTATGACACAAAGTGGGTAAAACAAAGGTTACTTCAGGTTATGATGTTATTTCAGGTAACCGTTCACCTAATAATATTTATACTAAATCTAACTGATGTTATGGACTTCTAATCAAGCACAGCTTCTTATAAACTTCAGTTGCTTATGTTCGGTTACTTCACTTCAGGTAGATGTCACAGGTTTTTAGACTGAATGGTAAATGCTCAGCTTATTTCCAGGTATTTCACTTCAGTTCTTTCTCAGTTGTTGCACAGCTGTTGCCGCTTAGTACTTTGGTTCTTTTCTTTTTTTTAAGCACAACTATCCAGCTTTATTGAATTAAAATACAAATATATATACATACATAGAAGTAAGAAAAAGGGTGAGGGCGAACAAAGGAAAAGAAAAGATAAAAAAGAGTTTGCATTGTTATACAATCAGATATTAAATTTTGAATAAAAAGACTTCCAATTCTTCTCATTGTATTAATGTTGTTATTTACACTTTAACGCACCATCGTCTATTATCTTGATTTATCTTTATACACTACAGTAGGTAAACATTTACGCATTGCACTTTACAAGAATCAATTTAGTTCTGCTAGGAGATTTTTATTTGAACAATAAGTTTTTATATAATGTTTGAATATACTCCATTCTTTATATACTTTCTGATTTGAAAGCCCTCTTACTCTCCCCGTCATCTTAGCCAGCTGGAGGTATTCTATCCTAAGCGTCTGCCATTCTGTTATAGTGGGTGCTGTTTCATTTTTCCAGTTCCTTGCCACTAATATTCTGGCTGCCATTATCCCATACATGAACAGTGGTCTTATATCTTTTTTAATTTCCATTGACATTATTCCTAAGAGGAAGGCTTTTGGTGTGTGTTTTTAATCTAAATTTCAATAATTATTTAAATTCATTATATAGTTTATCCCAAAATTCACAGAGGACTATACAGTTCCACCACATGTGCAGATAATAATCCCGTATCTTTTTTACATCTCCAGCAGGTTGGCGATCTACCTTTGTACATTTTAGCAAGTTTTGCTGGAGTGTGGTGCCAGCTATATAGCATTTTCATAAGGATTTCCCTGAGATTATAGCACGCTGTGAATCTGATATCCTCCTTCTATCTTTCCCATTGTTCCATTTAGATATTATATCCAAGGTCTTGTGCCCATCTCACCGTTGCAGCTTTAACTTGCTCTTCTTTCACTTCCCATTCTTTATTATGAGTTAGCTCTTTTTCAAATTTAGATGTTTCTTTTGCCAGGCCTTCTCTCTTGTCTAAATCCAACCTTTGGTTTATTTGGACTTAAGTACTTGGGTTCTTAAACAAGGTGGTACTTCCTGTGAGTTACACACCCCTTTGACAACCCTTTTCCTGAGGTACTCCAAGCAACAGACCCAAGGCATCTCCACACCCCTCTTAACTAGTTTGGGACACTTCTCTTTTTCTAGAAGAATCTCCCCTCCTGACTGGAATGAGACCTAAGTAGACTGTATCTTTCCAGCTTCTACTTCTCCTGGCTCAGCCTCAGCCTCCCAGTTAATTCCTGGCCTGTTACTCTTACAGCACACGAAACACTGTCCTTCATCCTAAGCTCAGAGACTTCTTTCTCTAGCTTGTGATATATTCCTCAGAGTCGATGTTTCTACCCAAAACCAACTCTCTCCTCTCATTACCTATCCCCAACCTATCTCCTAACCTGAAACCTGTCTCTCCAAAACCTCTCCTTTTCAACTCCCTCTCCTGGAACCCCGGCCAATCAGAAGCAGTCATTTGTTAACCATTTGCTGGCAGGGAAAAAGAAAACACTTTCCATACAAACACCAGAACATCAAATATACTCCATGCATTTACACTTGATTGTTCCCTTTATGAGTTTGTTGATGTGAGGGACAAAGTGAACTCTGTGAGGAAAAACTTGGCACATTCCATAAAACTAAATTGGTTCCCCCTGTGACAGTCTGTAGGTGTTAATTGAGAACTGTTATAATTGAAATACTTTCCACACTCATTTAAGCAATTGCTTATCTGTGAGATTTTTGATGTCTTGTAAGTTTTCCACCTTCACTGAAGCTCTTCCCGCACTCCATACATTTATATGGTTTCTCCCCTGTGTGAGTTCGTTGATGTCTAGTAAGGCTTGCACTCTGACTGAAGCTCTTTCCACACTCCAAACATCTAAATGGTTTCTCCCCTGTGTGAGTTCGTTTATGTATTGTAAGTTTTCTACCTTCACTGAAACCCTTCCCACAATCCTTACATTTAAAGGGTTTCTCCCCTGTATGAGTTCGTTGATGTAGAGTAAGGTCTGAACACTGTCTGAAGCACTTTCCACAAAACATACACTTATATGGTTTCTCACCCGTGTGAGTTCTTTGATGTCTAGTAAGTGTTCCATTGTGACTGAAACTCTGTCCACACTCTATACATTTAAAGGGTTTCTCCCCTGTGTGACCTCGTAGATGTATGGTCAGTTTTGAAGCTTCACTGAAGCTCTTTCCACACTCCAGACATTTAAATGGTTTCTCTCTTGTGTGAGTTCGTTGATGTCTTCTAAGAGCTCCACTCTCAATGAAACCTTTCCCACAAATACATTTAAATGGTTTCTCCCCGGTGTGACTTTGTTGGTGTAGAGTGAGTTTTCCACTACAAATGAAGCTCTTTCCACACTCCAAACATTTATATGGTTTCTCCCCTGTGTGAGTTCGTTGATGTATTGTAAGTTTTCTACCTTCACTGAAACCCTTCCCACAATCCTTACAATTAAATGGTTTCTCCCCAGTGTGACTTTGATGGTGCAAAATGAGTTGCCAACTACGCATGAAGCTCTTTCCACACTCCAAACATTTGTATGGTTTCTCCCCTGTGTGAGTTCTTCGATGTATAGTAAGGTATGAACACTGCCTGAAACACTTCCCACACTCCATACATTTAAATGGTTTCTCACCCGTGTGAGTTCGTTGATGTAAGGTAAGACTTCCATTTTCACTGAAGCTCTTTCCACACTCCATACATTTATATGGTTTCTCCCCTGTGTGAGTTCTCCGATGTATAGTAAGGTGCGAACAAAGTCTGAAGCTCTTTCCGCACCCCATACATCTGTATGGTTTCTCCCCAGTGTGAATTCGTTGATGTACAGTAAGATTTCCCCTATCCCTGAACTTCTTTCCACAATCCATACATCTAAATGGTTTCTCCCCTGTGTGAATTCGTTGATGTTTTGTAAGAGTTCCATTTTCACTGAAGCTCCTTCCGCACTCCATGCATTTAAACGGTTTCTCCCCTGTGTGAATTCGTTGATGTTTCGTTAGAGCTCCACTCTCAATGAAACCCTTCCCACATTCCATACATTTAAATGGTTTCTCCCCTGTGTGAATTCGTTGATGTTTTTTTAGAGCTCCACTCTCAATGAAACCTTTCCCACACTCCAAACATTTAAATGGTTTCTCACCCGTGTGAGTTCGTTGATGTACAGTAAGACTTCCATTTTCTCTAAAGCTTCTTCCGCACTCTATACATTTATATGGTTTTCCCCCTGTGTGAATACACTGATGTATAGTAAGGTGTGAACACTGACTGAAGCTCTTCCCACAATCCATACATCCAAATGGTTTCTCCCCGGTGTTAATTTGTTGATGTCTAGTAAGGCTTGCACTCTGATTGAAGCTCTTTCCGCACTCCATGTATCTAGAGGATTTCTCCCCTATGTTAGTTTGTAGATGTGTGCTAACGTGTTCACTCACACTGAAGTACTTTACAGTATTCTGATTGCCTTCTCCATCACCTGGTTTAAAGTGGGGGATAAGAAAATATTGTTAGGTATTCAAGGAAGAGAATTTAAAAGAGAAAGGAAAGGTCTGAAAATAGCCTCAATAACCCCTAGTATCCAGTTCTACCTTCAACTCCCATGTAACACTGAGCACCAAGAGAACCTTCTGTGCTGAGGCAAGGCATCTATGGCCATCCAGACGTGGTTGGACTCTAAGTACCATCAACCCAAGCAAAGATGGCCAATGACCAGGGATGATGGGAGTGTAGCAACATCTGTAGGGACACACTTTCCCCATCTTCCCCTTCCTGTGAAAATGCTAATCCTCTGTATTCAGCTTTCTCCTTCCTCCCTTGATGTATAATAATAATAATAATAATAATAATAATAATAGTAATAATAATAATAATAATTATACCCCACCCATCTGGCTGGGTTTCCCCAGCCACTCTGGGTGGCATCCAACCAAATAAAAAACATAGCATTAAACATTAAAAACTTCCCTAAACAGGGCTGCCTTCAGATGACTTCTAAAAGTCAGATAGTTGTTTATTTCCTTGACATCTGATGGGAGGGTGTTCAACCGGGTGGGTGCTGCTACTGAGAAGGCCCTCTGCCTGGTTCCCTGTAACCTCACATTTCGCAGTGAGGGAGCACTCGCAGGCACAAACTCAGGAAGAAGAAGAAGAGTTTGGATTTGATATCCCGCTTTATCACTACCCGAAGGAGTCTCAAAGCGGCTAACATTCTCCTTTCCCTTCCTCCTCCACAACAAACACTCTGTGAGGTGAGTGGGGCTGAGAGACTTCAGAGAAGTGTGACTGGCCCAAGGTCACCCAGCAGCTGCATGTGGAGGAGCGGAGATGCGAACCCAGTTTACCAGATTACGAGTCTACCGCTCTTAACCACTACACCACACTGGACGAAAGGGGAAAACAAGCTAAAAGGAAAGTACGTTTGCAAACCCTCACTGTAATCAAATCCTGCCCGGAAACCTATGTCCCCACTGTGGAAGGATGTGTGGATCCAGAATTGGACTCCATAGTCACTTATGGACACACCGTTAAGACCGTGTTGATGGAAGACAATCTTAGTCAGCTATGAGGGGTCGCCAAATTTGAAGACACGGCATGAATAAATGGCTCAAACAGGAGATTCACACCTTCAACGTCTAGGAATAAAAGAGGAATAAAAATCTGCCCTTACCCAGAGAGGCCACCATCTCATAATTCTCCTCCATGACTTCCTTGTGCAGAGCTCTTTGGCCAGGATCCAGCAGAGCCCACTCCTCCTCCGTGAAAAACACAGCCACCTCCTCAAAGGTCAAGAGGGCCTGGAAGAAGAGGAGGAAGAAAACAGAGCTTCTCTTAGATCCCCATCATCCACACTCAACACAGAGGAAGGCTGGGTGGTCCCATCTGTGCCTCTTCCCTCCTCCCTGCTCCCGTTGCTCTTTCCCTACCTGAGGAAGCTGCCTGGCTCCTCTTTTCACTCCATCTTTAAGAAGAGGCTGTTCAAAGGGGGTCTCGAAGGCCATTGCGTTGCCAGTGGAAAGGATGGAGGAGGAGGAGGCATAAACTGGGCCACTTCTGGGACTCTCTCAGCTGTTGCCACGATGCCCTTCAATGCAGGGAGCAGCTCTTTTAGGAGAACAATGGAGAACAATGAAGAACTAATTGAATTTATATACTGCCCTATACCCGAAGGTCTCAGGGTGGTTCACAGAAAGATGGATTTAATTAGGGCGGGATACATTTACACAGATAGCATACCTGTTACAAATTACAAATATCAATACTCATAAACTAATACTCACAAATTCTAACTACAAAGGCAGGGAACTGGAAGGATGCAATCCTTTCTACAGGAACTTTATAATACTATAAGCTGCCTAAGTCTTTAGGGGACATTCAGCTTTGGTTTGGAAAGTTCTAGGATTAAATCCAAAACTCTTAATGAAGCTTCGCAAAAAGCATTATGGTCAATAGACCTAACTTTTCCTTTCCTCCAAACAGCCATCCAGGAAACCAGTTTCTGACCCTTTGATACATTTAGAATGAAGAAAATAAGGGAAACTCTTAAATTATGGGCAGAATTTGCAGTCAGAAGAAAACCAACACCTGGGGGGCACCAGGGTGCAGAAGCTCCATCCAAGCGGAGCAGATGGAAATATTTAGAGCACTCTATGCGCTAACATGGATTGTAGCTTAGGGGATATGAAGTTCAGTGGCTTACGGCCCCCTAGTCCTTCCTCTTAGGAACCTGTGTCTCTGTGTGTGCCCCCCCTTTATCTTCCCTACACTGTGAGGAAGGACAGGAGGAGAAATAATCAGGGGGTCCAAAATGGGCACAGGGCATCCCTCCTGAGCAGGGGGATGGGGGACTGAGTCTCCCTGGTGTAAGCCCAGCACCCAAACTGCAGGGTGGGGAACCTCAGACCCAAGGGCTAAATTGGCCCTCAAGTCACCTCTGTCTCTCTCTCTGGCCCTCAGGAATTTCTCCAGCGCCACACCCTCTTTCCAACGCTTCCCAGTTGCCTCTTGAGGGGCTTTTGTTTGGCTGGAAAAAATCCCTGGAAGGCAGGCAGCTCCTGGACAAAGCTCAGAGTCACCTCCATAGCCCCACCAACTCTGTCCTCTGCCCTGCCTATCAAAGTGGCCCCTGGAAGGCTGCTCAGGAGCGAATATGGCCCTCAGACTGGATAATGGTCTCCACCCCTGTTCCAAACATGGAACAGGCTGTCATCCTGTCATCATGATCTTCTGGACCACCGCCTCGCAGACGTGAGGATACAGGGCATAGCCCGTAACTGGCTGTGCTCTTTTATCTCTGGTCGGGGACAGAGGGTGGCACTAGGGAGGGAAATGTCGTCGCGCCACTCCTTGGTGTGTGGAGTGCCGCAGGGCGCAATCCTCTCCCCAATGCTTTTTAACATCTTTATGCGCCCCCTTGCCCAGATTATTCGGAGCTTTGGGCTGGGCTGTCACCAATATGCTGATGACACTCAGCTCTATCTGCTGATGGATGGCCACACCGACTCAGCCCCGAACACACTGACCAGATGCTTGGAAGCTGTGGCTGGATGGTTTCGTGGGAGCCGATTGAAACTAAATCCTTCGAAGACAGAGGTCCTATGGCTGGGTCGGGATGGCATGGGGATGAGGGACCAACTCCCTTCTCTTGCGGGGGCCCAATTAGTGCCATTGCCTTCCGTTAAGAGTTTGGGTGTAATCCTTGACGCCTCCCTTTCCATGGAGGCGCAAGTTACAGCAACAGCCAAGGCGACATTTTTCCACCTTCGCCGCATCAAGCAGTTGGTCCCTTACCTTTCCCGCCCGACCTGGCCACAGTGATCCATGCGACGGTCATCTCCAGGCTTGACTACTGTAATTCGCTCTACGCGGGGCTGCCCTTGAAGCTGACCCAGAAACTCCAGAGGGTGCAGAATGCTGCAGCGAGGCTCCTCACGGGGTCTCTGCCATGGGAGCATATTCACCCAGTGCTTTTCAAGCTGCACTGGCTCCCGGTGGAGTACAGGATCAGATTTAAGGTGCTGCTTTTGACCTTTAAAGCCCTTCATGGCCTAGGACCCTCGTACCTACGGGACCGCCTCTCCCGGTATGCCCCACGGAGAGCCTCAAGGTCCATAAATAGCAACACCCTAGTGGTCCCAGGCCCTAAGGAAGTTAGATTGGCTTCAACCAGAGCCAGGGCCTTTTCAACACTGGCTCCGGCCTGGTGGAACGCTCTGCCTCATGAGACCAGGGCCCTGCAGGATCTGATTTCTTTCTGCAGGGCCTGTAAGACAGAGTTGTTCCGCCTGGCCTTTGGCTTGGAGCCAATTTGATTCCCTCCCTCTCTTTCTTTTTTCTTTTCCTTCTCCCTCTGCGATGAGGCTACATTTTAATATTTTAATGTTTCAATATTTTAATGTTGTATTTTTTAATTTTGTTTTTAAGTTGTAATCATTTAACTTGTTTTTATTATTGCTTGTAAGCTGCTCTGAGCCCGGCCTTGGCTGGGGAGGGCGGGGTATAAATAAAAATTATTATTATTATTATTATTATTATTATTATTATCCTGGCCCACCTTGCGGGGTTCTTGTGTGAGCATTGCCCAGGTGGTGGGCTTCAGAACACCTACAGTATTATAAGACCCTCCTGGCAACCTGGATGGGGACGAAGCCAGGCAGGAGCGAGGCTGGCAGCACCGGCACAGAAAGTCCCTCAGCACCTCTGCGCTGGGCCAATCCTGCAAGGCAGCATCAAAAACTCATTGCCCCTCCTCTTTCCCCCAAGTCCAGCTGGGGAGGGGGCGTTTCTTTAATTCCTCCAATCCTTGCCTTGAAGCTTTTTAAAGGGCTCCTAAGGCCTTGATTAGATTTAAATCCTGTGATCCATGGCCCATTTCAGGAAGCTGCAGAGGCCGATTTCCCTTGACACTTGACCTCACCCCCCCAACTCAAAATCTCCCCCAATCCAGACTCTGTTCTCCAGCTGCTTCCACTTCCTCTCCCCTGCTTGCCCTCCCGATCTCCGCCCCACTGTGGCAGGGGCTTCAGCAGGAGATTTCGGAGGGGGGCAGGTCAGGGTCCTGGAGGAGCTCAGCCCTCCCCTGTCGCAGGAGGCAGAGCCTGGGGGGAGCGATGGGGCGGGGAGCAGTGAGAAGTGAGATGGAGGGTGTTAAGCAGAGAGGAGCATCACTAGGCGGAATGGGGCTGCCCCCCCCCCTTTGAACGAAGGACTGACTTCTGAGTCAACATGCACAGGGTGGGACTGCGAATCCCTTTGTTGCACTGGGGGGGGGGGGACCTTTTGTGGTTCGTCTCAAATGTCTTCGCCCCTCTCCACTCCCCCCACCATGGGAGCCTGGCTTGATCTCTGCGCTTCAGAGAAGAGCTTGCAATGCAAACCCTGTTGGGGGGGGGACCCCACTTTACAACAGGATGGCCTGCATCCAGGCCCCCCCCCCCGATTCCCACAGAGAAAGAGCGGAGCCCCTCCCTGCTTTCTTTGCGCACCCCCCCCCCGCCTCCTTTCCCAGCTGCCTTGTTTGTAGATTCAGGGAGAGGGAAAGCAAATCCTACTCCCACCCCCCTCCCCAAATAACCCCCCAATATGCGGCACCTCTTTCTCCTCTTCTCCAAGTCCGCTTCTCTTCCTGGAATGAGGATGGAGACCCCTCCCCTCCAAATAGCCTCTCCCCCTCCAAAAAAATTTCCTGCCTCTCTAGGAAGCGCAGCTCATTGACCCAGAGGGAGGGGGAGGGGCAAGAGATTCGCCTCCCCCTCCCTGCAAGCAGAAATGCCCTTCCCTGCCGGCAAGCTCTATATCAGGGGTAGGAAAACTTTTTCAGCAGGGGGCCAGTCCACTGTCTCTCAGACCTTGTGGGGCACCGGACTATATATTTTTTTTGGGGGGGGGGGGAATGAACGAATTCCTATGCCCCACAAAAAACCCAGAGATGCAGTTTAAATAAGACCATACATTCTACTTATGTAAAAACACGCTGATTCCCGGACCGTCCATGGCTGGATTTAGAAGGCAATTGGGCCGAATCCTGCCCCTGGGCCTTAGTTTGCCTACCCATGTTCTATATTCCCATTCATTTAGGGAGAAATTCATGGATTCCTGGCAGCGAACAGGACCCTTGACTGCAGGACCAAAGCCAAACCCCCAAAGATGACCAAGATGGGGCATTTCTCTCCAGGGAGGGTCACCCCCTAGCTGCCAGGATATTGCTCATGGTCATTCAATGAAAGCCCTAACACCAGGGGTGCATTTTGAGGGGTGGTTGCTATGGTATGCAGAAGGACCAGAGGGGAGCTAACTTTGACACTTGAGAACACAACAGAGGCAGAACAAAACAAAATGCACATCTCAATTACAGTGGTACCTCGGGTTACATACGCTTCAGGTTACATACGCTTCAGGTTACATACGCTTCAGGTTACAGACTCCGCTAACCCAGAAATAGTACCTTGGGTTAAGAACTTTGCTTCAGGATGAGAACAGAAATTGCGCGGCGGCGGCGGCAGCAGGAGGCCCCATTAGCTAAAGTGGTACCTCAGTTTAAGAACAGTTTCAGGTTAAGAACAGACCTCTAGAACGAATTAAGTTTTTAACCCGAGGTAGCACTGTATTATGGGACCTTCCTGCTAAGTGCAAAGCATAGACCCTCACTGAGAGAACATTTCTCCTGTTAACGGAGGAATCCGAGGGCTCCCTTGGACAAAAAACAAAAACCCCAACCAGGACAATTTGAAGCAAAACAGCAGCCTGTAGGCTTGGCCTTTATTGGAAACTGTCGCGACAGGACTCCCACCCACAACAAGATGAAGCAAGATGGAAGGCCAGAACAAAAGAAGACCCCAACTTTTATTAGTTACTAATCCCCCAAACTACACCCCTAAAACTACATCACAACTACATCATTGATACATCACAAAAAGGGAGGAGTTGTGGTGGTAATCTGAGTGTCCTGTCACCTGGCTGGTTCCCTTTCCCCCTCCCTATGAGTACTTTCCAGGTGACAAAGGGGAGTTTGCAGTTTCCTGCCCCCAGAGGGAAGAGCTGATCATGTGTACATGCTGGTATGCTCCAGGGATTATGGCTGCTCTGTATCAAACCTTCCCCTTTTTCTAGTCCTTCCTTCATGGAGTAAAATAAAAGTGGAACGGTGCAGATCCGATTTATGGTTGATTTTCTATGAATTTATAACAAGTGTAACGTATGTAGTGTGTGTGTGTGTGTGTGTGTGTGTGTGTGTGTGTTGAGTTTGTAAAAACTGAATGATGGGGGGTTCCTGGGACACTCCCAAAGTTCCAGAATACCATAAGTAGTTTAGTAAAAGAATGCAAGATGTACTGCTCTCCCACATGTGCAGGGCCTTATCTGACTCAGGTCTTCCTTTCTCTCCCTTAACAAGGTGGTACTTCCTGTGAGTTACACACCCCTTTGACAACCCTTTTCCTGAGGTACTCCAAGCAACAGACCCAAGGCATCTCCACACCCCTCTTAACTGGTTTGGGACACTTCTCTTTTTCTAGAAGAATCTCTCCCCTCCTGACTGGAATGAGACCTAAGTAGACTGTATCTTTCCAGCTTCTACTTCTCCTGGCTCAGCCTCAGCCTCCCAGTTAATTCCTGGCCTGTTACTCTTACAGCACATGAAACACTGTCCTTCATCCTAAGCTCAGAGACTTGTTTCTCTAGCTTGTGATATATTCCTCAGAGTCGATGTTTCTACCCAAAACCAACTCTCTCTCCTCTCATTACCTATCCCCAACCTATCTCCTAACCTGAAACCTGTCTCTCCAAAACCTCTCCTTTTCAACTCCCTCTCCTGGAACCCTGGCCAATCAGAAGCAGTCATTTGTTAACCATTTGCTGGCAGGGAAAAAGAAAACACTTGGTGAGCCCACCTGCCCAGCAAAACAAACTTTCCATCACACTCCACTTTCCACAAGTCTCCATTCCCAACTCTCTCTGCCAAAGACCAAATATCAACGGACTCTCAGCACATGTTCACTCACAAGGAGCTCTCCAGAATCACATTCTGCACATCCCTAACGGTACATTATAGCTTTCATCATACTTACTATTATGAGACATTTTATTTGCTTTAATACATGTATGTACAACTTTCCATACAAACACCAGAACATCAAATATACTCCATGCATTTACAATTTATTGTTCCCTATATGAGTTTGTCGATATGAGGTACAAAGTGAACTCTGTGGGGAAAACGTGGCATACTCCATAAAACTAAATGGGTTCTCTCCCATGACCGTCAGCAGCCGTTATTTAAGAACTCCACTGTAATTGAAACTCGTTTCACACGCCTTTCATTTAAGCAACTGCTTCTCTGTGAGATTTTTGATGTTTTCTAAGAGATCCACTCTGACTGAAACCCTTCCCACACTCCATACATTTATATGGTTTCTCCCCTGTGTGAGTTCGTTGATGTCTACTAAGGTGTGAACTCTGAATGAAGCTCTTTCCACACTCCATACATCTAAATGGTTTCTCCCCAGTGTGAATTCGTTGATGTATTGTAAGTTTTATACAATGACTGAAACCCTTCCCACAATCCTTACAATTAAATGGTTTCTCCCCGGTGTGACTTTGATGGTGCGCATTGAGTTGCCAACTACACATGAAGCTCTTTCCACACTCCATACATTTATATGGTTTCTCACCTGTGTGAGTTCGTTGATGTCTACTAAGGTGTGAACACTGAATGAAGCTCTTTCCGCACTCCATACATCTAAATGGTTTCTCCCCTGTGTGAATTCGTTGATGTCGAGTAAGAGATCCATTCTCAGTGAAGCTCATTCCGCAATCCAGACATTTAAATGGTTTTTCCCCTTTGTGAATTCCTTGATGTCTAGTAAAGTTTCCATTTGTACTGAAGCTCTTTCCGCACTCCAGACATTTAAAAGGTTTCTCCCCTTTGTGAATACGTTGGTGTACAGTAAGGTATGGACCATGACGGAAGCTCTTCCCACAATCCATACATCTAAATGGTTTCTCCCCAGTGTGAATTCGTTGGTGTAAGGTAAGGTTTCTATTTTCACTGAAGCTCTTCCCACATTCCATACATTTATATGGTTTCTCCCCTGTGTGAATACGTTGATGTATATTAAGGTATGAACACTGACTGAAGCTCTTCCCACACTCCATACATTTAAATGGTTTCTCCCCAGTGTGAATTCGTTGATGTCTAGTAAATTTTCCACCTTCACTGAAGCTCTTCCCACACTCCATACATTTATATGGTTTCTCCCCTGTGTGAGTTCGTTGATGTATTGTAAGTTTTCTACCTTCACTGAAACCCTTCCCACAACCCTTGCATCTAAATGGTTTCTCCCCAGTGTGAATTCGTTGATGTACAGTAAGTATTTCCCTATCCCTAAAGCTCTTTCCACACTCCATACATTTAAAAGGTTTCTCCCGTGTGTGAGTTCGTAGATGTACAGTAAGGTGTGAACACTGCCTGAAGCTCTTTCCACACTTTATACATTTATATGGTTTTTCCCCTGTGTGAATTAGCTGATGAGTTCTAAGGCTGCTACTATAAGCAAAACTTTTCCCACACTCCATGCATTTAAATGGTTTATCCCCTGTGTGAATTCGTTGATGTCTAGTGAAGTTTCCATTTTTACTGAAGCTCTTTCCACTCTCCATGCATTTAAAGTGTTTCTCCCCTGTGTTAGTTTGTAGATGTGTGCTAAGGTGTTCACTCATGCTGAAGTACTTTACAGATGGCCCCTCAAAATTCTGATTGCCTTCTTCATCACCTGGTTTAAAGTGGGGGATAAAGAAATATTGTTAGGTATTCAAGGAAGAGAACCAGAGAACTTAACACACAGCAAGACCAATCAGCACCTTCTCTTAACTTAACACCTCCAGCATCCTTCCCTCTTCTATGTACTAAAGTTTTCGGAAAGGAAAGGAAATCTGAAAATAATTTCAAGAACCCTTAGTATCCAGTTCTACCTTCAACTCGCATGTAACACTGAGCACCAAGAGAACCTTCTGTGCTGAGATGAGGCATCTATGGCCCTCCAGATTTGGTTGGACTCTAAGTACCCTCAACCCAAGCAAAGATGGCCAATGACCAGGGATGATGGGAGTTGTAGTACAGCAACCTCTGGAGGGACACATCTTCCCCCCCTCCTGTGAAAATGCTATGCCTCTGTATTCAGTTTTCTCCTTCCTCCATGATCTGTAATATCTCACTGATACATTCCAACCAACTGTACACATCGCCTAAACCTGCACCAGGATGCTGGGAAAGATGGGCCCTCGTTCTGATCCAAAAGGGCTTTCTTTTATATTTGTACACCCTGAAAGGAGACATACAATGGTACAGCCTCACAGCAAAGTGGAAGTATGTACCTCTCACTTGGTCCAGGACAACATCCCTGTATTTTTCTGTTCCAAGCGAGGAGATGAGCTCAGACTTGAGTATCAGAGTCTCTGCTATGTGGAATAAGAAAATCAGAAGAGCTGTTTATGTCATATGTGACTGTAAAAATTTTCAAAAATATTAATCTTGTGAAACAAAGACAGCAAAGTATCTGGTGGCCCATTAAAAGTTGATAAACAACACTGACCAGCAAACCTCATGCCACCATTATTACCCTGTGAGCCTCTTTGTAGATTTTACATAGGTTTTGGAGGGAAATTCATACCACAATATGAGCTTACGAAGAGTTACCTACTGACAAAAGTACAGAGTTGCTATAAACTACAATCTTCAACATCAACTTCATTGGGCTGGTCATGTTGTTCGGATGCCTGATTATTGCCTTCAAAAGAAACCACTCAATTCCTAATTTAAGAATGGAAAGAGAAATAACGGAGGACAACAAAAGACGTTTCAAGACGCTCTCAAGGGAAAATTTTTAAAATGCAGTATAATCTCATAAAATTGGGAAACATTGGCCTGCGAGCGCTTCAATTCGAGAATAAAGGTAAAGGTAAATGGACCCCTGACCGTTAGGTCCAGTTGTGGCCGACTCTGGGGCTGCGGCGCTCATCTCGCTTTATTGGCCGAGGGAGCCGGCGTACAGCTTCTGGGTCATGTGACCAGCATGACTAAGCCGCTTCTGGCGAACCAGAGCAGCACATGGAAACGCCGTTTACCTTCTACTTGCACTTTGACATCCTTTCGAACTGCTAGGTTGGCAGGAGCAGGGACCGAGCAACGGGAGCTCACCCCGTTGAGGGGATTCGAACCGCCGACCGTCTGATCGGCAAGTCCTAGGCTCTGTGGTTTAACCCACAGTGCCACCCGCCCTTTACCAAAGGTGTAATGGACTTTGAAGAAACACAAACTCAGGCCAAAAGGGAGAAACAAGCTAAGAGGAAAGCATGTTTGGCAAACTCTCGCAGTGATTAATTCCTGACCGGAAACCTATGTCCCCACTGCGGAACGATGTGCGGATCCAGAATTGGACTCACTTACGGACACACCATTAAGATCATGTTCATGGAAGAGAATCTTACTCTTCTATGAGTGGTCACCAAAGACATGACATGAACAAATGGCTCAAACAGGAGATTCACACCTTCAACATCTAACAGCCAGGAGGAATAAAAATCTGCCCTTACCTAGAGAGGCCACCATCTCATAATTCTCCTCCATGACTTCCTTGTGCAGAGCTCTTTGGCCTGGATCCAGCAGAGCCCACTCCTCCTCCGTGAAAAAGACAGCAACATCCTCAAAGGTCAAAAGGGCCTGGAAGAAGAAGAAGAAAACAACAACAGAGCTTCTCTTAGATCCTCATCATCCCCACTCAACACAGAAGGAGGCTGAGTTGTCCCTCTGAAGAAGATTTATTGCTCAGATAAATCCTGGCGTCCAGCCCGCTCGGCTGCGTAGCTACTGGCCAGGCCTCCGGACTTCAAAGGCCACATTCCAAAGGCTCTGAGCAACACGCAGAGATCAGCAGCGGTAAGAGAAAGCTGCAAAACTCCAGTGCATTCTTGAGTGTGCTTAAATAAAGTCCACTCAGGATATTAGCAGCTAGAAGCAGTTTTTTATTTACAGCAGACTATCCATTATCTATCACAGCGAACAGCATCGTGAAAACACGTCCACTCTCCTCAAAAGCGAAAGTAGAGAAAGAACAAAGGCTGGAGGCTCTCAGATATGACGCAGAAGTTCCCCCCTCCCAACAGTAGGCAGGGCGTACACTCTGAGCTGTTTAACCCTGTAAGCTCAGGTTCTCCTCACAGTCCCATCTGTGCCTCTTCCCTCCTCCCTGCTCCCGTTGCTCTTACCCTACCTGAGGAAGCTGCCTGGCTCCTCTTTTCACTCCACCTCTGAGAAGAGGCCGTTCAGAGGGGGTCTCGGAGGCCATTGTGTTGCCAGTGGAAAGGACGGAGGAGGAGGCGTAAACTGGGCCACTTCTGGGACTCTCTCAGCTGTTGCCAAGATGCACTTCAAAGCAGGGAGCAGCTCTTTAAGGAGAACAATGCAGAAATTATTATTATTATTATTGATTTAATCTATATACCGCCCTATTCCAGGAGTTCTATGGGCGGTTCACAGAAAAGCAGGTTTTTTTAGGGAGACATTAATAATAATAATAATAATAATAATAATTATTATTATTATTATTATTATGTGTACCCTGCCCATCTGGCTGGGTTTCCCCAGCCACTCTGGGTGGCTTCCACAGAGACCGAAAATACACTAAAACGTCACACATTAAAAACTTCCCTGAACAGGGCTGCCTTAAGATGTCTTCTGAATGTCAGGTAGTTGTTTATCGCTTTGACATCTGATGGGAGGGCGTTTCATAGGGCAGGCGCCACTACCGAGAAGGCCCTCTGCCTGGTTGCCTGTAGCTTTGCTTCTCGCAGGAAGGGAACCGCCAGAAGGCCCTTGGTGCTGGACCTCAGCGTCCGGGCAGAAAAATGGGAGTGGAGACGCTCTTTCAGGTATACAGGACCGAGGCCGTTTAGGGCTTTCAAGGTCAACACCAACACTTTGAATTGTGCTCGGAAACGTACTGGGAGCCAATGTAGGCCTTTCAAGACCAGTGTTATGTGGTCTTGGCAGCCGCCCCCAGTCACCAGTCTAGCTGCCGCATTCTGGATTAGTTGTAGTTTCCAGGTCACCTTCAAAGGTATCCCCATGTAGAGCGCATTGCAGTAGTCCAAGCGGGAGATTACTAGAGCATGCACCACTCTGGAGAGACAGTCCGCGAGCAGGTAGGGTCTCAGCCTGTGTACCAGGTGGAGATGGTAGACAGCTGCCCTGGATACAGAATTGACCTGCACCTCCATGGACAGCTGTGAGTCCAAAATGACTCCCGGGCTGCGCTCCTGGTCCTTCAGGGGCACAGTTACCCCATTCAGGACCAGGGAGTCCTCCACACCAGCCCACCCCCTGTCCCCCCAAAACAGTACTTCTGTCTTGTCAGGATTCAACCTCAATCCATTAGCCGCCATCCATCCTCCAACCGCCTCCAGGCACTCACACAGGACCTTCACCGCCTTCACTGGTTCTGATTTGAAAGAGAGGTAGAACTGGGTATCATCTGCATATTGATGGACACCCAGTCCAAACCCCTGATCTCTCCCAGCAGCTTCATATAGATGTTAAAAAGCATGGGGGAGAGGACGGAACCCTCAGGCACCTCACAAGTGAGGGCCCAGGGGTCTGAACACTCATCCCCCCCACCACTTTCTGAACACGGCCCAGGAGGAAGGAGCAAAACCACTGTATAACAGTGCCCTCAGCTCCCAGTCCCTCTAGACGGTCCAGAAGGATGTTATGGTCGATTGTATCAAAGGCCGCTGAGAGATCCAGCAGAACTAGGAAACAGCTCTCACCTTTGTCCCTAGCTCGCCGGAGATCAGCAACTAGCGCGACCAAGGCAGTTTTAGTCCCATGATGAGGCCTGAATCCTGATTGGAAGGGATCCAAATGGTCTGCATCCTCCAGGCATGCCTGGAGTTGCTCAGCAACCACTCGCTCAATCAGCTTGCCCAAGATTGGAAGATTTGAGACTGGGCGATAGTTGGCCATACTGGCTGGATCTAAAGATGTTTTTTTAAGAAGCGGTTTAATGACCGCCTCTTTCAGCAGATCTGGGAACTTTCCCTCACAGAGGGAAGCATTCACCACCCCGCAAAGCCCATCGCCCAGCCCTTCCCGGCTTGCTTTTATTAGCCAGGATGGGCAAGGATCAAGGAGACAGGTGGTTGGTTTCACGCGTCCAAGCAGCCTGTCCACATCCTCGGGGGTAACGGATTGAAATTGATTCCATGCAACTTGACCAGACAGGGCTCTAGCACTCTCCCGCCCCAGCCCTGCTCCCATGGTGGTGTCTAGCTCCTTCCGAATATGAGTGATTTTATCTGCAAAAAACTTTGCAAAATCGTTGCAGGAGATCTTGGGGTCTTTACAAGGCCCCGGTGGTAAAGGTGGTTCCGTTAAATTGCGGACCACCTGAAAGAGTCTCCTGCTACTATTTTCTGCAGATGGAATAGAGGCGGTGAAGAAAGTCTTCTTCGCCGTCGCTATCGCCACTTGGTAGGCTCGACGTTGAACTCTAACCTGTGTCCGGTCAGATTTGGAATGAGTTTTCTGGCGCCGACGCTCTAGCCGCCTAAGCAATTGTTTCATTGCCCTCAGCTCCGAAGAAAACCACGGGGCTGTCTGGGCTCCATGCAATTGGATAGGGCGCTTCGGAGCCAGACAGTTGATAGCCCTGGTTAACTCCGCATTCCAGCAGGCCACCAGGGAATCAGCTGAAAGGCCTTCAACATGGGATAAAGCATGCCCTACCACTCTCTGGAAACCATTTGGACCCATTAAGTGGCGGGGGCGGACCATCCAAATTGGTCCCACCTCCCTGCAGAGGGGAAGGGTCGCGGAGAAGTCCAGTTGCACCAGGAGGTGATCTGACCATGGCACTTCTTTTGTTTCACTTTTACTTAGTGTCAGAACACCCACGTCACTAGAGGTGAACACCAGGTCTAAGGCATGTCCGTGACTATGAGTTGGGCCAAACTTATTCAGGGACAGCCCCATGGAGGCCATGCTTTCCACGAAGTCCCGAGCGGCCCCCTGTAAAGTCATGTCGGCATGGATGTTAAAATCCCCTAGGACAACCAAACTAGGTGTCTCCAGGAGAACATCCGCCACGACCTGAAGCAGCTCGGACAGGGAATCCTTGGTGCAGCGGGGAGGTCGGTACACCAAAAGGAATCCTGTACTGCCCCTATTGCCCAACTTCCAGAACATGCACTCAGAGAACTGGGTCTTCCCAGTAGGACGCCTGATGCAAGCTAATGACTTCCTAAAAATCACTGCAACCCCCCCCTCCCCACCCACATGACCTGGGTTGCTGTGCATAAGAGAAACCTGGTGGGCAAGCAGCGGCAAGGACAGGCCCATCTGCTTCATCCAACCAGGTCTTTGTCACACGTGCCAGGTCAAATCCTCCATCTACAATCAAGTCATGGATGGCAGTGCTTTTATTCATCATTGACCTGGCATTACACAGCAACACCTTCAGGTCATGTGGGTTTCCCCTGTTGATTCCAGTATCCATCCGGTCAAGGCCAGACCCGGAGGCAGGGATAGTCTTCAAACAACGACTAAACCTGCCTCCTCGATAATGACATGCTCTGGTCTTAGCGTAACTCCTCCTCCTGCCCATGATCACAGAGATTGGATGTCCCAGTGCCCCCCCCCCCCGTGGAACTTGTCCCAGCCATTGTGCTGGCTGGGGCCCCACTCCCAGGCAGCCCTGATCCCACCCCTTAAAAATAAAACACAAACTATACACAACCAATAAAACAACAAAAAACAAAAACAGAACAATTATACTAAAATTAATCCCCAACCAAATATCCATCCCACCCACCCCCAAAAAAGCAAAATAAGGAAAAAAGGAAAAAAAATTAAAATGCCACCGACTGCTTGAGGACATTTTAAAACACAGATAGCATACCTTTTACAAATTATAAATATTGTAGCCTTATTAGACTTCACCGACTGGTGGGGTCTGCGTTGCTCCTGGGAGGGAGGAAGGAAATCAAATGACACCAAGGTTGATTCAGAGAAAGAGTTTATTCTGCTCTCCGGATAGCAGAAGGCATTTGCGTGGTCAGTCCACAGCAAGTCCAAAGAAATGAGACATTTCATGCAGTAAATATATCCTCCAGGCACCCTCCCCCCCTCCCCAGGAATCCAGCCACGTCAGCTTATACATCACAGATGTTCCTGCTCCAGTACTCTTGACCATAAAAGGGTGTTCCTATTCCTGTTCCTATTCTCTTATCTCGGAGCAAGAGGTCACCAACTCCTGGCGCCATTTCCGGACTAAGTCTGTGCGTCAGAGTGTGGCAAGGATGTAAGATAAGATAGACACTGGAACAGCCAAGGCTGCCACAGACTGATAAAGGAGAGCTCTTTGAGCACTTGTTTATACAGCTGGGTTTTGGCTGAAGAGCTCAAGTTAGAGCATTTTAGAAATGCTCCCTTGGAGGAGAAAAAAATGGGGATTTTGGGTCAGTTTCAAACTGACTGCACATAAACCCATTCCTTCAATATCAATACTCATAAACTAATGCTCATAAATTCTAATTACAAAGGCAGGGAACTAGGAGGATGTAATTCTTTCTACAGGAACTTTATAATAGTAAGTTGCCTCAGTCTTTAGGGGACCTTCAGCTTTGGTTTGTAAAGTTCTAGGATCAAATCCCAAACTCTTAATGAAGCTTTGCAGAAAGCATTACAGTCCCAAGAGGAAATCTGGAGAAGCCTCTCTTTGGAAAGAAAAAGCATGAAAAACGGATCCACCCTCTTTTTCCCCCAAGTCCAGCTGGGGAGGGGGCATTTTTTTAATTGCTCCAGTGTTTGCCTTAAATCTTTTCAAAGGGCTCCTGAGACCTTGATTAGATTTAAATCCTGTCATCCATGGGCCCATTTCCCTTGCCAAGCAGGAGGAAAACTGACAATGTGCTTTTTCATGCTTCAGGAAATGGAAAATGTGCATCGTCCCTCCAGTTTTGGGGCACAAAAGCAGCACAGCAACCCCTCCCCAACTGCACCCCCCAACATGGGAAACCCAACAAGGCTCTTTCCTTTGTGCCAAAGCAACCTCAGCCGGCCAGACTAGGATTTCTGAAAGGGGGGCTGGGGGGTCCTCCTCCTTCCTTCTCACATCAGCCTCTTTCTTACTCAGGAAGCTCCGAAGGCCGATTTTCCCTTGACAATGTCCATCTCTCACCCCCCACCCAATTCGAAATCTCCCCCCTCTCTCCCAATCCACAGGCGACTCTGTTCTCCAGCTGCTTCCCCTGCACCAAGTTAGACTCCCTCCCACCCTCCATATATCTCCCCATCGCCATACAGGGATGCCAACTTGAATAAAATATTGGGGGCAGCCCTCTCAAATATCTTATGGGGAAGGGAGAAGACCCCTGGGGCCCCTATGAGTTGGCTCCTATCCTTTCATGATCCCGACTGAGGCAGGGGGCGGCAGATTAGGATTCTGGGGTTCATCCTGCAATGCAAACCTTGTTTCGGGGAGAGGACCCCACCCCCGCAGCCGCTTGCAGAGGGAAAGGGGGAGCCCTTCCTTCTTTCATCCCCCCCTTCATCCTTCCCCCCTCCCGCTGCCCTGTTTGTAGGTTCATGGGGAGGGAAAGCAAATTCTTCTCCCTCCCTGCACCCCAAATCTCCCCTTCCCCCGAAATGTTGCACCTTTTCCCTCCTCCTTTGCAGGCCTCCTTCTCTTCCGGGGATGTGCATGGAGATCCCACCCCCTCCAACATTGCCTCTACCCCTTCCCTGGGAATGCCCTTCCCTGCCGGCAAGCTCTATATCAGGGGTAGGAAAACATTTTCAGCAGGGGGCCAGTCCACTGTCTCTCAGACCTTGTGGGGCACCGGACTATATTATTATTTTTTTGGGGGGGGGGGGATGAACGAATTCCTATGCCCCACAAAAAACCCAGAGATGCAGTTTAAATAAGACCACACATTCTACTTATGTAAAAACACGCTGATTCCCGGACTGTCCATGGGCTGGATTTAGAAGGCAATTGGGCCAAATCCTGCCCCTGGGCCTTAGTTTGCCTACCCATGCTCTATATTCCCATTCATTTAGGGAGAAATTCATGGATTCCCGGCAGCGAACAGGACCCTTGACCGCAGGACCAAAGCCAAACCCCCAAAGATGACCAAGATGGGGCATTTCTCTCCAGGGAGGGTCACCCCCTAGCTGCCTGGATATTGCTCATGGTCATTGAATGAAAGCCCTAACACCAGGGGTGCATTTTGAGGGGTGGTTGCTATGGTATGCAGAAGGACCAGAGGGGAGCTAACTTTGACACTTGAGAACACAACAAAGGCAGAACAAAACAAAATGCACATCTCAATTACAGTGGTACCTCGGGTTACATACGCTTCAGGTTACATACGCTTCAGGTTACATACGCTTCAGGTTACATACGCTTCAGGTTACAGACTCCGCTAACCCAGAAATAGTACCTTGGGTTAAGAACTTTGCTTCAGGATGAGAACAGAAATTGCGCGGCGGCGGCGGCAGCAGGAGGCCCCATTAGCTAAAGTGGTACCTCAGTTTAAGAACAGTTTCAGGTTAAGAACAGACCTCTAGAACGAATTAAGTTCTTAACCCGAGGTAGCACTGTATTATGGGACCTTCCTGCCAAGTGCAAAGCATAGACCCTCACTGAGAGAACATTTCTCCTGTTAACGGAGGAATCCGAGGGCTCCCTTGGACAAAAAACAAAAACCCCAACCAGGACAATTTGAAGCAAAACAGCAGCCTGTAGGCTTGGCCTTTATTGGAAACTGTCGCGACAGGACTCCCACCCACAACAAGATGAAGCCAGATGGAAGTCCAGAACAAAAGAAGACCCCAACTTTTATTAGTTACTAATCCCCCAAACTACACCCCTAAAACTACATCACAACTACATCATTGATACATCACAAAAAGGGAGGAGTTGTGGTGGTAATCTGAGTGTCCTGTCACCTGGCTGGTTCCCTTTCCCCCTCCCTATGAGTACTTTCCAGGTGACAAAGGGGAGTTTGCAGTTTCCTGTCCCCAGAGGGAAGAGCTGATCATGTGTACATGCTCGTATGCTCCAGGGATTATGGCTGCTCTGTATCAAACCTTCCCCTTTTTGTAGTCCTTCCTTCATGGAGTAAAATAAAAGTGGAACGGTGCAGATCCGATTTATGGTTGATTTTCTATGAATTTATAACAAGTGTAGCGTATGTAGTGTGTGAGTGTGTGTGTGTGTGTGTGTGTGTGTGTGTGTTGAGTGTGTACAAACTGAATGATGGGGGGGGGGGGTTCCTGTGACACTCCCAAAGTTCCAGAATACCATAAGTAGTTTAGTAAAAGAATGCAAGATGTACTGCTCTCCCACATGTGCAGGGCCTTATCTGACTCAGGTCTTCCTTTCTCTCCCTTAACAAGGTGGTACTTCCTGTGAGTTACACACCCCTTTGACAACCCTTTTCCTGAGGTACTCCAAGCAACAGACCCAAGGCATCTCCACACCCCTCTTAACTGGTTTGGGACACTTCTCTTTTTCTAGAAGAATCTCTCCCCTCCTGACTGGAATGAGACCTAAGTAGACTGTATCTTTCCAGCTTCTACTTCTCCTGGCTCAGCCTCAGCCTCCCAGTTAATTCCTGGCCTGTTACTCTTACAGCACACGAAACACTGTCCTTCATCCTAAGCTCAGAGACTTCTTTCTCTAGCTTGTGATATATTCCTCAGAGTCAATGTTTCTACCCAGAACCAACTCTCTCTCCTCTCATTCCCTATCCCCAGCCTGAAACCGGTCTCTCCAAAACCTCTCCTTTTCAACTCCCTCTCCTGGAACCCCGGCCAATCAGAAGCAGTCATTTGTTAACCATTTGCTGGCAGGGAAAAAGAAAACACTTGGTGAGCCCACCTGCCCAGCAAAACAAACTTTCCATCACACTCCACTTTCCACAACTCTCCATTCCCAACTCTCTCTGCCAAAGACCAAATATCAACGGACTCTCAGCACATCTTCACTCACAAGCTCTCCAGAATCACATTCTGCACATCCCTAACGGTACATTATAGCTTTCATCATACTTACTATTATGAGACATTTTATTTGCTTTAATACATGTATGTACAACTTTCCATACAAACACCAGAACATCAAATATACTCCATGCATTTACAATTTATTGTTCCCTATATGAGTTTGTCGATATGAGGTACAAAGTGAACTCTGTGGGGAAAACGTGGCATACTCCATAAAACTAAATGGGTTCTCTCCCATGACCGTCAGCAGGCGTTATTTAAGAACTCCACTGTAATTGAAACTCGTTTCACACGCCTTTCATTTAAGCAATTGCTTCTCTGTGAGATTTTTGATGTTTTCTAAGAGATCCACTCTGACTGAAACCCTTCCCACACTCCATACATTTATATGGTTTCTCCCCTGTGTGAGTTCGTTGGTGTCTACTAAGGTGTGAACTCTGAATGAAGCTCTTTCCACACTCCATACATCTAAATGGTTTCTCCCCTTTGTGAATTCGTTGATGTCTCGCAAGAGATCCATTCTCAGTGAAGCTCATTCCGCAATCCAGACATTTAAATGGTTTTTCCCCTGTGTGAAATCGTTGATGTATTGTAAGTTTTATACAATGACTGAAACCCTTCCCACAATCCTTACAATTAAATGGTTTCTCCCCGGTGTGACTTTGATGGTGCGCATTGAGTTGCCAACTACACATGAAGCTCTTTCCACACTCCATACATTTATATGGTTTCTCACCTGTGTGAGTTCGTTGATGTCTACTAAGGTGTGAACACTGAATGAAGCTCTTTCCACACTCCATACATCTAAATGGTTTCTCCCCTGTGTGAATTCGTTGATGTCTAGTAAGAGATCCATTCTCAGTGAAGCTCATTCCGCAATCCAGACATTTAAATGGTTTTTCCCCTTTGTGAATTCCTTGATGTCTAGTAAAGTTTCCATTTGTACTGAAGCTCTTTCCGCACTCCAGACATTTAAAAGGTTTCTCCCCTTTGTGAATACGTTGGTGTACAGTAAGGTATGGACCATGACGGAAGCTCTTCCCACAATCCATACATCTAAATGGTTTCTCCCCAGTGTGAATTCGTTGGTGTAAGGTAAGGTTTCTATTTTCACTGAAGCTCTTCCCACATTCCATACATTTATATGGTTTCTCCCCTGTGTGAATACGTTGATGTATATTAAGGTATGAACACTGACTGAAGCTCTTCCCACACTCCATACATTTAAATGGTTTCTCCCCAGTGTGAATTCGTTGATGTCTAGTAAATTTTCCACCTTCACTGAAGCTCTTCCCACACTCCATACATTTATATGGTTTCTCCCCTGTGTGAGTTCGTTGATGTCTAGTAAGGCTTGCACTCCGACTGAAGCTCTTTCCACACTCCAAACATCTAAATGGTTTCTCCCCTGTGTGAGTTTGTTGATGTATTGTAAGTTTTCTACCTTCACTGAAACCCTTCCCACAACCCTTGCATCTAAATGGTTTCTCCCCAGTGTGAATTCGTTGATGTACAGTAAGTATTTCCCTATCCCTAAAGCTCTTTCCACACTCCATACATTTAAAAGGTTTCTCCCGTGTGTGAGTTCGTAGATGTACAGTAAGGTGTGAACACTGCCTGAAGCTCTTTCCACACTTTATACATTTATATGGTTTTTCCCCTGTGTGAATTAGCTGATGAGTTCTAAGGTTGCTACTATAAGCAAAACTTTTCCCACACTCCATGCATTTAAATGGTTTATCCCCTGTGTGAATTCGTTGATGTCTAGTGAAGTTTCCATTTTTACTGAAGCTCTTTCCACTCTCCATGCATTTAAAGTGTTTCTCCCCTGTGTTAGTTTGTAGTTGTGTGCTAAGGTGTTCACTCATGCTGAAGTACTTTACAGATGGCCCCTCAAAATTCTGATTGCCTTCTTCATCACCTGGTTTAAAGTGGGGGATAAAGAAATATTGTTAGGTATTCAAGGAAGAGAACCAGAGAACTTAACACACAGCAAGACCAATCAGCACCTTCTCTTAACTTAACACCTCCAGCATCCTTCCCTCTTCTATGTACTAAAGTTTTCGGAAAGGAAAGGAAATCTGAAAATAATTTCAAGAACCCTTAGTATCCAGTTCTACCTTCAACTCGCATGTAACACTGAGCACCAAGAGAACCTTCTGTGCTGAGATGAGGCATCTATGGCCCTCCAGATTTGGTTGGACTCTAAGTACCCTCAACCCAAGCAAAGATGGCCAATGACCAGGGATGATGGGAGTTGTAGTACAGCAACCTCTGGAGGGACACATCTTCCCCCCTCCTGTGAAAATGCTATGCCTCTGTATTCAGTTTTCTCCTTCCTCCATGATCTGTAATATCTCACTGATACATTCCAACCAACTGTACACATCGCCTAAACCTGCACCAGGATGCTGGGAAAGATGGGCCCTCGTTCTGATCCAAAAGGGCTTTCTTTTATATTTGTACACCCTGAAAGGAGACATACAATGGTACAGCCTCACAGCAAAGTGGAAGTATGTACCTCTCACTTGGTCCAGGACAACATCCCTGTATTTTTCTGTTCCAAGCGAGGAGATGAGCTCAGACTTGCGTATCAGAGTCTCTGCTATGTGGAATAAGAAAATCAGAAGAGCTGTTTATGTCATATGTGACTGTAAAATTTTTCAAAAATATTAATCTTGTGAAACAAAGACAGCAAAGTATCTGGTGGCCCATTAAAAGTTGATAAACAACACTGACCAGCAAACCTCATGCCACCATTATTACCCTGTGAGCCTCTTTGTAGATTTTACATAGGTTTTGGAGGGAAATCCATACCACAATATGAGCTTACGAAGAGTTACCTACTGACAAAAGTACAGAGTTGCTATAAACTACAATCTTCAACATCAACTTCATTGGGCTGGTCATGTTGTTCGGATGCCTGATTATTGCCTTCAAAAGAAACCACTCAATTCCTAATTTAAGAATGGAAAGAGAAATAATGGAGGACAACAAAAGACGTTTCAAGACGCTCTCAAGGGAAAATTTTTAAAATGCAGTATAATCTCATAAAATTGGGAAACATTGGCCTGCGAGCGCTTCAATTCGAGAATAAAGGTAAAGGTAAATGGACCCCTGACCGTTAGGTCCAGTTGTGGCCGACTCTGGGGCTGCGGCGCTCATCTCGCTTTATTGGCCGAGGGAGCCGGCGTACAGCTTCTGGGTCATGTGACCAGCATGACTAAGTCGCTTCTGGCGAACCAGAGCAGCACATGGAAACGCCGTTTACCTTCTACTTGCACTTTGACATCCTTTCGAACTGCTAGGTTGGCAGGAGCAGGGACCGAGCAACGGGAGCTCACCCCGTTGAGGGGATTCGAACCGCCGACCGTCTGATCGGCAAGTCCTAGGCTCTGTGGTTTAACCCACAGTGCCACCCGCCCTTTACCAAAGGTGTAATGGACTTTGAAGAAACACAAACTCAGGCCAAAAGGGAGAAACAAGCTAAGAGGAAAGCATGTTTGGCAAACTCTCGCAGTGATTAATTCCTGACCGGAAACCTATGTCCCCACTGCGGAACGATGTGCGGATCCAGAATTGGACTCACTTACGGACACACCATTAAGATCATGTTCATGGAAGAGAATCTTACTCTTCTATGAGTGGTCACCAAAGACATGACATGAACAAATGGCTCAAACAGGAGATTCACACCTTCAACATCTAACAGCCAGGAGGAATAAAAATCTGCCCTTACCTAGAGAGGCCACCATCTCATAATTCTCCTCCATGACTTCCTTGTGCAGAGCTCTTTGGCCTGGATCCAGCAGAGCCCACTCCTCCTCCGTGAAAAAGACAGCAACATCCTCAAAGGTCAAAAGGGCCTGGAAGAAGAAGAAGAAAACAACAACAGAGCTTCTCTTAGATCCTCATCATCCCCACTCAACACAGAAGAAGGCTGAGTTGTCCCTCTGAAGAAGATTTATTGCTCAGATAAATCCTGGCGTCCAGCCCGCTTCGGCTGCGTAGCTACTGGCCAGGCCTCCGGACTTCAAAGGCCACATTCCAAAGGCTCTGAGCAACACGCAGAGATCAGCAGCGGTAAGAGAAAGCTGCAAAACTCCAGTGCATTCTTGAGTGTGCTTAAATAAAGTCCACTCAGGATATTAGCAGCTAGAAGCAGTTTTTTATTTACAGCAGACTATCCATTATCTATCACAGCGAACAGCATCGTGAAAACACATCCACTCTCCTCAAAAGCGAAAGTAGAGAAAGAACAAAGGCTGGAGGCTCTCGGATATGACGCAGAAGTTCCCCCCTCCCAACAGTAGGCAGGGCGTACACTCTGAGCTGTTTAACCCTGTAAGCTCAGGTTCTCCTCACAGTCCCATCTGTGCCTCTTCCCTCCTCCCTGCTCCCGTTGCTCTTACCCTACCTGAGGAAGCTGCCTGGCTCCTCTTTTCACTCCACCTCTGAGAAGAGGCCGTTCAGAGGGGGTCTCGGAGGCCATTGTGTTGCCAGTGGAAAGGACGGAGGAGGAGGCGTAAACTGGGCCACTTCTGGGACTCTCTCAGCTGTTGCCAAGATGCACTTCAAAGCAGGGAGCAGCTCTTTAAGGAGAACAATGCAGAAATTATTATTATTGATTTAATCTATATACCGCCCTATTCCAGGAGTTCTATGGGCGGTTCACAGAAAAGCAGGTTTTTTTAGGGAGACATTAATAATAATAATAATAATAATAATAATAACAATTTATTATGTGTACCCTGCCCATCTGGCTGGGTTTCCCCAGCCACTCTGGGTGGCTTCCACAGAGACCGAAAATACACTAAAACGTCACACATTAAAAACTTCCCTGAACAGGGCTGCCTTAAGATGTCTTCTGAATGTCAGGTAGTTGTTTATCGCTTTGACATCTGATGGGAGGGCGTTTCATAGGGCAGGCGCCACTACCGAGAAGGCCCTCTGCCTGGTTGCCTGTAGCTTTGCTTCTCGCAGGAAGGGAACCGCCAGAAGGCCCTTGGTGCTGGACCTCAGCGTCCGGGCAGAAAAATGGGAGTGGAGACGCTCTTTCAGGTATACAGGACCAAGGCCGTTTAGGCTTTAAAGGTCAACACCAACACTTTGAATTGTGCTCGGAAACGTACTGGGATCCAATTTCAAGACCAGTGTTATGTGGTCTCAGCGGCCACCCCCAGTCACCAGTCTAGCTGCCTCATTCTGGATTAGTTGTAGTTTCTGGGTAACCTTCAAAGGTATCCCCATGTAGAGCGCATTGCAGTAGTCCAAGCGGGAGATTACTAGAGCATGCACCACTCTGGAGAGACAGTCCGCGAGCAGGTAGGGTCTCAGCCTGTGTACCAGGTGGAGATGGTAGACAGCTGCCCTGGATACAGAATTGACCTGCACCTCCATGGACAGCTGTGAGTCCAAAATGACTCCCGGGCTGCGCTCCTGGTCCTTCAGGGGCACAGTTACCCCATTCAGGACCAGGGAGTCCTCCACACCAGCCCACCCTCTGTCCCCCCAAAACAGTACTTCTGTCTTGTCAGGATTCAACCTCAATCCATTAGCCGCCATCCATCCTCCAACCGCCTCCAGGCACTCACACAGGACCTTCACCGCCTTCACTGGTTCTGATTTGAAAGAGAGGTAGAACTGGGTATCATCTGCATATTGATGGACACCCAGTCCAAACCCCCTGATCTCTCCCAGCAGCTTCATATAGATGTTAAAAAGCATGGGGGAGAGGACGGAACCCTCAGGCACCTCACAAGTGAGGGCCCAGGGGTCTGAACACTCATCCCCCCCCCACCACTTTCTGAACACGGCCCAGGAGGAAGGAGCGAAACCACTGTATAACAGTGCCCTCAGCTCCCAGTCCCTTTAGACGGTCCAGAAGGATGTTATGGTCGATTGTATCAAAGGCCGCTGAGAGATCCAGCAGAACTAGGAAACAGCTCTCACCTTTGTCCCTAGCTCGCCGGAGATCAGCAACTAGCGCGACCAAGGCAGTTTTAGTCCCATGATGAGGCCTGAATCCTGATTGGAAGGGATCCAAATGGTCCGCATCCTCCAGGCATGCCTGGAGTTGTTCAGCAACCACTCGCTCAATCAGCTTGCCCAAGATTGGAAGATTTGAGACTGGGCGATAGTTGGCCATACTGGCTGGGTCTAAAGATGTTTTTTTAAGAAGCGGTTTAATGACCGCTTCTTTCAGCAGATCTGGGAACTTTCCCTCACAGAGGGAAGCATTCACCACCCCGCAAAGCCCATCGCCCAGCCCTTCCCGGCTTGCTTTTATTAGCCAGGATGGGCAAGGATCAAGGAGACAGGTGGTTGGTTTCACGCGTCCAAGCAGCCTGTCCACATCCTCGGGGGTAACGGATTGAAATTGATTCCATGCAACTTGACCAGACAGGGCTCTAGCACTCTCCCGCCCCAGCCCTGCTCCCATGGTGGTGTCTAGCTCCTTCCGAATATGAGTGATTTTATCTGCAAAAAACTTTGCAAAATCGTTGCAGGAGATCTTGGGGTCTTTACAAGATGGTTCCGTTAAATTGCGGACCACCTGAAAGAGTCTCCTGCTACTATTTTCTGCAGATGTAATAGAGGCGGTGAAGAAAGTCTTCTTCGCCGTCGCTATCGCCACTTGGTAGGCTCGACGTTGAACTCTAACCTGTGTCCGGTCAGATTTGGAATGAGTTTTCTGGCGCCGACGCTCTAGCCGCCTAAGCAATTGTTTCATTGCCCTCAGCTCCGAAGAAAACCACGGGGCTGTCTGGGCTCCATGCAATTGGATAGGGCGCTTCGGAGCCAGACAGTTGATAGCCCTGGTTAACTCCGCATTCCAGCAGGCCACCAGGGAATCAGCTGAAAGGCCTTCAACATGGGATAAAGCATGCCCTACCACTCTCTGGAAACCATTTGGACCCATTAAGTGGCGGGGGCGGACCATCCAAATTGGTCCCACCTCCCTGCAGAGGGGAAGGGTCGCGGAGAAGTCCAGTTGCACCAGGAGGTGATCTGACCATGGCACTTCTTTTGTTTCACTTTTACTTAGTGTCAGAACACCCACGTCACTAGAAGTGAACACCAGGTCTAAGGCATGTCCGTGACTATGAGTTGGGCCAAACTTATTCAGGGACAGCCCCATGGAGGCCATGCTTTCCACGAAGTCCCGAGCGGCCCCCTGTAAAGTCATGTCGGCATGGATGTTAAAATCCCCTAGGACAACCAAACTAGGTGTCTCCAGGAGAACATCCGCCACGACCTGAAGCAGCTCGGACAGGGAATCCTTGGTGCAGCGGGGAGGTCGGTACACCAAAAGGAATCCTGTACTGCCCCTATTGCCCAACTTCCAGAACATGCACTCAGAGAACTGGGTCTTCCCAGTAGGACGCCTGATGCAAGCTAATGACTTCCTAAAAATCACTGCAACCCCCCCCCACCCACATGACCTGGGTTGCTGTGCATAAGAGAAACCTGGTGGGCAAGCAGCGGCAAGGACAGGCCCATCTGCTTCATCCAACCAGGTCTTTTTCACACGTGCCAGGTCAAATCCTCCATCTACAATCAAGTCATGGATGGCAGTGCTTTTATTCATCATTGACCTGGCATTACACAGCAACACCTTCAGGTCATGTGGGTTTCCCCTGTTGATTCCAGTATCCATCCGGTCAAGGCCAGACCCGGAGGCAGGGATAGTCTTCAAACAACGACTAAACCTGCCTCCTCGATAATGACATGCTCTGGTCTTAGCGTAACTCCTCCTCCTGCCCATGATCACAGAGATTGGATGTCCCAGTGCCCCCCCCCGTGGAACTTGTCCCAGCCATTGTGCTGGCTGGGGCCCCACTCCCAGGCAGCCCTGATCCCACCCCTTAAAAATAAAACACAAACTATACACAACCAATAAAACAACAAAAAACAAAAACAGAACAATTATACTAAAATTAATCCCCAACCAAATATCCATCCCACCCACCCCCAACAAAGCAAAAAAAAAAGAAAAGAAAAAAAAATTAAAATGCCACCGACTGCTTGAGGACATTTTCAAACACAGATAGGATACCTTTTACAAATTATAAATATTGTAGCCTTCTTAGACTTCACCAACTGGTGGGGTCTGCGTTGCTCCTGGGAGGCAGGGAGGAAATCAAATGACACCAAGGTTGATTCAGAGAAAGAGTTTATTCTGCTCTCCGGATAGCAGAAGGCATTTGCGTGGTCAGTCCACAGCAAGTCCAAAGAAATGAGACATTTCATGCAGTAAATATATCCTCCAGGCACCCTCCCCAGGAATCCAGCCACGTCAGCTTATACATCACAGATGTTCCTGCTCCAGTACTCTTAACCATAAAAGGGTTTTCCTCTTCCTGTACTCTTGACCATAAAAGGGTGTTCCTATTCCTGCGGAGCAAGAGGTCACCAACTCCTGGCGCCATTCCCGGACTAAGTCTGTGCGTCAGAGTGTGGCAAGGATGTAAGATAAGATAGACACTGGAACAGCCAAGGCTGCCACAGACTGATAAAGGAGAGCTCTTTGAGCACTTGTTTATACAGCTGGGTTTTGGCTGAAGAGCTCAAGTTAGAGCATTTTAGAAATGCTCCCTTGGAGGAGAAAAAATGGGGATTTTGGGTCAGTTTCAAACTGACTGCACATAAACCCATTCCTTCAATATCAATACTCATAAACTAATGCTCATAAATTCTAATTACAAAGGCAGGGAACTAGGAGGATGTAATTCTTTCTACAGGAACTTTATAATAGTAAGTTGCCTCAGTCTTTAGGGGACCTTCAGCTTTGGTTTGTAAAGTTCTAGGATCAAATCCCAAACTCTTAATGAAGCTTTGCAGAAAGCATTACAGTCCCAAGAGGAAATCTGGAGAAGCCTCTCTTTGGAAAGAAAAAGCATGAAAAACGGATCCACCCTCTTTTTCCCCAAGTCCAGCTGGGGAGGGGCATTTTTTAATTGCTCCAGTGTTTGCCTTAAATCTTTTCAAAGGGCTCCTGAGACCTTGATTAGATTTAAATCCTGTCATCCATGGGCCCATTTCCCTTGCCAAGCAGGAGGAAAACTGACAATGTGCTTTTTCATGCTTCAGGAAATGGAAAATGTGCATCGTCCCTCCAGTTTTGGGGCACAAAAGCAGCACAGCAACCCCTCCCCAACTGCACCCCCCAACATGGGAAACCCAACAAGGCTCTTTCCTTTGTGCCAAAGCAACCTCAGCCGGCCAGACTAGGATTTCTGAAAGGGGGGCTGGGGGGTCCTCCTCCTTCCTTCTCACATCAGCCTCTTTCTTACTCAGGAAGCTCCGAAGGCCGATTTTCCCTTGACAATGTCCATCTCTCACCCCCCACCCAATTCGAAATCTCCCCCCTCTCTCCCAATCCACAGGCGACTCTGTTCTCCAGCTGCTTCCCCTGCACCAAGTTAGACTCCCTCCCACCCTCCATATCTCCCCCCGCCCCATACAGGGATGCCAACTTGAATAAAATATTGGGGGCAGCCCTCTCAAATATCTTATGGGGAAGGGAGAAGACCCCTCGGGCCCCTATGAGTTGGCTCCTATCCTTTCATGATCCCGACTGAGGCAGGGGGCGGCAGATTAGGATTCTGGGGTTCATCCTGCAATGCAAACCTTGTTTCGGGGAGAGGACCCCACCCCCGCAGCCGCTTGCAGAGGGAAAGGGGGAGCCCTTCCTTCTTTCACCCCCCCTTCATCCTTCCCCCCTCCCGCTGCCCTGTTTGTAGGTTCATGGGGAGGGAAAGCAAATTCTTCTCCCTCCCTGCACCCCAAATCTCCCCTTCCCCCGAAATGTTGCACCTTTTCCCTCCTCCTTTGCAGGCCTCCTTCTCTTCCGGGGACGCGCATGGAGACCCCACCCCTCCAACATTGCCTCTACCCCCCCCCCCGCCCTCCTCCGTCACTTCCTGCCTCTCTAGGAAGCGAGTTCATTGACCGAGGGGGAGGGGCAGGAGATTGGCCCCCCTCCCTGCAAGCAGAGACCTAGAAATATAGTGGGAAGGGGACCCCCCCATGGAGCCCAGTGTCCCTCAGCCTTTTCCCGACCATGGCCCCCTCCCGACCTTATTTCATTCCTGTGCTCCCCGCCCCCTGCCCTGCCAGTAGAAAGGTAGCTATTTAAATATTTTGCTTGTACATAGTGCATGTTTCCTTTATAGTTTTTATTTAGAAATCCACTGTGTTACCAGAAATTGGAGAGGGGGAGAGGCCTCCCCCCCCCCCACTATGAGGCAAAGAGTCTCTGCTGGCCAGATCAGAGAACTGCTGCTGCTGCTATTAATAATTCACAGTGGCCTCCTCCCCACAGCAGAGAGGCGAAAGGGGGGTGGGAGGTATGGGGGGGCTCTGGGTGCAATGATAAAGAGGGGAGGGGTGTAAAGTTGCACAACATTCAACCACCAGAAGGAAGGGAAGGAAAGGAAAGGATTTGGTTGGGAGGGGGGGGGATGAGATGAAGACATGAAAAGTCTCCCCTCCCCACACCTTACCTCTGGGGATCTGCAGTGTTGGGCAGGTGGATCCAAGGAATCCGGCTGCAGGGGGGGGTGTCTCCCCCTCCTCTAAACATTTGCATTTCAAGATCCTCTTTGAAGCGAAGAAATCAACCAGCCTCACGTTGGGTGGGGAAAAGAGGGGCAAAGATATTTTGCTACAGGAGAGGGACCAGAAAAGGTCTCTTTCCTGTTAATTGTTTAATGTACACTGAAATTGGAGGGTGGGGAGATGACCCTCTATAATGTGCCTGCATGTGTACACTGAGGCATGACTGGAAATTTCCTTTGGAGCAGAAAAGAGCCTAAGTGGGGCTGTATTTCGGCTGGCTTGGTCACATGAGAAGGGATACTATTACAATGGTACCTCGGGTTACATACGCTTCAGGTTACATACGCTTCAGGTTACAGACTCCGCTAACCCAGAAATAGTACCTCAGGTTAAGAACTTTGCTTCAGGATGAGAACAGAAATCGTGCTCCGACGGCACAGCGGCACAGGTTAAGAACAGACCTCCGGAACAAATTACGTACTTAACCCGAGGTACCACTGTACAGGCTGTCGTTGTAAAAGGTTTGGGTTGGCTTTACAGCCAAACCCCCTGGGAAGGTCTGCTATGGGTCAGCAGGAAAGCAAAGCAAGGCAAGCTGGTCTTCACTGCATCTGTTGCAAGGGGTCCATTTACCTTTACCTTTATTCTCGAATTGAAGCGCTCGCAGGCCAATGTTTCCCAATTTTATGAGATTATACTGCATTTTAAAAATTTTCCCTTGAGAGCGTCTTGAAACGTCTTTTGTTGTCCTCCGTTATTTCTCTTTCCATTCTTAAATTAGGAATTGAGTGGTTTCTTTTGAAGGCAATAATCAGGCATCCGAACAACATGACCAGCCCAATGAAGTTGATGTTGAAGATTGTAGTTTATAGCAACTCTGTACTTTTGTCAGTAGGTAACTCTTCGTAAGCTCATATTGTGGTATGAATTTCCCTCCAAAACCTATGTAAAATCTACAAAGAGGCTCACAGGGTAATAATGGTGGCATGAGGTTTGCTGGTCAGTGTTGTTTATCAACTTTTAATGGGCCACCAGATACTTTGCTGTCTTTGTTTCACAAGATTAATATTTTTGAAAAATTTTACAGTCAGATATGACATAAACAGCTCTTCTGATTTTCTTATTCCACATAGCAGAGACTCTGATACTCAAGTCTGAGCTCATCTCCTCACTTGGAACAGAAAAATGCAGGGATGTTGTCCTGGACCAAGTGACAGGTACATACTTCCACTTTGCTGTGAGGCTGTACCATTGTATGTCTCCTTTCAGGGTGTACAAATATAAAAAAGAGCCCTTTTGGATCAGAACGAGGGCCCATCTTTCCCAGCATCCTGGTGCAGGTTTAGGCGATGTGTACAGTTGGTTGGAATGTATCAGTGAGATATTACAGATCATGGAGGAAGGAGAAAACTGAATACAGAGGCATAGCATTTTCACAGGAGGGGGGAAGATGTGTCCCTCCAGAGGTTGCTGTACTACAACTCCCATCATCCCTGGTCATTGGCCATCTTTGCTTGGGTTGAGGGTACTTAGAGTTAACCATTTGCTGGCAGGGAAAAAGAAAACACTTGGTGAGCCCACCTGCCCAGCAAAACAAACTTTCCATCACACTCCACTTTCCACAACTCTCCATTCCCAACTCTCTCTGCCAAAGACCAAATATCAACGGACTCTCAGCACATCTTCACTCACAAGGAGCACTCCAGAATCACATTCTGCACATCCCTAACGGTACATTATAGCTTTCATCATACTTACTATTATGAGACATTTTATTTGCTTTAATACATGTATGTACAACTTTCCATACAAACACCAGAACATCAAATATACTCCATGCATTTACAATTTATTGTTCCCTATATGAGTTTGTCAATATGAGGTACAAAGTGAACTCTGTGGGGAAAATGTGGCATACTCCATAAAACTAAATGGGTTCTCTCCCGTGACCGTCAGCAGGCGTTATTTAAGAACTCCATTGTAATTGAAACTCGTTTCACACGCCTTTTATTTAAGCAATTGCTTCTCTGTGAGATTTTTGATGTTTTCTAACAGATCCACTCTCACTGAAACCCTTCCCACAATCCATACATTTATATGGTTTCTCCCCTGTGTGAGTTCGTTGGTGTCTACTAAGGTGTGAACTCTGAATGAAGCTCTTTCCACACTCCATACATCTAAATGGTTTCTCCCCTGTGTGAGTTCGTTGGTGTCTACTAAGGTGTGAACTCTGAATGAAGCTCTTTCCGCAATCCAGACATTTAAATGGTTTTTCCCCTGTGTGAATTCGTTGATGTATTGTAAGTTTTATACAATGACTGAAACCCTTCCCACAATCCTTACAATTAATTGGTGTCTCCCCGGTGTGACTTTGATGGTGCGCATTGAGTTGCCAACTACACATGAAGCTCTTTCCACACTCCATACATTTATATGGTTTCTCACCTGTGTGAGTTTGTTGATGTCTACTAAGGTGTGAACACTGAATGAAGCTCTTTCCGCACTCCATACATCTAAATGGTTTCTCCCCTGTGTGAATTCGTTGATGTCTCGCAAGAGATCCATTCTCAGTGAAGCTCATTCCGCAATCCAGACATTTAAATGGTTTTTCCCCTGTGTGAATTCGTTGATGTATTGTAAGTTTTATACAATGACTGAAACCCTTCCCACAATCCTTACAATTAAATGGTTTCTCCCCGGTGTGACTTTGATGGTGCGCATTGAGTTGCCAACTACACATGAAGCTCTTTCCACACTCCATACATTTATATGGTTTCTCACCTGTGTGAGTTCGTTGATGTCTACTAAGGTGTGAACACTGAATGAAGCTCTTTCCGCACTCCATACATCTAAATGGTTTCTCCCCTGTGTGAATTCGTTGATGTCGAGTAAGAGATCCATTCTCAGTGAAGCTCATTCCGCAATCCAGACATGTAAATGGTTTTTCCCTTTGTGAATTCCTTGATGTCTAGTAAAGTTTCCATTTGTACTGAAGCTCTTTCCGCACTCCAGACATTTAAAAGGTTTCTCCCCTTTGTGAATACGTTGGTGTACAGTAAGGTATGGACCATGACGGAAGCTCTTACCACAATCCATACATCTAAATGGTTTCTCCCCAGTGTGAATTCGTTGGTGTAAGGTAAGGTTTCTATTTTCACTGAAGCTCTTCCCACATTCCATACATTTACAGTGGTGCCTCGCAAGACGAAATTAATTCGTTCCGCAAGTCTCTTCGTCTTGCGAGTTTTTCGTCTTGCGATGCACGGTTTCCCATAGGAATGCATTGAAAATCAATTAATGCGTTCCTAGGGAAACCGCCTTCAGACTCAGGTCCGGGGACAGTCTGTCCCCGGACCTCTTCTGAAGGCTGGGGGGGCAAGGGCTTTTCTTCCCACCCCCAGCATTTTAAAACACCCCGGGACAGCGGAGGACTTCTCCGCTGTCCGGGCGATCTTAAAATGCTGGCGGGCGGCATTTTAAAATCACCCCGGGACAGCGGAGGACTTCTCCGCTGTCCGGGGCAATTTAAAAGCCCCTGGGAAGGCAGGCAGGGGGGACAAAGACTTTGGCCCCCCGCCAGCCTTCAGAAGAGGTCCAGGACCTCTTCTGAAGGCGGGCGGGGGCGAAAGTCTTTGCTCCCCCGCCTTCAAAAGCCCTCCGGGACAGGCAGGCAGGGGAGCAAAGACTTCGCCCCCGCCCGCCTTCAGAAGGTCTTCCCTCCCCCGCCCGGCTCGGAGCACCGCCCGGGCCGGGCGGCGGCGGGAGGTCTTCCCTCCCCGCCCGGCTCGGAGCACCGCTCCGGCCGGGCGGCGGCGGGAGGTGTCCCTCCCCCGCCCGGCTCGGAGCACCGCCCGGCCGGGCGGCGGCGGGAGGTCTTCCTCCCCCCGCCCGGCTTCGGAGCACCGCTCCGAGCCGGGCAGAGGCGGGAGGTGTCCCTCCCCGCCCCGGCTTCGGAGCACCGCTCCGGGCCGGGCAGAGGCGGGAGGTCTTCCCTCCCCCGCCCGGCTCGGAGCACCGCCCGAGCCGGGCGGCGGCGGGAGGTGTTCCCTCCCCGCCCGGCCGGAGCACCGTCCGGCCGGGCGGCGGCGGGAGGTCTTCCTCCCCGCCCGGCTCGGAGCACGGCCCGGCCGGGCGGCGGCGGAGGTGTCCCTCCCCGCCCGGCTCGGAGCACCGCCCGGCCGGGCGGAGGCGGGAGGTCTTCCCTCCCCCGCCCGGCTCGGAGCACCGCCCGGGCCGGGCGGCGGCGGGAGGTGTTCCCTCCCCCGCCCGGCTCGGAGCACCGCTCCGAGCCGGGCAGAGGCGGGAGGTCTTCCCTCCCCGCCCGGCTCGGAGCACCGCCCGGGCCGGGCGGCGGCGGCAGGTGTTCCCTCCCCGCCCGGCTCGGAGGAGCCTCCGAGCCCGGCGGCGGCGGGAGGAGGTGTCCCCGCCCGCCGCCAGGCTTCGGAGGAGGTCCGAGGACAGTGGGGAAGACGCGCTGCGCTCCCCGCTGTCCCTGAGATTTCCTATGGGCTGTCGTCTTGCGAAGCAAGCCCATAGGGAAATTGCTTATGCGGCGCTCCAAAACGGAAAACCCTTTCGTCTAGCGGGTTTTCCGTCTTGCGAGGCGTTCGTCTTGCGGGGTACCACTGTATATGGTTTCTCCCCTGTGTGAATACGTTGATGTCTAGTAAAATTTCCACCTTCACTGAAGCTCTTCCCACACTCCATACATTTAAATGGTTTCTCCCCAGTGTGAATTCGTTGATGTCTAGTAAATTTTCCACCTTCACTGAAGCTCTTCCCACACTCCATACATTTATATGGTTTCTCCCCTGTGTGAGTTCGTTGATGTCTAGTAAGTCTTGCACTCTGACTGAAGCTCTTTCCGCACTCCAAACATCTAAATGGTTTCTCCCCTGTGTGAGTTCGTTGATGTATTGTAAGTTTTCTACCTTCACTGAAACCCTTCCCACAACCCTTGCATCTAAATGGTTTCTCCCCAGTGTGAATTCGTTGATGTACAGTAAGTATTTCCCTATCCCTAAAGCTCTTTCCACACTCCATACATTTAAAAGGTTTCTCCCGTGTGTGAGTTCGTAGATGTACAGTAAGGTGTGAACACTGCCTGAAGCTCTTTCCACACTTTATACATTTATATGGTTTTTCCCCTGTGTGAGTTAGCTGATGAGTTCTAAGGCTGCTACTATAAGCAAAACTTTTCCCACACTCCATGCATTTAAATGGTTTATCCCCTGTGTGAATTCGTTGATGTCTAGTGAAGTTTCCATTTTTAATGAAGCTCTTTCCACTCTCCATGCATTTAAAGTGTTTCTCCCTGTGTTAGTTTGTAGATGTGTGCTAAGGTGTTCACTCATGCTGAAGTACTTTACAGATGGCCCCTCAAAATTCTGATTGCCTCCTCCATCACCTGGTTTAAAGTGGGAGATAATAAAATATTGTTAGGTCTTCAAGGAAGAGAACCAGCGGACTTAACACACAGCAAGACCAATCAGACCTTCTCTGATTTTAACACTTCCAGCATCCCTCCCTCTCCTATGTACTAAAGTTTCTGGAAAGGAAAGGAAATCTAAAAATAGCCTGAAGAACCCTTAGTATCCAGTTCTACCTTCAACTCCCATGTAACACTGAGCACCAAGAGAAATCTTCTGTGCTGAGGTTAGGTATCTATGGCCCTCAAGATGTGGTTGGACTCTAAGTATCCTCAAGCCAAGACAAGATGGCCAAGTATCCTCAAGTTCGGATGCCTGATTATCGTCTTTGAAAGCAACTACTCTATTCCCAACTTAAGAATGGAAAGAGAAATACCGGAGGACAAAAATGAGGTTTCAGAATGCTCTCAAGGCAAATCTAAAAAAATGCAGTATAAGCATAGAAAATTGGGAAACACTGGCCAGCGAGCACTCCAATTGGAGAATAACCTTCACCAAAGGCATCATGGACTTTGAAGAACCACAAACTCAGGCCAAAAGGGAGAAACAAGCCAAGAGGAAAACACGTTTGGCAAACCCTCGCTGTGATTAACATCTCCTCAGAAACCTATGTCCCCACTGTGGAAGGATGTGTGGATCCAGAACTGAACTCCACAGTCCCTTACGGACACACTGGTAAGATCATGTTCATGGAAGACAATCTTACTCGGCTACGAGGGGTCGCCAAATAGGAAGACATGGCATGAATAAATGGCTCAAACAGCAGGTTCACACCTCCAACGTCTAGCAGCCAAGAGGAATAAAAATGTGCCCTCACCTAAAGAGGCCACCATCTCATAATTCTCCTCCATGACTTCCTTGTGCAGAGCTCTTTGGCCAGGATCCAGCAGAGCCCACTCCGTGAAAAACACAGCCACCTCCTCAAAGGTCAAGAGGGCCTGGAAGAGGAGGAAGAAGACGACGAAGAAGAAGAGGAGGAAGAAGACAGAGCTACTCTTAGATCCCCATCATCCCCATTCAACACAGAGGGATGGTCCCATCTGTGCCTCTTCCCTCCTACCTGCTCCCGTTGCTCTTTCCCTACCTGAGGAAGCTGCCTGGCTCCTCTTTCCACTCCACCTCTGAGAAGAGACAGTGCAAACGATGGTGCCTCTGAGGCCATTGCACTGCCACTTCTGGGACGCTCTCAGCTGTTGCCACGATTCCCTTCAATGCAGGGAGCAGCTCTTTTAGGAGAACAATGAAGAAATAATAATAGTAATAATAATAAATTGAATTTATATACTGCCCGATACCCGGAGGTCTCAGGGCGGTGCAGACAGATGGATTTAATTAGGGTGGGATACATTTACACAGATAGCATACCTGTTACAAACTGCAAATATTAATACTAATAAATTAATACAGTACTCATAAATTCTAATTACAAAGGCAGGAACTGACAGGAACTTTATAATACTGTAAGCTGCCTCAGTCTTTGGTTTGTAAAGTTATAGGATCAAATCCCAAACTCTTAATGAAGCTTTGCAGAAAGCATTACAGTCCCAAGAGGAAATCAGGAGAAGCCTCTCTTGGAAAGAAAAAGCATGAAAACTGTTCTCCCTTCTCCTTTCCCCAAGTCCAGCTGGGGAGGGGGCATTTCTTTAATTCCTCCAGTCTTTGCCTTGAACATATTTAAAGGGCTTCTCAGACCTTGATCAGTTTCAAATCCTGCCAACCATGGGCCCATTTCCCTTGCCAAGCAGGAGGAAAACTGACAGGTGCTTTTTCATGCTTCAGGAAATGAAAAGTGCACCTCTTCCCTCTAGTTTTGGGACACAAAAGCAGCACAGCAACCCCTCCCCAACTGCACCCCCCAACATGGGAAACCCAACAAGGCTCTTTCCTTTGTGCCAAAGCAACCTCAGCCTGTCAGACTAGGATTTTTGAAAGGGGAGCTGGGGGGGGGGGGCAGACCGGCTCCCTGACGCAGGAGGCTAAGGGAGGGGGATGTTCCAGGCTGAGTGTAAAGAAATACATAAAACTGGGATAGGAGGCTGGGTCTAAGGGGGGGGGGAGGAATGTCACCTGGTGACTTTCATTGCATAGGTGCCAGATCCCTGGGTCCCTGAGCACCCACCCATTTCCCCATGAAGGGGCCGGGCACCCACAAATTTCGGTGCCAGGGCCATGCATACTGAATGGCACCCACAGCCCCGGGGACCCACGGTCGTGGGGTGAAACTGGCACAACTGGTTCCGTGTTCCAATCAGGCTGGGTGGGGGGGTTCGGGTGGGGGGAGAGCCCTTCTCTAGTTCGTCTCGGGAAGCAAAATGTCTCCCCCACTTCGGAGTCTGGTTGATCTCTCCGCTTCCAAGAGGATCCCGCAATGCAAACCTTGTTTGGGGGAGAGGACGCCCCACTCTCTGCAACCGATTGCACGTTGCCTCTCCTGGTTCCCAGAGGGAAAGGGGGGAGCCCTTCCTTGCTTTCATCCCCCCCATCCTTCCCCCCTCCCTGCTGCCATGATTGTAGATTCAGGTGGAAGAAAAGCAAATTCTTCTCCTTCCCTGCACCCCAAGTCACACCCCCATCCGAAATGTTGCACCTTTCCCTCCTCCTTTGCACGCCTCCTCCTCTTCCGGGGATGTGCATTGGGACCCCACCCCTCCAACATTAACTCTACCCCCTGCCCTGCTCCGTCACTTCCTGCCTCTCTAGGAAGCGAGTTCGTTCACCCAGGGTGACCCCCCTCCCTGCAAGCAGAGACCTAGGAATGTAGTGGGAAGGGACTCTCCCCCCCCCCCCATTCTTTGGATGCAGGAGGTCCCAGGTGCAATCCTGGCAGGCAAAGAGACCCTGTTGGCATCCGTCTGTCTCGGGAGGCGATGGAGGAGGGGGCCTTTGGGGGTGAAGTCCAACTGTGGGCAGCTTGCAGCACCTGCTGTGGCTGCTTCATGTCATGGGCAAATGCTCAATGCCGGCAGAGGGAGGAGCAGCTCCAGGTGAACTCTGCTTTTGGCCTGCTATACTGCCAGCTCTTTCTACAGATTTCTGAAAGATGGGCCAGTTATGGGGGCACAGAGATTCCTCTCTCCACAGGGAACTGACTCTCCTGAAACCACTGGCAATGCCCACATTTCCCTGTGCCACCTTCCCTCCATATATTGTTTGTCCCCCTCAGCACCTCCTTTATTCCGGCTGCCACCTGGGATTTTATCCCCTTTGCAGTTAATGTACCCATGAATGAGAAGAGAAGGTAAAACAATGAATTTCTAAAATATAAACAACGTAGGATTTCTAAAATATAAACAACGTAGGATAGTTTAAGGATTACTTTCCAGTCTTTCTGTGTTTTCGTTGTTCCTTTATTGCAACTATAAAAATGTGATTTATGCTGCTGTTCTAATTATTATTATTATTATTATTATTTATTTATTCCCCGCCCATCTGGCTGGGTCCCCCCAGCCACTCTGGGCGGCTTCCAACAAAACACTAAAATAACCTATTAAACATTAAAAGCTTCCCTAAACAGGGCTGCCTTTAGATGTCTTCTAAAAGTTTGGTATTTTCTCTTTGACATCTGGTGGGAGGGCGTTCCACAGGGCGGGCGCCACTACCGAGAAGGCCCTCTGCCTGGTTCCCTGTAACTTGGCTGCTCACAGCGAGGGACCCGCCAAAAGGCCCTTGGCGCTGGACCTCAGTGTCCGGGCATAAACTGGGAGTTGGACTAGAAGACCCTGGACTCCCTTTAAACTCCACAGTTCTAGGATTCCAGAGCCAACCCTGCTTCTTAAACACCACTGTTGTGCTCTACTTTCCCCAACTCTGGATTCCCAATTCTCTCTGCCAAAGACCAAATATCAGTGGATTCTCAGCCCATGTTCACACTCAATGAGCCCTCGAGAGTCACATTCTGCACATCCCTAACAGTACATTGCATCTTTCATATACAGTGGTACCTCAGGTTAAGTACTTAATTAATTCCGGAGGCCCGTTCTTAACCTGAAACTGTTCTTAACCTGAAGCACCACTTTAGCTAATGGGGCCTCCTGCTGCCGCTGCGCCGTCAGAGCACGATTTCTGTTCTCATCCTGAAGCAAAGTTCTTAACCTGAGGTACTATTTCTGGGTTAGCGGAGTCTGTAACCTGAAGCGTATGTAACCAGAGGCACCACTGTATGAGACATTACCTTCATTGCCTTAATACATGTATGTACAACTTTCCATACAAACATCAGAAAATCAAAATTACTCCATGCATTTACAATTGATTTTTCCTTATATGAGTTTGCTGATATGAGGGACAAAGTGAACTCTGTGGGAAAAACATGACATACTCCATAAAACTAAATGGGTTCTCCCCCATAACACTATGTAAGTGCTTATTAAGAACTTCATTATAACTGAAATACTTTCCACACTCCTTCCATTTAAACAGTTGCTTCTCTGTGAGATCTTTGATGTCTTCTAAGAGTTCCATTTCCATTGAAGCCCTTCCCACACTCCATACATTTAAATGGTTTCTCCCCTGTATTAGTTCGTTGATGTCTTCTAAGAGCTCCATTCCGATTAAAGCACTTCCCACAATTCATACATTTAAATGGTTTTTTCCCTTTGTGAGTTCATTGATGTCTAGTAAGGCTTGCACTCTGACTTAAGCTCTTTCCACATACCATACATCTAAATCAGGCATGTCCAAAGTCGGTTTATTCCGGCCCCTGTGGCAGTTTATTTCCTGGGGTAAAATCCTAAAAAAACCTCAAAAACCTTGGGGAAATCCGCCAAAAGCTCAACAACTTCAATCCTAAAAAAACAACTTTGGTCAGCCCCCACGCATATTCACTTCATCAAATCTGGCCCTCTTTGAAAAAAGTTTGGACACCCCTGATCTAAATGGTTTCTCCCTTGTGTGAATTTGTTGATGTATGGCAAGTCTCCTATTTTTACTGAAGCTCTTTCAGCACTACATACATTTAAAGGGCTTCTCCACTGTGTGAGATCGCTGGTGTCTTCTAAGAGTTCTACTATCACTGAAACCCTTCCCACAATCCATACATTTAAATGGTTTCTCTCCTGTATGAGTTCGTTGATGTGTTGCAAGAGCTCCACTCTGACTGAAACCCTTCCCACAAATACATTTAAATGGTTTACTCCCGGTGTGACTTTGTTGGTGCACAGTGAGTCTTCCACTACAAATGAAGCTCTTTCCACACTCCAAACATTTAAATGGTTTCTCCCTGTATGAGTTCGTTGATGTAGAGTAAGGCTTCCACTGGCACTGAAGCACTTTCCACAAACAGTACATTTGTATGGTTTCTCACCTGTGTGAGTTCGTTGATGTCTAGTAAGTGTTCCATTGTGACTGAAACTCTGTCCACACTCTAAACATTTAAAGGGTTTCTCCCCTGTGTGAGTTCGTAGATGTATGGTCAGTTTTGAAGCTTCACTGAAGTTCTTTCCACACTCAATACATTTAAATGGTTTCTCCCCTGTATGAGTTCGTTGATGTGTTGCAAGAGCTCCACTATGACTGAAAGCCTTCCCACAAATACATTTAAATGGTTTCTCCCCGGTGTGACTTTGTTGGTGTAGAGTGAGTTTCCCACTACGAATGAAGCTCTTTCCACACTCCAAACATTTATATGGTTTCTCCCCTGTGTGAGTCCGCTGATGATTTCTAAGCCCTCCACTCTCAGTGAAACTCTTTCCACAATCCATACATTTAAAGGGCTTCTCCCCTGTGTGAATTCGTTGATGTATAGTAAGTTTTCCACTCTCACTGAAGCTCTTTCCGCACTCCATACATTCAAAAGGTTTCTCCCCTGTGTGAGTTCGTAGGTGTATAGTAAGGTGTGAACATTGTCTGAAGCTCTTTCCACACTGCATACATCTAAATGGTTTGTTCCCTGTGTGAATTTGTTTATGTACAGTAAGGTTTCCATTTTTACTGAAGCTCTTTCCGCACTCCATGCATTTAAAGGGTTTCTCTCCTGTGTTAGTTTGTAGATGGGTGCTAAGGTGTTCACTCACACTTAAGTACTTTGCAGATGGCCCTTCAATATTCTGATTGCCTCCTCCATCACCTGGTTTAAAGTGGGAGATAAGAAAATATTGCTAAGTATTTAAGGAAGAAGATCAAACCTATCCATTCTTAAGGAAATCAGCCCTGAGTGCTCACTGGAAGGACAGATCGTGAAGCTGAGGCTCTAATACTTTGGCCACCTCATGAGAAGAGAAGACTCCCTGGAAAAGACCCTGATGTTGGGAAAGATTGATGGCACAAGGAGAAGGGGACGACAGAGGATGAGATGGTTGGACAGTGTTCTCGAAGCTACGAACATGAGTTTGACCAAACTGCGGGAGGCAGTGGAAGACAAGTATGCCTCGGACACGACTAAACAACTAAACAACAACAACAACAATTTAAGGAAATGAACAAGAGAACTTAACACACAGCAAGACCAATCAGCACATTCTCTTATTTTAACACTTCTAGCATACCTCCCTCTCCTATGTACTAAAGTTTCAGGAAAGGAAAGGAAATCTGAAAATAGCCTGAAGAACCCTTAGTATCCAGTTCTACCTTCAACTCCCATGTAGCACTGAACACCAAAAAAACCCTTCTATATACAGATGAGGCATTTATGGCCCATTCTTCATCTCCCCCAAGTGAAAATGCTTTGCGTCTGTATTGGGTTTTCTCCTTCCTCCCTGATCTGTAATATCTTGCTGATACATTCCAACCCACTGTATACATCACCTAAACCTGCACCAGGATGCTGGAAAAGATGGGCCCTCATTTTGATGCAAAAGGGCTCTTGTTATATCCCTATACACTGAAAGGAGACATACAAAGGTACAGCCTCACAGCAAAGTGGAAGTATGTACCTCTCAATTGGTCCAGGACAACATCCCTGTATTTTTCTGTTCCAAGCGAGGAGGTGAGCTCAGATCTGAATATCAGAGTCTCTGCTATGTGGAATAAGTAAAGCAGAAGCGTTGTGTATGTCATATGTGACTGTAAAAGTATCCAAAATAACAATATTTTGTTACTGCAAAGTATCTGGTGGCCCATTAAAAGCTAATAATGACATCCACCAGAAAACCTCTTTGTAGATTTTACAGAGGTTTTTGTGGGGAATTCATACCACAATATCAGCTTATGAAGAGTTTCCTACAGACAAAAGTACAGTGTTGTCAGGATTTACCATGCTCCTCTCATACCAAGAAGCGGCAAGCTGGCAGGTTTATTACTCTTAGATTTATTGAGTATTTACACAGTAGCTTCAGTCCGAGCCCTCGCAGCTCAGTCCTCTCCCAATGAGACAGTTGGACCCACTGGATGACACTGTTGACGCCAGCAGGATATCCTCCACCGGTTGACCCACCTCCTGTTGGGCTGGCGTTGCGCCTCTACTCTACTCTTCTGCCTACTCTGAGGAGACTCGGGGACAGCTGGCCTTCCTCCTCCTCTTGAGCCGGATCTAACAGCGGCAGTTGCTCTGAAGCAGGCTCTGTCTGCCCTGTGCTGTCTTGGGAATTTATAGCCTGCATTCCAGGATGGGACAGACTTCCATCACTCTCAGTGTGAGCAGGATTCAAGCCTCTACCCTCCTTAGCCTGCCCAGCCTTCTTCCCTGGAGTCTACGCAGTCTCACTCTGGGAAGGGACATCCCTGAGAAGTATTGCTATACACTACAATCTTCAACATCAACTTCATTGGACTGGCCATGTTGTTCAGATGCCTGATTATTGCCTTCAAAACAACTATTCTATTGCCAACTTAAGAATGGAACTTAAGAATGGACAACAAAAGAGGTTTCAAGATGGTCTCAAGGCAAATCTAAAAAAAAATGCAGTATAAGAACAGAAAATTGGGAAACACTGGCCAGTGAGTGCTCCGATTGGAAAATAACCTTTACCAAAGGCATCATGGACTTTGAAGAACCACAAACTCAGGCCAAAAGGGAGAAACAAGCTAAGAGGAAAGCATGTTTGGCAAACCCTCACCGTGATCAACTCCCACCTGGAAACCTATGTCCCCACTGCCAAAGGATGTGTGGATCCAGAATTGGACTCCACAGTCCCTTACGGACACACCGTTAAGATCATGTTCATGGAAGACAATCTTACTCGGCTACAAGGGGTCACCAAAGAGGAAGACACGGCATGAATAAATGGTTCAAACAGCAGATTTCCAACTTCAACGTCTAACAGCCAAGAGGGGAAAAAATGTGCCCTTACCTAAAGAGGCCACCATCTCATAATTCTCCTCCATGACTTCCTTGTGCAGAGCTCTTTGGCCAGGATCCAGCAGAGCCCACTCCTCCTCCGTGAAAAACACAGCCACCTCCTCAAAGGTCAAGAGGGCCTGGAAGAGGAGGAAGAAGACGAAGAAGAAGAAGAGGAAGAAGACAGAGCTGCTCTTAGATCCCCATCATTCCCACTCAACACAGAGGGAGGCTGGGTGGTCCCATCTGTGCCTCTTCCCTCCTCCCTGCTCCCGTTGCTCTTTCCCTACCTGAGGAAGCTGCCTGGCTCCTCTTTCCACTCCACCTCTGAGAAGAGGCCGTTCAGAGGGGGTCTCGGAGGCCATTGCGTTGGCAGTGGAAAGGACAGAGGAGGAGGAGGAGGCGTAAACTAGGCCACTTCTGGGACTCTCTCAGCTGTTGCCACGATTCCCTTCAATTCAGGGAACAGCTCTGAAAAATGCAGAAATTATTATTATTATTGACTGAATTTATGTACCGCCCTAGACTACAAGGTCTGAGAGTGGTTCATAGAAAGGCACATTTAATTAGGATGGGAGACATTTACACAGATAGCATACCTTTAACAAATTACAAATACCAATTCTAAAAAATTAATACTCATAAATTCTAATTACAAATGCAAAATAGAAACGCGTATTATGAAAAATATATGAAATAGTTAGTGAAAGAAATGCACCATGTACCCCAAATTTGGGATTGTTAACAATTTTCATTGATTAAAATGCTGATTGGAGATATCAGGAACTCATCCTCTATGTTTTAATAGCTGTTCAGAAACTCATTGCTCAAAACTGGAAAGCTCTGGAACACTTGAGATTTTCACACCAGAAATAGAAAGTATTGAATCTTGGAGTAAGAACTGGAAAAACGTACTCCTTTCTACAGGAACTTTATAATACTATAAGCTGCCTGTCTTTAGGGGACATTCAGCTTCAGTTTGGAAAGTTCTAGGATCAAATCCAAAACTCTTAATGAAGCTTCACAGAAAGCATTACGGTCAGTAGCAGAGGTCGCTTTTCCTTTCCCCCGAACAGCCATCCAGGAAACCAGTTTCTGACCCTTTGATACATTTAGAATAAAGAAAGTAAGGGAAACTCCTAAATTATGGGCAGAATTTGCAGTCAGAGGAAAACCAACACCTGGGGGGCACCAGGATGCAGAAGCTCCATCCAAGGGGAGAGGAAATATTTAGAGCACTCTATGCGCTAACATGGAGTGTAGTTTAGGGGACAGAAATAGGAAGTTCAGTGGCTTATGCCCCCCTAGTCCTTCCTCTTAGGAACCTCTGTGTGTGTGTGTGTGTGTGTGTGTGTGTGTGTCCCCTTTTATCTTCCCTACACTGGGAGGAAGGACAGGAGGAGAAATAATCAGGGGGTCCAAACTGGGCACAGGGCATCCCTCCTGAGCAGGGGGATGGGAGACTGGGTCTCCCTGGTGGAAGCCCAGCACCCGAACTGCAGGGTGGGGAACCTCAGACCCAGGGGCTAAATTGGCCCTCAAGGCCTCTCTCTCTTTCTCTCTCTGGCCCTCAGGAATTTCCCCAGCGCCACACCCTCTTTCCATCACTTCCCAGCTGCCTCCTGAGGTTTTTCTGTGGGGCTGGGAAAAATCCCTGGAAGGCAGGCAGCTGCTGGACAAAGCTCAGAGTCAGCCCCATAGCCCCACCCACTTTGTCCTCTGGCCCTGCCCATCAATCTGGCTGTCATCCTGGCCCACCTTGCAGGGTTCTGGTGTGAGTATTGCCCAGGTGGTGGGTTTTAGATCACCTACAGTGTTATAAGGCCCTCCTGGCAACCTGGATGGGGACGAGGCCAGGCAGGAGCGAGGCTGGCAGAAACGGCAGAGAAAGTCCCTCAGCACCTCTGCGCTGGGCCAATCCTGCAAGGCAGGCCAGATCTCCCACCCCTGGGGCTTTGATTCTCCTTTCCGACAAAGTCCCAAGAGGATATCTGGAGAAGCCTCTTTTTGGAAAGAAAGAGCATCAAAAACTCATCCCACCCCTTCTCTTTCCCCCAAGTCCAGCTGGAGAGGGGGCAGTTCTTTAATTCCTCCAGTCTTTGCCATGAACATATTTAAAGGGCTCCTGAGACCTTGATCAGTTTCAAATCCTGCCATCCATGGGCCCATTTCCCTTGCCAAGCAGGAGGGAAACCGACAAGGTGCTTTTTCATGCTTCAGGAAATGGAAAATGTGCCTCTTCCCTCCAGTTTTGGGGCACAAAAGGAGCACAACAACCCCCCCCCCCAACATGGGAAACCCAACAAGGCTCTTTCCTTTGTGCCAAAGCAACCTCAGCCGGCCAGACTAGGTTTTCTGAAAGGGGGGCTGGGGGGTCCTCCTCCTTCCTTCTCACATCAGCCTCTTTCTTACTCAGGAAGCTCCGAAGGCCGATTTTCCCTTGACATTGTCCACTTCTCACCCCTCCCACTCGAAATCTCCCCCAATCCAGAGGCGACTCTGTTCTCCAGCTGCTTCCCCTGCACCAAAGCAAACTCTCTCCCACCCTCCATATCTCCTCCCCCGCATACACGGATACCAACTTTAATAAAATATTGGGGGCAGCCCTCTCAAATATCTTATGGGGAGGGGAGAAGACCCCTCGGGCCCCTATGAGTTGGCTCCTATCCTTTCATGATCCCGACTGAGGCAGGGGGCGGCAGTTCAGGGTTCTGGGGTTCATCCTGCAAGGCAAACCTTGTTTGGGGGAGAGGACCCCACCCCCGCAGCCGCTTGCAGAGAGAAAGGGGGAGCCCTTCCTTGCTTTCATCCCCCCCCCCCCGTGCCCTGTTTGTAGGTTCATGGGGAGGGAAAGCAAATTCTTCTCCCTCCCTGCACCCCAAATCTCCCCTTCCCCCGAAATGTTGCACCTTTTCCCTCCTCCTTTGCAGGCCTCCTTCTCTTCCGGGGATGTGCATGGAGACCCCACCCCTCCAACATTGCCTCTACCCCCCCCCCGCCCTCCTCCGTCACTTCCTGCCTCGCTAGGAAGCGAGTTTATTGACGGAGGGGGAGGGGCAGGAGATTGGCCCCCCCTCCCTGCAAACAGAGACCTAGAAATGTAATGGGAAGGGACCCCCCCCCAAGGAGCCCACCCCCCCAAGGAGCCCAATGTCCCTCAGCCTTTTTCTGACCATGCCCCCCGCTGGTAGAAAGGTTTAAATATTTTGCTTGTAAATAGAGTATGTTTTATTTATCCTGGTATGCCCCACAGAGAAACTTACGGTCTTCGAATAAAAACATCTTGAAGGTCCCAGGCCACAGAGAAGTTAGGCTGGCCTCAACTAGAGCCAGGGCTTTTTCGGCCGTGGCTCCGATCTGGTGGAACACTCTGTCACAAGAGACCAGGGCCCTGCGGGACTTGACATCTTTCCGCAGGGCCTGCAGAACAGAGCAGTTCCACCAGGCCTTTGGCCAGGGCACAGCCTGACTCCCTCCCTCGGCAATCTTCGCGGAGCTCTGGCCCAATGGTTGCCAGTGGCCTGAATTAATTAATTTTATAATGAATGATTTTAGACTGTTGTTTATGCTGTACTTTTGTACTGTTTTATTGTTGTTAGCCGCCCTGAGCCCGGCTTCGGCTGGGGAGGGCGGGATATAAATAAAATTTATTATTATTATTATTATTATTATAAATCTACTGTGTTACTGGAAACTGGAGAGGGGGTTGAGAGACCTTGTCCCCCCCAATGAGGCAAAGAGCACATTCCCAAATGTAACAGTTGTCTATGTACTGGCTCCATGGGAAAACCTTTAGAAATTCATATAAAATCACTCCAGTGATGCATTTACACTATTCCAACATTGTTCCAATCAGAAGGGAAAAGCCTACAAGAGGAGAAGTTTGGGATATAGCTAGAGGCAGCCCTATCCCTTGTTGCAGGAACCGCCCTCCCAATCATTCAGTTTGTACAAATTCGACATGCACACACGACATACGCAACACTTCTGTTATAAATTAATAGAAAATCAACTATACATCGGATTTACACCGGTCCACTTTTATTTTGCTCCATGAAGAAAGGACTATCAAAGGGGATAGGTTTGATACAGGACAGCCATAATCCCTTGAGTGTACCAACACGTACACAGGAGCCCTGCCCAGTTGTTATGCCAACCCTGATGGTCCTAGACAGAAGACCATCAAGGTCACAAAGAACTTGCATATAGGAGTGGATTCAGCACGGACTGGAACAAAGGACAATGATCAGCTCTTCCCTCTGGGGGCAGGAAACTGCAAATTCCCCTCTGTCACCTGGAAAGTACTCATGGGGAGGGGGAAAGGGGGAACCAGCCAGGTGGCAGGACACTCAGGTTACCACCACAACTCCTCCCTCAACCCCTCCTTTTTGTGATGTAGTTGTGATGTAGTTTTAGGGGTGTAGTTTTGGGGATTAGTAACTAATAAAAGTCGGGGTCTTATTTTGTTCAGGGCTTCCATCTTGCTTCATCTTGCAGTGGGTGGGAGTCCTGTCGCAACAGTCTTCAATAAAGACCAAGCCTACTGGCTGCTGTTTTGCTCTGGTATTCCTAGCTGGTGTCCTTGTTTTTTGTCCAGGAGAGCCCTCAGATTTCTCCGGTAACACCCTGAATCCTGAGACCATGTAGTGCCTGGGGGATAATCGCTGGCATCCTGGCACCTGAGTGCCAGACAGTTGGTCATCCCAGAACAATCCTAAACCCAACCTCAGTGGGAAAACAGGAAAATGTAAATACGTACCTTCGTTTCACCTAAAGGGTGGGAGGTGGAGGTCAGGTGAGGGAGGGGGCGAAGCCTGGTGCTCAGGTTTCTGCCAGAAGACCCTTTTCCAATTTATAACTGTTACGGAAATTACGGGGGGTGGGGCACATCTTTAAAGTTGTTAAATGTTACAAATATTATGCATAAATGTATCCTTTCGACTTGACAACTCAGGGAAGTTACCTAGCGTTACCCATCATATAAAATCAACTCCTTTGCCAGCTTCCTCCATTTCAACACTATTTTGCCCTTGGAAAAAATGACTCTTTTCTCTGCCACCTCCACAAACATGAGGACATGTATACACACCTCCTACCCCAGGAAGTGATTGTTGGCCAAGAAAAGCCTAATCCCATCACAAGACTTGCCAAGTGGTCCAGACACGCAAAGGAAGTTCTATTGTACTTTGGGTGGTGGGACTTCAGAGGTGTTTGCCTATGCTAATCTTATACCTGAGTCTTGCCCTGCCATGTCTGCTTATGCTAATCTTGTACCAAGGACTTGTCTGGACAAGTTTGCCAAGGTTGAACTAGTGTAACCCCTGCCTAAAAGGTAAAGGTACCCCCTGACCATTAGATCCAGTCGTAGACAACTCTGGGGTTGTGCTCTCATCTCGCTCTATAGGCCGAGGGAGCTGGCATTTGTCCGCAGACAGCTTCCGGGTCATGTGGCCAGCATGACTAAGCTGCTTCTGGCGAACCAGAGCAGTGCACGGAAACACCATTTACCTTCCCGCTGGAGCAGTACCTATTTATCTACTTGCACTTTGCTGTGCTTTCAAACTGCTAAGTGGGCAGGAGCTGGGACTGAGCAACAGGAGCTCACACCGTCGTGGGGATTCAAACCGCCGACCTTCTGATTGGCAAGTCCTAGGCTCTGTGGTTTAACCCACAGCACCACCCACGTCCCGTAGATGGTGGTTAGCAGTGTTTTATCTGGAGATAGTGTCATTGGGCATTTGTAGGTAATCTGTATTTGTCTCTTAAGATGGAATATGTATAAAATTCATCCTCTTCATTTATTCACTGGTCTAACGTTAATATACCCAAATTCATCCACCTCTTCCATACGACCATTTATTTCCCAATTTTTAAAGACGGGTTTCCCCATAAAGTCATTTTGTCGTGGGAGAAAAGGTCAAATATGTATTTTTTGGACATTTGGTGTCATATTGTTCAAACTGATGTTATTGTTTCAATAGCATCTTGAGAATTAATGTATTTAGACCCAAGTGCTGCCCGTCTTTCTAAAGGTGCTACTTAAGAATATTCCAACGTAGCCCAATTTGGACAGTTGTTTTCAGTTATGAGTCTTCAGAATTGTGTACCTGACAGAAAATATGCTTGATGATACAATTCTAAGTTTGGGATCCCAAATCCTCCTTCTTTTATCAGTATTTGCAATTTTTGCATAGATATTCTTGGAACCGAAGAGCCCCAAAGGTATTTTCTGAACAAAGATTCAATTTTGAGAAAGTATTTGCTCAGTATGTGAACTGGAATGCCTCTTAAGATCTAAACTAGTCTAGGTATTATGGTGATTTGAAGAGCATTGACTTTCCCACAAAGGGTCAGGTTCAATGACTCCCACCTGTCGATGTCTATTGATACCCCAGGATATATTTTGTTGATGTTTAATAACACAAGTCTCATGGTATTAATATATATAGGAATTTAATGTTGTCTTTGAAAATTTGAAATTGGTATTGTTTAAACGGTTGAACCAAAAAGTTATTTTCTATTAACATCAACTCCAATTTGGACCAGTTTATAGTGTATCCAGATATATTACCCAAAAATCTGTATTTTGCATTAATTTTGGAACAGTACTGTGAGATTTTGTGATAAACAGAAGAATATCATCTGCAAACATTACCAATTTGTTTTCAAGTGAGTTATGAATTACACCAAAGATTTCCTTATGCTGTCTAACAGTACATGCCAGGGGCTCCAAACAGATATTAAAAAGCAAAGGCGAAAGTGGGCAGCCTTGCCTAGTACCTCTGGATAATGTGAAAGGTGCAGACATTATGCCGTTTGTCTTAACACTAGATGTAGGGGAGCAATATAATATGTTTATCCATTTTATAAAGACTAATGGAAAACCAAATTTTTGTAGTACTTTTTCTATATATAGTTTGTAGACCTTATCAAAAGTTATTTCTGCATCTAGAGATATTATAGCTAAAGCTTCACTGTTCCTGTTTAAATATATCAAATCCACTACCAGCCTGATGTTATCTGCAGCTTCTCTCATCTTTATAAAGTTTATTTATTAATCCTAACGAAATTTCAGATGGCCCCCCTGTTGAGGGTTTTGGACATTTGTTTTCAGAAAACTGTCTTGGTAAGTTTCTACATGTAAGATGAAACTCTGGCTGTGAAGCTGGATTGTTTGCACAGGTGCAAAGATAAGACACTGGTGCTGGTCCAACCACAGTTGCTGCCAGTTAGCTTCCAGACCCAATTCAAAGTCCTGGCTTTGACCTATAAAGCCTTAAACGTCTGAGGCCCACAATATCTCAGGACCACCTTTCAGTTTGATCCAACCTCAGGGCTTTTCTGATGTCAATCATGTTTTGCCAAAGTCACCTTTACCTTGATGATCTGTGGCAGCCTATTGAGTAAACATGTTTTCTCCTGCTCTGCACCTGCTCCTACAAAGTTTCAGGGGAGATCTTTCTTCCCTTTGCAATCATCAGAATCACAGTGATCTATTTTTATTCTTTCCTGAGTCCAACTAGCTCCCACCCCACTGCTTGAATATTGCCTTTGCAAGCAATAAGGTAAATATCGCAATTAAGGGCAGCAGGAAGATTTTTATTCCACTGTGCCTGAAAGGTTGGGTGTATAAAATATATATTGTGCCACAAAATCCTGGGGGCCAAGACATAGAGCAGGTGAAGTGAGAAGGTACATCTGTGTGATGCTGCCTTCTAGATCAGTAATTTAGACCGACTGGCTTTCCTGGAAGGGAACATCCTCAGCTTTGCCTGGAACAGGGAGCAGAGATGACAACCTCACACCTTCTTGGTGCAGAATAGATGCTCCACTTCTGAACCATCACCCTTCAGCTCTGAGATCAGAGCTGGACACCTCCCTGTATTTGTCAATTCACTGCAATCCCTGATTTGCAAGAATTTGGGGCATATTATGAGCAGCTAGTATTGGGTGGAACAGCTACAAGGAAAGCGTAGCAGGTAGATCCAGAATGATAACGCTGCTTGTGTTGCTGCCTCTTGCAACCAATGGTATGCAGCTGAGGGGGAAATGCCCACTGAATCCAATCAAGGAACAAATTTTGGCTGCAAATTTTTACCGCCTAGCAGACTACCTCATTAGTGGAGTCATATATCCAATATTCTTTCATGAACAATCTCCTTTCACCTTTTCCAGCACCCCTGTCAGCAGACTTGAGACGTAAGTAATGATGCATTGATGTAGTTCTTCTTCCTATCTACTCTCCATTTCCCGTAATACACTTGTTTTCTGATAAACTTGAAAATGTTAATTACATTACATTTCATTAATTTATTTAAAGAGTTCTTTGTGTCTGTTCAATTAGTGAAAACCATGTTTCAAAGTGTTTTATAATGAATTTTAAATAATTAGTAGTAGTTTTGACATGTACTGCTCTCCAAAGCATGACTTGTTTTCTAGAAGGTAGGAAGTGCTTTGGGATGTGTTTGAGTTGCAAGTTTTCTGTAATAAATAAAATGTGAACACAATTCTTTTCCCCATGCACAACATATTCTAGGCAACTTCAAATTATAAATGTCGACTTCCCTTCACCCTCCTCCCTTGCAAAAATACTGCAGACACAGGTACAGGCAGACCTCTGTCTCACTTTGTTCTACCTCCTGGCCCTCAAGGGAGTTTTGGTAGGTCACCAGAAATGTGACTGATTTGTGTTATGATCTTCCCTCCCTTGCAAAGATACTACAGGTACAGGTAGATCTCTGTCTCCCTTTACTTGCTTGCCTCTTTTCCTACTTGCTTTGATTAATACAAAAAAGAATGTGACGGTCATTTTCACTGAATTAAGGATGACTGTGTGACACCCTTTTTTTTGCAGCTGGGTGGATAAGAAGAACTCACACATTATTTCCTTCTCCCTTGCTGTTCGGGATATTAATCATAACCCCAGCCTCTTACCCAACATCACCCTGGGCTACAGCATCTATGATACCTATTCTGAGGGAAGACTGACTTCTGACTCCATGACAGACCTGCTTGCTGGTGGAAAATTCAACATTCCAAACTACAGCTGTGGGAAGCAGAAAAGGCTGCTAGCTGTTCTTGAAAAAGTGAATTTGACATCTCCACACACATTGCAAGCATGTTAGGAATCTACAAGATCCCACAGGTAATCAATGGGTCCAAGTGAAACACACCTGGCAACATTAGCCACCTTGTTGTTGTTGTTGTTGCTGCTGCCATCTGTCTGTTTTGAAAGACGATGGCGTGAGCCTCTGGGATGAAGTCAAACCACTGTGTAAGTAGTATCTAAGTGACCTCCACAGTGTGCAAGCCTGGACAGTGGGTACGGAGGTCCTGGGCTGCCCAGATGACAAGACCTCCCTCTCAGCCTCACTGCTGTGGTCCAAAGGAAAGCAGAGCAATACATTTGGCACAAGCTTGGCTGCAGGAGTTGCTGGAAGGAGGCAAGCAAAGCACCACTCAGCTGACTTAGGATTTGTGCAGGGTTTACTCCTTAGCCTTTTCTTCACCCAGATGTTGGAGGGGATGAAGGGTTATGGAACTCCCTTGCAGTTGAGGACAGACAGGCCCCTTTCCTACTGTCTTTCTATGGCCTACTCAAAACCTGAATTTTCTTTCAGCAGACATTTTAATTTAAGTTTGATTATAGTGTTTTACCTTTTTGATTGTTTTTTGAAGAATCTTTTTTAACTGGCTAGAGAATTTTGCCATTAATTGGTATAAGGATTGCTTGATTTTTTAAAAAATATTGTTTTACTTCCAAAAAAAGGTGAGGTTTGCACTAAATCTGTCAGCATCCTTCACATAGACGTATCGGGTCTTAATGCTGAAACACAAGCCATCAATCTCTTTCCCTTTTCTCACCAGCTCAGTTATGGCTTTGCTCTTACTGATAAATTCCAGTCCCCTTTTGTCTACCGGATGGTCCCAAACCAAGAAACGCAGTACCAGGGGATGATCCAACTCCTCCTGCATTTCAGGTGGACGTGGGTCGGCCTCTTTGCTCCCAACAATGACAATGGAGAAAGGTTCCTGAGTACCTTGACACCTCTAATGAACAAAAGGGAAATTTGTGTTGCCTTCACACAAAGAGTACTACGAGAAACTTGGCTATGGATACCCCATGAACCACCTGCCATGTGGAGACAAGTCAATGTATTTGTTTACTTTGCAGACTCTCAAAGTGGACTTTACATAATCATAGAGGTACAGTCCTTACTGGAAAGGATACAGACTGAGGGGAAAGTCTGGATAACCACACTTTTTCAGAACAAAATGTTGTTATGTGACATTGACTGCTTCCAGTATGCTCATGGCTCTTTGTCCTTTGTAGTGAAGACGAAAAAAAGGATGAAGAAGGACTATTATGGGCCAATGTCCTTGGCTAGTCAACAGTATTCAGAAGAAGCATTTGATTGTTCTTATTCCAAGCATGCCTTGTCTGTGAGGGGTATGACCAAATGCAGAGAGAAGGATAATGTGAAGATGCTGCCCCAGGAAGAGATTGAAAGAATTCAGTCCCAAGACAGCTATGTGAACTACTTGAGTATCCAAGCTGTGGCTCAGGCCTTCAATGCTGCATATTCATCCAGGTCAAAAAGGATGTCGATTGTGGGTGGAGGCAGTTGGGATCTTCAAAAGCTACAGCCATGGCAGGTAAGTCCTTTTCCTCTTGCAAACTGGAATTTGTTGTCCCTTCTCTGGAATCAAAATGATAACATCATCAGAATCGGTCTTGAATTGAGTCAGAACGTTGGTTGGTATTGTCTACATTGACTGTTTGGCCGTTGACATTGTTTTCACCTGCTTACAGAAATCCATCAGAATTTCTACTACCCTGGTTCCCAGGGGAAGGGAATTCTACACGAGTTACAGGTGGAGCACAACAGAAATGTCCCATCAGTGTATGGGAAGTCAAGATCACAGATTCAGTGCAATGTTCCTGCAGACAGAATTATTTGCAGGCAGCAACTCATAGAGATGGAAGTGGAGCTTGTTGGACCAATGCTGTGATTCAACAGTTATCTACTTCTTAGCAGCCTCCTACACTGCATAGTTTGGGAATCCACAAAAGGTCTAAACATGTACAGTGGTGCCCCGCAAGACGAATGCCTCGCAAGACGGAAAACCCGCCAGACAAAAGGGTTTTCCGTTTTGGAGGTGCTTCGCAAAACGAATTTCCTATGGGCTTGCTTCGCAAGACGAAAATGTCTTGCGAGTTCCTGCTGGTTCCCCCCCCCTTTTTCCCAAGCCGCTAAGCCGCTTATCAGCTGATCCGCTAAGCCGCTTAACAGCTGATCGCTAAGCCGCTTATCAGCTGATCCGCTAAGCTGCTTAACAGCTGATCCGTTAAGCCCCTAAGCCGCTTATCAGCTGATCCGCTAAGCCGCTTAACAGCTGATCCGTTAAGCCACTAAGCCGCTTATCAGCTGATCCGCTAAGCCGCTTAACAGCTGATCCGTTAAGCCACTAAGCCATTTATCAGCTGATCCGCTAAGCTGCTAATAGCGCTAATCCACTAAACCGCTAATGGGCTTGCTTCGCAAGACGAAAAAACCGCAAGACGAAGAGACTTGCGGAACGGATTCTTTTCGTCTTGCGAGGCACCACTGTAGAATCTAGATCTAATATGAATATTAGGAATTACTTTTTACAAAATGTAACAAAAACACTAGGATTAGACACTACCATATTGCACTGTCATTAGACAGCAATACTCTTGAATGCTTTTGTCTTCCAATTATAACCACACTTCTGCGTTATACATAGGGCTGCCTCTGAAGAGTGTTCAGAAACTTCAGAAGATGCAGACTTCGACCATCATGTTGTTCACTGGGACAACACTGTCTGAGCATATTACACCAATCCTCGTCCAACCACACTGGCTGCCAATAAGTTTCCAGACTCAATTAAAAGTTCAACGTTGACCCTACAAAAGCCTTAAATGACTGAGGACCAAAATACCTTAAGGACCATCCCTCAGACCTTGATTTCATAATCTGAGACCCTGCTGCAGTGGCTCCCATTTTATCCCTCCAAATCAACCTTTCCTAATATATGTAATAATGTTGATTTTCATCACCCCAAAATTTTTGAAGTTGATTGAGGGTGTCTAATAATCTAGAACAGTCACATGGTTCCAAATGAGAGATACAGTGGTTCTTATTCAGAGAAGATCAGGATGCAGGGAGAACATGAAACCATGTTACATAATTCAGCCCTGCTAACTCATTGCTGGATTTTCCTCTGTCATTCTAGCTTCATCGTTTCTTGAAAGAAGTCCAGTTCTACTCTAATACTTCAGCTGATGGGCAGTACTTGGATGAGAATGGGGCACTGGCCATTGACTTCGATATTGTGAATTGGGTACTGTTTCCTAATAACTCTCATGATAGAGTGAAAATTGGGAGAATAAAGAGACAAAAGTCCTCAAATCTGAAGTTCACCATTAACCCAGAAGCAATTGTATGGCCCAAGCTATTTAAGAAGGTAGGGGGAAATGTATCTGTCATTTTATTAACTATGACATCTGCTATGCTCTAATAGCATTTTGAATAGTACATATGAGGCTTCGTCTGCAATCTTGTGAGAGCTTTCCTGGAGCTAAGTCCCACTGAGTTTAATGGAACCTGCTCTTGAGTGAACATGTATAAAATGTCAAAGTAAGTAGGAGACTTCCAAAACAGAGCAGAACACATTTCCCCAACTTGGTGCCCTCCAAATATTGTGGACTACATCTCCCATGCACCCCAGCCAGCATTGTCCAAAGATATCTAAGGGGCACCAGGTTGGGTAAGGCTGGAGTATAGTAAGGTATTCCACTTCTGTTTGGGCATAGAGACATGGCAAACAAGCAAACTGGACACCAAAGTCTACACTGGGTGCAGTCTTTGGAAGCAACACCAATGTCTCTGTTGGCAGATGTGATGGCAACAGATGGAAGACTTGTTTTATTGCTGATGTTCATATGATGGTTTATGCCATGCTCCTGTTTGTTGTTAACTGTGAGATATCAATGTCAAGGTGGTGGGGGTGGGGAAGTAGAAGCACCAAAAAGGTGTCTCTGCCATGCAGGTCTGCAAAAAACAAAGAAAAATGTAACTGCCCCAAAATAGGGACTGGGGTCGCTTGAGGTTATCAGAAGCAAATATCTCTTCTCTGGGATCCTTCCAAAATTCTATTATCTGTGTCCAAAGGCATAAATACACCTATCACTTTCTCCTTAGTGCTCAGTTTTCTCTTCATGCCTAGACCGTACCTCAATCAAGATGCACAGAAAGTTGTCTCCCTGGATATTCCAGAAAAGTTCAGGAAGGGAAGCCACCCTGCTGCTATGATTGTGCTCCCTGCTCAGAAGGGACCATCTCCACTCAGGAAGGTAGGAGAGGAACTTGGAGAAAATAGCCTTTGATGGGAGGATGGGGCAAATATTTGAGCCACTGCAAACATGATATTAGTAATGGCTAGTTCCGTCGTCTGTCAGGTGGGCACCATTGTCATTCCAAGAGAACAATGGAGGCATTTATGGTGGCTTCTGGCACCTCTTTTTCTAGAAAATAGCACAGGTAATGTTACCCCATGAATGAAATGTCCTCTTCTGGGAGGGTTCACCTATTGCCAGAAAACTCAAGAATATGATAAAAGCAATGCTCAGCAACTTGTTCTAAGAGAGGCCAGTGGGATTCCCATGGGACCCCAGAAGCTGCATAGAAAGAACAGCCTCCCACCCCCATGTGATCTCCAGCAACTAGTGTTCAAAGGCATTGAAAGGCCACCTCCAAATCCCAACCTCTTTTTATCTTCTTTTAATATCTCGTTAACTTGGTGGTACTGTAGCCACCCTGTCAGTGAATTCTCTACTTCTTCATATGCCTTAAGCTTAATACCATGCTCAGTCTTCCTAATAAACTCTTCATAAGTGGCTCTCTTTCCTTCCATATTAACTTTTTTAATGGTTAGTACTTCAGTCGGTGATATCCACCAAGGGGTTTTCTTTTCTAACAGATTTTTATTTCTTTCCCATACTTCATATATACAGTAGATCCTCTAATTATCCTCTAATAATCCTCTAATTTAAAAAAACCCTGTGAACTTTCACTTTACCATACCACAGGTACGAGTGCCACTCGTACCTGTTGTCAAATCCCTCTAAATCCAGAAGTTCAGTATTTTCTAGTTTTATCCAATCTCTTATCCACGTTAGAGACGCTGCTTCATAATAAAGGCTCATGTCTGGCAGGGAAAAGCTGTCTCTTTCTTTTTTATCAACCAGGATCTTCATTTTTATTCTTGGTCTCTTTCCCTGCCAAACAAATCTTGCCAATGTTTTCTGCCACTCTTTACATTATTTTAGCCCTGTAATCACTGGAATTGTTTGAAATAAAAATAGCATTCTGGGTAAAACATTCATTTTGATCACTGATATTCTCCCTAGAAAAGAAAGTCTCAGTCTGTCCCAAATATCTAGATCTTTCTTGATTTCTCTCCACGTGGTCTCATAGTTGTCTTTATACAAGAAATCAAAATTTCATATTGACATTATAGAAGGTAACAACAAATTACTGTCTAAAATGTATGACTTACTATTAGACTGGTTTACTAAAGATGAGGAGGTAAAAGAAGCCATGATTAAGTGGGCCATCGATTTCGGATATAATATCGAATTAGAAGCGTGGCATGAACTATGGAATGTAAATATGAAGTTTACGGCGTGTATGGCATTGCAGGAGAATATATGGAAAATGATATATAGATGGCATCTCACGCCGGTAAAACTGGCAAAGATGTACAGAATGAAAAATAGGAAGTGCTGGAAATGTGGAGAAGCGGAGGGAGATCTCTACCACATGTGGTGGACTTGTGGTAAAGTGAAGGGTTTCTGGGAATCTATTTACAATGAGCTTAAAAAAGTTTTTAAGTATACTTAAAAAAAACAACCAAAGACTTTCTATTGGGATTGACAGGGAAGGAAATTAAAAAGAAGGATAAAAACCTCTTTCTGTACGCCACGACAGCAGCAAGAACTATGTTGGCTTAGAACTGGAAAACAGATGTAATACCTACTATCATGAAATGGCAGGTTAAAATGATGAATTACGCAGAACTGGCTAGATTGTCGGGGAAAATACGAGATCAGGATGAAAAGAAGTTTTGTGAAAGTTCGAGTAAATATTTGGTGTATATAAGAGAAAATTGTAAAAAACTTAAAGACACTGGCAGGGTTAGAATAACTCTAACAGCAAATGACAAAACAGTAACAAATAGAATACGCGAGGTGAAAAACTATATGATACTTACTGAAGGGATGGAGGGAAGTCCGAAGCTTGGCAGAGCTAAAGGTATATGTGGGATGTATAGATGTGTAATGAGTGTATGTGTATTAATGAAAATTAATAAAAAAAGAAAAAGAAAGGCCACCTCCAATGTTGCAGGGAGGACATGTCAGTGAATCTGGTCCTGGGGACTATCTTGGTGAGTGATGGAATAGTGGGCAAGGGAGCCAGGGCGTATTGGGTTCACCAACTCCGTAGCCTGAGGAGGGCTGTCGTCCAGCCATGGAGTCAGTCAGGACTAGGGCCAGAGACACCACCTGACTATTTCTGAGAGGTCCCAGCAGTTCAGGAATGGAGGCAGTGCCACACAATAATACTCCTCCGAGTTCCTTGGAGGAATCATAGAATTCTAATGCAATATGTCATTTTAGAAATTATAATTCTAGCGTCCATATATTTTAAAATAAGTTTAGGCTTAACACCTCTGCTTCTCAATATTCGAACATGACAAGCTGCCTTTATCAGTCAACCTATTGATCCATTTAACCCACAGTTGTCTAATCCCGGGTCCAGAATTTTTTCTGGCCTTTGCACTAGATCTTAATTTTCTAGGTGAAAAATAGCAGCTGGGTGCTGCTGCCAACCTGTCAATCACCAAATGCAATAGTGATGCCAGCTGATTTCATGCTTTAAAGCCCTGATTGCCAGCACTTCAGTGTGGCCCTTTTTGAAAATCCTGTA